TATATAGATATGATAACTTTAAGACTAAATTTAAAAGAATGAAAGAAGAAAACAGAAATAAGTATTATACAATGTCTAGATCTAAAAGAATTTATCTTATTATATTATATATGTTCCGGGCCATAGCTCAATATCCCCATTGTGAAATGCCCTACGTACATTTCGAAATGAGCTAGCTCATACGATTCATGAGGGCATTCCGAAATCAACTTAGTATATAGAAAATGATTTATACAATAAACTAAGGATATAGTACAATAAGCTAGTATATTGTACAATGAGCTAGTATATATATTATAGTATCACTTCACCAATACTTACTCCTACAAATAAGTAAAAAATCATTAATTTCATTATCGTTCTTATTCTCAACTACATTATCATTTTCATCATTATTAGTTATTCCAATACCCTTTTCCTTTACTAAGAATATCTTTTCGATATACAAAGTGAAGAGAATGAAAATATGAAAGGAATTCATATATATATGGTGGAGTGGACCTTTAGGGCATTTGCGAATAAGCTTAGCTCATTTCGGAATGCCCTCATGAATCGTATGAGCTAGCTCATTCCGAAATAAGCTAGCTCACTCCGAAACCTAGCTCATTTAGCAATGAGCTAAGTGCATTTCACAATGAGGATGTTGAGCTACAGCCCGGAACATATAAGATGTATAGATTAGTGGATAGAAGAGAGCCATTGATTCCATTACAATTAATCTACTTCTCAAGTTCCAATTCTCTTCATCTTTGATTCCCTAGGCGTGAGATTAATGTCTTGATGTCTTGTAGAGTAAATTTCCATATAGCATAGAGTTTATATATATACCTATACTCGAGTATATTAGAGAAAAGGTAATATTTTAATAGCAGCGAAGTTTAAGTTCGTTCAAAGGGGAAAGAAAGAAAGAACGTAAGTCTCTCCTTCAATCCTATCCTATCCCATCCCATCCTATCTCTTTTCTTCTTTTCTTCCAGCTCTCTCCCAGCTCTCTTCCAGCTCTTTTGCATAAGCATAAACATAAGTATAAGCATAAACAGATAGATATACAGAAATCTTCTTCATCTTTTTCTTCATCATCTTCTTCTTCATCATCTTCTTTTTCTTCACTCAGCATAGCTAGCATAGTGAACTGATCACCACAGTCTTGGGTTTCTCTAAAGGCTCTGGTTCTGGTGGTACGTCTGACTGCCGCATCAAAATCATCTTCGATAGCGAGTATATAAATGTGATCTGTAGCCAGAGGCCGAAACAGCTGCAAGCACCGATTCGATTCTATTTGTTGAAAGTTAAGAGATAGAGATGGATGAAATGCTATAGCTCTGTCATGTCATTAACACTAAGCTGCCCAACCTTGGCTTATATTTACCCTCCCACTCTCCCACTCTCCAACTCAGATTCAACATCCCATCACAACAGCACAACAAAGCCAACCCAACCCAGCCCAACCCAACCCGACAATAAAATCATATAGAATTTCTCGCCCCACGCTCTCTCTCTCTCTCTCTCTCTCTCTCTCTCTCTCTCTCTCTCTATTCCTTCCCATTCCTTCCTATTCATTAATTCAAACCCGAACCCATAATATCTTACATCTTACATATTTTCAAACACAGCACGGCGTTTTCATCTTCTTCTTCTGATACACTGCTGTAGCGAGTGATGATTTGTGTTTTTCTTGTACTTTCTTAACGATAGCATATCATAGCATAGCATCAACCATGGCTCGTCCTAATCCTAATCCTACTTCCTTCCTAATCCTACATACTCCTACTCCCTTTCGCGATCATCACCACTTTCTATCTCTATCACCTCCCTCATCTCCCTCACCTCACCTCCCTCACATCAACACCCTCAAATATATATATATATATATAAAATAAATAGAATAACGAGCTAAAAGTCCAATTTCACTTACTTGACTTACTTACTTACCCATCCATCCATTTCCCTCCCTTTCTCTTTCTCTTTCTCCTTCTAGAACTAAAAGTAATAATCTTCTATCCTTTATCCATCTATACCAACCAGTCATTAGTCATCAAGCTCAAATACAAATACAAATACAACAAAGCAAAATACATATCTCCATATCCTTATCTCTATATATCTACAAACCTCCATCCATCCTCCATCCTGCTCCCCCCTCCCCAAAAAAAACCAAAAAAAACAAAAAGCCTTCTCGAATTACCTACTGTAAGTCTTACTTTACTTCACTTCCCAACGACTTCACTTCCCAACAGACCAGATCAGACCAGACATAGACATATCGATTGATCAAAACCAAAACCAAAACCAAAACCATAACCAGCATAACCAGCATAACCAGCACAACCAATTTCATTTCCCATTTCCCATTTCCCATCATCCATATAAAACCAGCCACTTTATAAACTCCTCTTCCTTCTCTCCCTTCACTTTCTTCACTTTGAAGAGTCTTCTTGATTTGATTATGATAACGATATACATACATACATATATACATACATATTATACATACATACATACACACATACATACATCCATACATACTAATTTGTTTGAATTATAATCTTATACTCCTCAATACTATAAAACAAAACAAACATAGAAGAAGAAAAAAGGTAATCTGCTCGAGTAGTCTTGTGTATAATTAATTAGATCATTAAGCTGCAAGTACTCAATCCACTATCAAGTTTTTTTTATTCCTTATACCTAGGTAGGTACCCCTATCCTATTCCTCATCCACGTTGTAGAGGAGGAAAGGAAGAGTCGCTGAAGAGTGGTGTGTATTGAAGAGTAAAAAAGTATCACTTCGTATTCCCCTAGCCATATTTGCAAATCGTCTCTTGATATCCCATAGTCCATTTCCCATGTTCCATATCCCCATTGCCATTTCCCATTTCCCATTTCCCCACCCCAGTCCTGTTTCCTTCCATAAACGCCAAACTCTCCTACCAAAAAAAAAAAACTTGGAAAGCTAATGCCGCAATGGAAGTAAACTGAAAGCGCTTGTGTGCCATTGCATCGCTCCAACGGACAAAATATGATAAATACAAACCCCAAACCCAATGCCATTAATTACTCCAAATGAGGTTTGCTTCGTCTACTTGATCAATCGATCTTCGCACTCGCCAATGAATTGATTAATGGATTCGTAAGATTATTGGCGAGACGAATATTAGGGGTACGCTTCTGCTTGCTGTGCTTTCGTAGACGTTTCCGGGCAACCATGACAGGCACGGATGATTTGGTAACGAGATAATTAGAGAAAGATCCTAGGATGACTCTGCACTTCGTTAGTGTCTATCTTTCTCCAAGTATAATGAACGGAAATAGGAACTTACCCCTTCAAGGCACTTCTACCACGGCTCCCGAGAATTACCAAAGTTGGGTTTATGTAATCAATCACCTCAGTGATTAAGTGCTTAGGATTCTTACAATGCAAAACTTCAATGTTGACTTGTACTTGTAGCTTCGTCTTCCTTAAGAGTTCGGATACTCTATCAGTGATTTCCTCCACGGCTCGGAATCGGTCTTGCTCTGCTTTGCTTCTCGAATCTCTTCCCATTGGACTTGCCGCTCTACTGCCTGGTTCCAATCTGAAGCTGTGATTCAATGGATTCGGCCCTAGACTAGGCGTCAGTAACGGGGTATTTGTGCGAGATGCTCTGGCAGATCGTTGAGCTGCAGCTATGGCTGATATTTGTTGCTTGATCTGGGCATCATCACCACTATTATCCGGAGTTATTATCCCAAGCTCTTCATCAACACAATAGATAGCAAGCATGGTATCTCCATCCCTCAATACCGTCCCAATAGTCCATTCCAAGGCATGTGCTGCCTCATCACTAAGATCCGTCGCTACAAGGTACTTCCTAGTGCGGCGTAGATTATCCCGTGCTTCTTGTTGAACTTTCTTAAAATCTCCACGATGGATTGTTCGTACGCAACGTGAGGTGACTGGCGTTGATTTGATTGCTGTCATAGTTAGCGAAAGGCTCTGGGCCTTTTTGACGTCGCCGCGATCAGCCTCGGTGTCTGAATCATGTGGACTGGGATCCCCAGAGTTGTCCGGGTCGAAGCTTGTATGCGGATGAACGGCAGGCTTGTTAAGCTTGTGCCCCGCAGGTGCTGTCAACGTAATTTGTGGGTCAAGAAGTGATCTGACTTTGTACTTCTCGTTTAGAGCTTCCTTTGCCGCAACATCTTGTCCTAGAAATATGTGAGCCTTGATACATCATGTGAGCAGCGTAAGATATACGTACGTTCTGCCTCAGCAGCAGCCATTAGACTCAGGGGAGTCCTGGGACCCTTCGCTCGTCCCATTCCTAGGGTTTTATTTTCCCCTTCGCTCTCATCTCCATCTACACTTCTTGCTTTCTTCTTGCGCCCTCTTGGTCCGTCATCATCCGACTCATCGGTGCTATCAACGCCCTCCTCGCCCTCCATAGGAACATAATCTTTCTTTAGTCGAGCCCCATTGATGTCAAAATATTCGTTGTTCGACTGATTCTGCCAACTCTTCTGACTTAACGAGGACAACTCTCCACCCGATCGCGCCAAATTGGCATCTGATAACCGTTGGTAGGCACTGTTGACATCAATAATTCTACCATTGTCCAAAACCGCATACTTCGAAACATCTGCAGGAGCTGGAGAATTAGAACGTAAAGAGAACCGATTGTGAGGCGACTTTGATTTCGCCGCATTGATCCCAATAATTGAATTGTTTCTTTCTCTATCACGCCCTCCGCCAAAACTGCTAAGATCTACGTTGGATCTAACTACCTCAGCCATCGAGTTCGTAATTCTCTTTCCCGCCTGTGTATTGCGTTTCGGGATCGATGGACCGCCAGGGTTACTTGGTAGATATCCAGAAAACTGGTATTCACTGGGATCGACCCTGGTGATTGCTCTTGGGCCAAATTCGACTGTAGGTTTTGCAGCCGCGTCTGATGAGCTTCTCGAATGTCTGCCATTATCGGCATGTGCTCTATGATTTGTTATCGTTGGGCTTGTCTGCGCACTTCTTGAAATTGGCGCGGTGGATGTAGATGTAGATATATTCAGCATACTTCGTACAGCAGGTGCCGCTGGTAGTGGAGTGTCGACATCAAGCATACTTCGAATCTGGGGTACAGTAATTCCCGTGTTGTTACCACCAATAGACGAGTGTCGAGGCATAACTGGGCTGCTATCAACATCTAGCATACTGCGCACAGGAGATCGCGGGTTATTTGCAAACGGTGACGAACTTCTCCCCCCTCCAATTTTATGTCCAGACCCTGTGGAGCTCACAGATCCTCTTGGCCTACCACCGGTCGAATCCAATAAGGCGAGCACCTCCTGCCTCTCTTGCTCTGCTGCCGACTCCTGCGACATGTTTTTACTCGCCATATTTAAAAAATTTGATGGGTTTTAATCGAATATGCGATTCTGCAAAGGCTTCAAAAGTGGCAGATGGTAAAAACTGATTGTAATTCTTCAAGGCTTCCGTCGGTGATGTAATAGGGCTTGACTTTCTAGGTTTTGTAGGGTTTTGTAGGTATCAAGTAAGGCAAGAGCAATAAATGCTCACCGGGTTGAGGTTAGCCGTTTAGGAACTTTCTTGATGACCAATGAAGTTTTTGATACTGCATTGTGGTTATTGAAATAATGTTTGGGATCGCACTCAGGACATTGCTTTAGCTAGCCCTAAGTCGTTGGTATTGTATGTGTAAGGTGAAGAAGGATGGTAGAGTTATATTCTGATGAACGCATCAGCATCAACTGATCTATTTAAAAGTAGTGTTCCTTGAGAGAAGATAATCTTGCAGAATGAAAGATGTTGTGTACAGTGTGGTGTTTTGTGTTTTGTGTTTGGTGTTTGGTGTGGTGTTTGGTGTAGGATGTAGGGTAGGATGTAGGTAGGATGTAGAAAGTAGAAAGTAGAAAGTAGGATTTGGTTGGAAAATATATTTTGTGTATTTTTTATCTATTCATAATACCGTTACCAATATGTATGGGATGATTTATATGTGAATATCCCGATTATTGTTAGAGCTTAGAGCTTTTGTAAAAGTTCTAGATGGATGTTGAATGAAAGGGGACTAGGTAAGGTAGGTAGACTAGACCGTAGAGTAAGTAAATTAATTGACACGTGCACCACCCGCCGCCGTTATCAAAGTTCAATACCAGTTCTTTTAATAGGACTTCAAGAGTTCTTCCATCAATCGAGTAAAGGGGGCGAATAAGTTTTCAAGGGAATGGATTAATAAATCAATAAATTACAAAAAGAAATCAAGTATACTCAAATAAAAGATACTTTACTTATTCAATTAATTTTCATGCATCTTTTTTCCTTTCGTCTGTACAGAGTAAATGAAGCTATACCCTCCCTATCTTTCTCTAGATGCGGGCCAGTAAGTAAAGGCGGGGAAGATGACGGACGATCTTTACAAAGCGGCCCAAACCGAACCGAATCAGATGGAAAATGAAGAAATAATGGAAAGAGATCAACTTATGAAGATTGTACTTCGAGTACCGGTAGTGACCCCAGATTAGAATATCTGAATAGAATAGAATCAGAGAATATTTTATTGAATTAATAAGTAATGATTGTCTTGTTTTAACTTTCTCCCTCGTACTATTCTATCATTCTATCCAGCTTTTAAACCTTAGGTATACAAAGGAAACTGCCTGCCCACCACCAAGGCGAAACCAAGGCGCAGTCTCTTGGCAATATCAATCAACTTTCCTTCTTGGCTCCACTCGATTCTTTCCCTGACCCCTTCAAGCTTTTCTGCAACCTTCAATCAAGACTTGACAATAAGTGATCTGAAAGTCTTATCTCTCGCCTTGTCTTGTTTTGCTCACCCATACACATGATATATCCCTCTCATTTCTTTCATTAATTGATAACCTAACCTAACCCCGCCCTTCACCTCATCCTCACCTCACCTAATCCCATCCCATACCCATATCCTATCCTATCCCCATACTCTTTTACCGCATTGGCAATTTGGTATGCACACCACTCCGCTTCCTTGGCATTGCCTATGCCTATGCCCTATCGGCACATCCATTCTATCTACTCGCCATAAAATAAATCATCATTCTAACAGCTGAAAACACACATCGATACCATGGGTCGGTTAACCATTTGCCATTTACTGTTACTTGATTGGTACCTCCAAACCTCCAACTTACGATTCTTTCAATACATACTTAACAAACAACAAAGCATGACTCACTCAATACGTGACAAATCGAAACCTCGTCCGTTTGAAACCCCTGATACAAGTATTATTAATATCATTATCTATCTAGATACATACCTCGTGAGATGTACAGTATCTCCCATACATAATATTCTTCCCTGTAACTACCTATGCATATATACTACCCTTCCAATGTTACCTCTCATCCCTCAAAATGGGATATCACATAGCTTATATTACTAAGATAGATACAAATCGAAAACCTATCAGAGATAGACGATTTAGCCAAGCGTACCTATACCCCCCTACGGAGTACATGCATTTCATGACGAAAGATATCCAGTGGCACAAACAGGTTTCATGATCTCAAATACCATTTCACTCGTACTTGGGATATATATATCTCATATCAAAACTACCGGTATATCACACAGCTCAACAACATCATATGGAACTACTCGTACCGTACAGTACCATCAAATCATCAATATCCTCAATACTCAATCCTCAATCCTCAATCCAACAATTGCAATCACCAACCAACACCTTCAAATCACAAGTCTTAAGTCAAGATACCTAGTATTTCCAATGACAATCACATGTGCATCTATACATCTTACTCATCTCACTCAATTCATACATATATACCAGTACCTACACCTAAGTATACATACCTAGTAACTCTACACCAACCATCTGAACTAACTCTCCCACTAGAATATCCACTAGAGTATGTAATCTCATATCTCATCTAGCTAGCTAGTTCAGCCTTCAGCCTTGCTACTTACTACCCGTCCGCTGCAACGTTAACAACAGTAGAATCATCAACAAAAAAGACAACAACCTTATTCTGATATCTCAATATCTCAAACTTTAAACATCAAACTTCAAATCACACCTCCAACATTCTCTACATCACTTGCTTTCTGTATACTATACCATATCATAACATATCATAACATATCACACCACTCCTCAATCCCCATAACTCCCTAGTACTTATCTCCTGACAAAACCACACACTCCACACTCCACCTGCCTGTACCTACCGGTCCCAACACTCCATCCAATACCCCATTACAAATGTCATCCATACATCTAATCCATCCATCCATTCCAAATACCAGTATTCTATCCAAATTTACATCCACCCCAAGTACATATCACCGAAATGTCACCAACATATCCAGTATCCAGTAATCCATACCGAGTACCTAGGTAGATAAGTACTAAACCAGAACAGGAACCAAAAAATCTCCAACCACCTCTACATATATACTGTATCTCCTCTCCTCTTATCATCATCATATCCTCTTCCTCTCCCTCCTCATCTCATCATCTTATCTTACCTTATAACCATAACCAAACCCCTAACAGAACCTTGCAAGTTTCTTGCTTCTTTTTGTATTTCCCAGCAATCTGGTTCTTTTTTTTTTAATATACTGATCGATCTGCTCATTACTTTGTATTACAAATACATATTACAAGTACATCTCAAGAAGAAATTTCAAACTACCGGTACAGTATCATCTCTCATCCTACCTGATATATATAAACTACCTATAATCTAATCAAATCTATTTTCAACTCGTATAATCTCTATTCTCACAAATAATTTCCATAAATCATACGTTCCATATCATACGTTCCATATCATATCATCTCATATTATATTATCTCATATCATATTATATTATAACCTACCTACCACCCATCGATACATCCCATCCCATCCTACTCCTACCCTCCAAGTCCCATCGAACATACACCCCCCCAGCCGATCGCACCCCAACACCCCAAAATCAAACAACCAAACAACCCAACAACCAAAATATAAATATCCCATCCCGTCCCTCATCTCACACCCTACCCTACCCAACCCTACCCTACCCAACCCTACTCTACCACCCCCTACTCCACCCCCTACCCTAACCTCAACTCAACTCCCATACCGCCGCCCCCAACCGACCTTCCTTCACCCCACAAACGAACACCAACACCAAAACCAAAACCAGCACATATTTAAAATCCCCTCCCTACCATCCCCTTCCCCCCTCTCCCTCACCTTCTCTCTACAATCTCTAGATAATTCTCTAGATAATTCTCTAGAAAATGACTCTACTCGTACTCGTAGATACTATCTATACTATACTATGTGGCACATTAGCATCGATCCATCACATCACTCCTCATTCCTCATTCCCTCATTTCCTCCTCCCTAATTCCCCACTTATCACTTATAAATTATCACTCAACGCTCATCAGTCATCAGTCATCACTATAAAAGCCCATTGATCTTTATATCCATATCCATCGATATACATACATATCCATACCACCCACCTCCCACTCACATATCACACTCACACTCACACATCCCACTCACCCACCCACACCCACCTCACCGCTCAAACCTCAAAAGCAACCGACACACGGCGGTAACCGACAGTTTATGAGCGAAGAGCAAATCTAGTGGGTGCTGTGCTGTGCCGTGCAGTCCAATCCAATCCAATCCAATCCAATCCAATACAGTCAATCTGTCTACTATAATTCTAGAACCATCTAATGTGAAATCAATGTACAAAGATAAGATACCGGTATAGTAAATCATATAATCTAGCATCTATCTCGAAAGATCGGAAGAGAAGAAGAAAAGAAGGGGAGAAAGAGCAAAGTCAAGCAAGCGAATTTTTTGCAAACAGAAGCCGCAATGCAATTCATGGGTAGATATTGATACCATATGCATCCCCCGTACCAAGTACCCATTCATCCGATGTCATAATACAATAAATAATGTACAACCTCACCGCACCGAGCATTCCCAATGCCATTCCCATGCATATCCATATTCATCTCCATAGCTAGCCATACCCAGTCCCACGCACAACCGATCACCTCTTCTTTCTTGAATAAAAGGTCAAATTTGCTCTCGCGCTCGTACCCGTCTTATGCACCAGGATTCTCTTATCCCAAAGCTGGCTCTTGCCCTCTACGACACTGATGACTTCCTCTGCGACTCTCTGTGCAAACATGCCTCGACCGCTGCTCCTCGATTTTTTCTTACTGGCTGCATCTATTATCCATTTGATTGCCTGTCGTCTGCGCTGTCGGATACCCAATGGGACGGGAATTTGTAGCGAGGCTCCACCTCCCGCAGCACCTTTTTGCGAACGGATACGTAGGAGAGGGGCGATGGAGTCGATGGCCGTAGTGAGATAGAGGACGGGGTTGAGGGGGAGGTGGGATGCCGGGGGTGTGCCCGGGAGGAGGGGTTTGGCGGGGTTGGGTGTGGGTGGGGACGCGGTTCGGAGATGGTTCAGTATGTATGACATATTCTGCAATAAAAAAAAACGTCGTAGTTAGCAATTCGTTCGGCATTTTTAAAAACGGATACCCCATGCGTAGCAAGCAAGCAACGCAAAAGGAAAGAACTAACGAGCCTACCCTCTGGGCAACACTCTTTTTGCCATGCTGCATTATCATGTTCGTCACCTGCGAAACCACGGGATCTTCTCTATGTTTCATATTGTGATCCGAAGGAATAGGTAATTCTGGAAGTCCAAATTTGTGTCCGTCGATGGTAAGATCGTTGGGGTTGGCGCCATTTTCCAAATGGCCGAGACGGCCAAGGGCCAGGAGATTGGCGAAGGAGATATCTTGAGAGAGAGCGGAGGCAGATGAAGCATCTTTAATATCTTCCTTGATGACTTCTGGGGCTTTGTCTTTTCCTTCTTGATCTCTCTTGAGAATCTATGCACATAATTAGCGACTGGTATTTCCTAATGTCATGAAGCTTTGTTGTTTGGGCAAATGTGATTAATAGATTTGATCCCCAGAAGATGGAGCAAATACCTCTTGAACATTTGTGCTCTTTCCCATATCAGGAGGAGTCTCTCCGGTAATTTCAGCCATATCCCTTGCCTCTTCACTGACGTGGCCGGCTACATCTTCATTTGATCCAGTTCTGGGAGGTTGTTTCTCCTCTGCGAAACCTCGACGTGCTGCCGGGATAATTGTGAAGAAAGCTGGGTTTCGAGGTGCGACAATGGTTCGTGGTCGAATGGTCAAGGACCTGCTAGCGCTGTGAAAGTTAAATCGTGGAGGCATGGTTGTGGATGTTGTGAAATCAGAAATCAGAATGCCTTCTCCGCACTTGATATCAGACTTGAGTCGAAGGATGCACTAGCCAAAATTTCGGTTTCGCCTTAGATGGGTGGTAATTGCCTGAGGCATGAATAGTATGTCTTGGGCAGTGACGATCTTTTTGGCGGGAACCACAGAACCATAACTCTGGGTCTTAATATTTAACAACATGGATCAGGGCTGGAACAAGATTCTTACTCGTTCATGAACTTCGATGTGTTACAGGGACGTTGAGTTCCTTGACGGCATTAATTTCTACAATACTCGCACGCTTCACAATTAAGAAGGCGATTAAAACATTTCACCACAACTTATCTAACATCGCAGTGCAAGTGAGTATAGTGCAAACAATCAATTTGATAATCCGAACAGAATTGTCATCTCCATATTGGGTGCTAATTAACAAAATTTGGAACCATTCCGTAACTCAAAAAGAATAAGTCATATCTAAAAACTTTTCCACACCACCTCCCAAGAAAAAAGTATCCAAGAAATTGTTGGGAATAATATCTCTGCATTCAAACTCCAGCGCCCTTGCTGTCCTGTGAAGATCCACCGCGAAACAATCCGACGCCTGAAGTGTTATTGGCACACATCCATCCTTGCCCAAACTGTAGCAAATGGCAAATCACCCTATTATCATCTCTTATCCTACAGGCTAAATCGAACCTTCGGCCGCAGTGTCTGTCCATTCAAAGTCTCAGGCTCGAATTACCACCCGCTTCGACTTTGGGTAGGTGAGGTTGGGCTTGATCCAGTCAAGCGATTGAGTGCCACTTCTGCTGCATCCTCTTTGGCATTGTTGACGTACTGTCCATCGTACCAGAATCGTGCAGCAATATTCTGACCCTGTACAGTTACTGTGCTAGACCATGCTGTTCGTCCGCCTAAATCAAGTGTTAGCTTTAAATTCTTTCTTCGAGGAAGACTCGGACTGGAGAGAAATGTGGTAAAAGATTACCTCTTCTATCTGATACGATCTGAAAGACCGGAGGGTGAATCTGTGCCTCGCGGCATCTCTCTTCGAGGCATTAGCAAATTTGATGTTCATTGTTTACAGCACATATTGCTTACCTTCGAGCTTCTCTTGCCATGTAGCTGGGCTAGAATTGTATGTAGAATAAGACATCTTTGGCAGTGTTTTCGTACTAGAAAGTCTGAATCCGTTCGAGGTCTTGAGCTAGATCTGGAATAGAGTGCTGGTAATGTGGAGGAGAAACAGTGGGGAGCGGGTTCGGGAATGGCGTTCTTCTCCGCAGGAATTGAAGCTGGTCTTATAGATGATCCGCATGTATTGTTGAGGAGTGTGGAAATGATATGAAACTCTGAGGTGGCAGTTAGATAAAGTTAGATTTCTTTGCATTTGCAACCCATGCAACCCATGCAACACGGCAGCTTTCCTCTAGGATTGTCTCGGCGTAGTGCATTGGATAGTAGGGGAAATGGATTTCGAAGAAGTAACGTCGATCGCCCGTAGCTTAGGGCCGTGTGTGCTGTCTCCATCGGTGGGGAGGACAGCTCATGTACGACCTCCCCCCCTACTGACTTCGGTAAAGTGTACAAAAAGCAATTTGAGGCTTGAGACAGTGGCAGTGAATGGAGATGCTCAAGCCAACGCTGGAGATACTTGCAGCAACTTGCAGCCTCGCATTCGTCATGGGACATTGGGAGAATGAAGTGAAAGTTGGCATATGTATGTGTGTAGTGTGTGAATGTATGTGGGGTGGAAGGTAAAATGTGCATGTAGATGGGCGGATCATATGCCAAAGAGTGACGATATAAAAAAAGGTCTCTCCATAAAAGAGGCCCAATGAGAATGCAAAATGCCGAACCTTGCCAGAAAAAAATATTGAGCTGCATAAGGACGAATCCGGGAGATGAAAAGTACCACTACGTCTGTTAATAGCTGATTCTAGACCTTGCTCATGTACTGAGACTTGATACATCTCCAATTTGGTTAGTTTTCAATTTGGTTTACTTTTTACCCAAAAAGTAATTATGGGTTTGTAGGACCCCAAACCTTTAATATCCCAGAATCTTTCATATTCTCAAATATCCTCAATATTACCATATAACAAAGCGATATATATCCAGGTACTCGTACAATGTGATTGGTCAATTCGGGACATATGAAAAAAAAGCCGAAGTAGTATACCAGATTCAATTAACAATTTTCCTTTCTTTCCCGCTACTGTAGATGTCCGGAGAGATGAGATCGAGATATCTGCAGGAACGGGTGCTTACATACAGATTCATATATATTGATCAATGATCGTCAGGGTAAGCCCTGGGATGAGAATATATAGTGCGGAGAATGGAGCAACGGATAGGTACATCTGTACATGTACTAAATCAAGCACTCAGCCCTGCGGCTTCTTCAACGGTGAGGCCACCGCTTCACACTTCACCGCTCCCATGTACCAACTAGATTCCAGAAGCCTGGCTCAAACGTCTATAGATATTAAGAAAGGGAGTATTTAGCTTCATCGATCCCGGAAAACGGATAGATACTTGCATTTCGTCTAGAAAGACTTGGTAATAACAGTCGTACGGCAAGCATCTTCAATTGGGATTCCCAAGTGGACTGATTATGTTACCTCGACAAAACTTGGTTCAAAAAACAGTTTAAAGTAAAGATGGCTCGCAAAATTCCCAACAGGATATTATGCCGCACCCCGTCGGATGCTCCGCTTTCTTAACCGCCATACGGAATAGTATTGGCTGGGTCGATGGAGTTTCTTCCGTTTAACAAGGGGGTGACAATGAGAAAAACCGCGAGATACACAACTTGATAATGAAACATTGAAACAGTCTTCTCATAGATATGTTGTTGCGTGGCGACGTGAGAGATGGCCAAGTATCTTGAAGCCTTGTCCATCAACATTAGAACAGCCCTATTTTCGACAGCGCATCGACTGGATTTAGAATCTGTTGATGCCCAAGTGTTCGAATATCTTGAGGATAATTGAAGAGTTGCTCACCAAAATCATCGTATTGTCGGACGACATTTACTAGGGTAAATTTATATTACTCGGGCAGATTTGACGGACCAGGAACGGTTTTTCCCGTGCTCGTCTCAGCAGGTTGCGTTACCATGTGAAATTAGGGTACGACTTCATACTATACCAAACGTGATAATTTGATTATTTGTGAGGTCTCCAATCATATCATGTTCTCGTTCTCGGAGGTAATGTTAATTAAGTAAGAACAAGACGGAGAAATTCATGATGGAAGACATTGTGTTGTGTTTGTTTGAGATCAACATCAAAAGTCGAAACGGACCACGGCGTGCCACGGGTATATAAGCCTTAGTTGCCGTGCCTCGGTATAAAGAATGTGGGGAAAGGAGCGTGCTAGCTAGGTACTCGAGTACAATATCAACAGCTTTATTATAAACCGCAGATGTAGTGTAGTCCGACTTGGATTTCTATCACAATCATTCTTTTGAAACACAGTATTATTAAAAATATAGAGAGACATCAGAATACCTAGACCCTTCATTCACTTCAACACGCTCGATAGATTGATTAGATAAATTTACCCCGTCCTATCGCATCATATCATTCGTTAACAATCTTCAACATCATGCCTTTCCATACGAGACTTACCAAGGCATTGGGTATAGAGCGTGAGTTACACCCTCATGGGCTCTTTTGACCGACACATCATTAACTTGGGACTACGTAGTACCTATCGTTCAAGGTGGTATGCAATGGGTGGGATATGCGGAGTTAGCAAGCGCCGTATCAAATGCTGGAGGTTTGGGTATACTCACAGCTTTAACGCAACCTACTCCAGAAGATTTGCGCAAGGAGATCCGAAGATGTAGGGAAATGACGAAGAAGCCATTTGGTGTAAACATTACACTGTTGCCGTCGATTAACCCCCCGGAGTAAGTTTCCGCAGATCTTAATCTCATCTCATGTTGATTCGCCGTATGCTCCGTGCCGAGTACAACATGGTCGTCGAGCCGCGAAAAGTTGCAAAACTAAGCTGACTCGTGATTTAATTCAGTTACGGTGCATACGCACAAGTCACTATCGATGAGGGAATTAAAGTCGTCGAAACAGCAGGCAATAGCCCTGGCCCTATCATAAAGATGCTTAAAGCTGCTGGAATAATCATCCTACATAAATGTACGACCATCAGACATGCAGAGAGTGCAGTGAAGCTTGGGGTTGATTTTTTGAGCATCGATGGTTTCGAATGTGCTGGGCACGTTGGTGAAACTGATATTACCAACTTCATCCTCCTTAGTAGAGCTAGGCAATCGCTCAAAGTTCCTTTTATCGCATCCGGAGGGTTTGCGGATGGTCAAGGTCTTGCGGCCGCGCTTTCGCTTGGTGCTGAAGGTATTAATATGGGAACACGATTCATGTGTACTGTCGAGGCACCAATACACGAGAATATTAAGAAGGAGATTGTGAAGGCATCGGAAGTTGATACGCAGCTCGTTCTTCGAAGATGGAAGAATACTTCTCGCTTGTATAAAAACAAAGTTACTGCAGCGGCAGTAAAAATTGAACAGGAGAGTAAAACTGGAGAATTCTCAGAGGTCGCTCCCTATGTGAGCGGCAAGAGAGGCAGAGAAGTCTTCACCACTGGAGATCCTGATTATGGAGTAAGTAACAATCTTTCAATATTCAAATACCACAAACTGACCCTCTCTTCCAGGTCTGGACTGCTGGCCAAGTCATTGGTCTCATTCATGACATTCCCACATGTGAGGTACTTTGCAAGAGAATCGAGAAGGATGCCGTGGAGACGTTGAACAAAGCTTCGGCTCTCTTTCAACCATCAAGCAAGCTCTGATTGTATAGCGTTTCCATGTATGTATTTTAGGATTACCATATGATTGTTTTGATACCCTTTGGATCAAGTTTCTCCATGATAAGTGACTGGTGAGCTATGCACAGCCGCTGCGGCTTGAACCTCTGCTTAGTCGACAGATACCCTCAAAGTCTGATTGGTATCTTGCTCGAACGACTAAGCTCCCGACTAAGCAACCCACAAAGCAATTTTAAAATATTATTTCTTCCTTTCAAATTGTTTTCAATTCTCTTTCCTTCAATCCTTCAACCTTTGTGAAATCTCTCCACGCACCACAACACCAACATCTATTCCCTGGCAGCACTTGCTTGCCATACTCGTCTACGAGGTTTGTACTCCTCACCTATTATTTATGAGACAATTCAATTGATTCTTTTTGTCTGTCAATCAGTTACCACGGCCAACACCAGTAAGAAACAAGAGAACCTCCGCTTATGAGGCCGCTTGTGCGGCCTCATCTAATACCGGAATACCCAGCTGCGGTCAATCATACAATTGTCTGCGGCTTCTCCTTAATTCAGCATGGCGTTCAATCCGAAAACAGAGGTTTCCTTTCCAGGACCACGGCCAACACCAGTATGCCATGAATTTGAGATGGCTGGCTATGGGAGCAGTCATTCTGTGACTGCTCCCTACGCCGGCCCAGGAGGATACACACCTCTAACTATGGTTCGACCTGGTTCGACCTGGTCCAACCTGGTCCAGTGTATCCTTTGCAAGAGCAAAGCAGAGCAGAGCAAATCAGTTCCGCATTTGCTCGTGGCAATTGTCGAGCTGATGGCTCATACACACGACTGTTGCCTGCGGATGAGCTCCGCATCACACTCCAAATGAATCGTACTATTCTGGACAGTACCAGCGTGGTTGAAGGATCAGCCACCCCCAAACAGCCAAGATTTATCTTCCCAAGTTTGTTTGGTTCTGACCGGCGAAGATTACCGAAAACATCGCCGCTGAGTATGAAGGATCTGACCTCTTTGCGAAACATCGCTGGCAGGTAATCGATCTTATCATTCCTGGCTGCCATACTTTTTTTCTAACTTTTTGCAGATGGAAGCAACGGACCGACGGATATTAAAAATTCCCGAAAGGGCCGATCCATGGAGAGCCGACTATTAAATCGCGGCAAAAAGACAGGCCATTCGATGGCTCTGTTGAGTCCAGTCGTCTCCTTCGCAACCCTATGCGTCGAGAGAAGATATATTGCGGCAAGTGGGTTCATGAAGGCACTTGTGCTTTTACACAAGTTGGCTGCAAATACAAGCATGAGGTGACAAATGGACAAGGATACGCAAGTCTCTCTCGGTTTGAACCAACCATGGAGTCCCAAATTGGTATACCTGGGCTGTCTTCTCAATGAATTGCTATTGATGATAGAGAGAGGTGTTGAACGGTGTTTTGATGTGCTCGATTTATGTATGATTAGTCTAACATTGAATGTAATAATATTTCCTGTGGCCGTTTCGGCGTGCATTTGGGTCTGAAGTTGTGGTGATTGATGACTTGAGGTGGAAGACTGGCTGGTGGAGAGGAAGGCTCATAGGTAGTAAGTGAATGTCTTCAGCAACGTCATCCACTCTTTCTAATCTGGTTATCGACATAGACTTTCTTTTGCCTCAGCAGCCTCAGCATTCACCAACTAGTTTTCTAGTCTAGATAACCACGGAAGATGTAAAAGGTAAGTCATATGTGCCCACTCTTCAAGCGAGACTCAACGCTAATATGTCCCAGACTCAAGCAAGCATACAAATTTTCATCGACTTCGCGGTACCAATTATGATCTCGTCATGAACTTCGTACCACCTAAACAACCCGCGATAATGACGGTCTTTGACTCAACAGCGATGCCCAATTTCCTCCATCAACAATCATGAGCACATATAACTTCAGCCACCACATAGCAGGCGGCGAAACACGTGCGAATACCTTCGATTTACCACAACCGCAACATCTAACCATAGTCTCTCTGCCTTTTCATATTTCAGATCTCGGTTCTGAATACGAACTTGTTGATGGTTTTATGAACTTCCCGTCTACAGCTAAATTCCATGTTGTTCGAAGTCTGAACTCGTATCCTGGAGATGGAGCACAGCGCAAGATCAAGAACAGAATCAGAATGTAGAAAAAATGGGACGTTGTGGGAATTATGGAATGTGTTGGTTATTGGAATTATTGATTTGTGCATTCTTTGCAGAGTTCTAAAGAAAGCTAGCAGAAGCTACAGACACACTTTGTTCTTTCGACATGAGAAGCACTTATGACGATGGATTTCACATCGCAAATGAGATCTAATCAAGTCAGCATCGCGCGAGGGCACTTCGTCAAATATCTCGGGTGTATAGGTGAGCATTGCGAAAGCCTCTCACCTCGGGCAATGGTTCCTCTACGAATCACCAAAGTTAATCTCTCCTTTCCCTCCTTTATATCCTCCCAACTAATCGCAAAAAGCATCATAGTCTGTCACGGTTTCAGGGAAGTTAGACATTTGGAATCACACTAAACAACGACAATCTAAAGAGACGTCTAAGTTCATATACCGTTCATAGTGCGAGCAAATCCTCTGATTGGAAAGATTGAGCTCTCCTAAAGGAATTTTGACATCAATGACGCCTTTTTTCGAAGATTTTGTTCTCGGGGTAATCAACCCCGACTGGCACAGAGGCAGCATATATTGAAATGACTTGACTATCGAATGGCAGCAATAGTTTTTCTAAAACGAATACTGGATATAGTTTCTGCTTCCAAAACTATATTCCAACTCCATCCTAAAACTCAAGTGCAAGCTTCTCAAGGGAGTATCTCGACTTTCAACAACGACGTACCAACGAACGGCTCGCTGGTCTCGAGCTCAACCCTACAGAGCATATCCAAGAACGGCGTTATTGAAGTCAAAGTAACCCCAAAGCCTCGCGCGGCAGCAAAGAAGGCTCCCAAAATAAATCGATCAAGAAATCTCGCTAAACCATCCTCACTCACAACTATATAGCATATTGCCACGTCCAAATATATTTATGTTTCGAATCACCCAAAATACTCAATCTAGCACGACGACTCATTGTCCGTCCGGGCTCCGTCGTCGCCCGAATGTTTCTCCTGATTCTCTCTTCAAATCAATCGGAATGCATATTATGAACCGCACAAACCAGAGCAAAAGAGCCTCCGCCAAACCCATTCCCAGATTCGATAGATGTAGATGTGCAGGTTCGTCTTTACTAACTGCTAGAAGGTAGAGTCAAGACGAAGCAACTTCCTCTCCTTTTTTTCAATTTCCGCAGACGTTTTGGTCATCGAGCCTTGTCACGATTAGCTGATGACCATGACCGTGACCGTGACCGTGATCACAATCATGACCTCGAACTTGGATATCTAGAAAGGAGTCCGCTTAATATACTCGTATCTTCATATATTTCAAAATTCAACGAGATTTCACGCGCGAGGGTTGAATGTTATCTTCTTTTCAAGACCTTGCAGGCAGCAGGAGTAGCTAAAGGGGTATCAATCAGGATTCTGCAATGAAATGAAATGGATGAGGAATTCAAAGCGTGTGCATGGCCTTGTAATTTTTTCTTTCTGTGTTATCTTTATATTGTAATGCATTGAAGAGGCGAAGGATAGTAACATACGGAGTACAGTAGGTATGGCTTATTTTACTGTATATTTTTGAAAAATGAAGGTAGAGGTAGAAGCGAGATAAAAATGAAATGCGTAGTGTGGTGTGAGAGAGGTTGTCTTGTTTGGAGTTTGGTTAGGGCAATTTACATATATGAAAAAGTTCACAAATTGCTGCTTATGATTGATATTGCAGGAAGCACTTTGAAGAATAAGCCTCTACTGTAATCTTCTAACTAGTGTTCCAAGATTCTCCCTGCTTGTAGGGTATAACGTTATATTGTTTTTGATCAACTCTCTCTAGTTTTTCATGGTTTTACCTTGGTTTGTCACGTTCATAATGAGAGCGTTGGCACGGTATATCAATACATGAATTATAAGCTCAAAGTTATGTAGCCAAGAATCTCTAGCGATTACTTTACTTCCTTCCGGAAATTGCAATAAATTTTCCACCCACACTTCATCTCAACATCCCAGAAATGATCCATCACCCTCACATCCAGTGTACCTCATCACGATGCACACTCCACTCAGTCCTTCCTTTCCCTCTTCTCACTCTTCATCTTCTGCTGATGCATCTTCATCTCCGATCTCCTACCCATATAGCTAAAATACCACGTAGGCTGCCCATGCTTAACCCTACACCCTATACTCCAATCACACATACGATCATGTTCCCAACACGCCCAATCACTCTTCGACATCCTATTACCACTCGCATCCTCATCATCATCATCATCATCATCATCATCATCATCATCATCATCATCCTCATCATGCATTCTCGCATCCGCCTCATCCATCCTCGTAGTAATCTTACTCGCATCCATGCAATCGAGACACAAGCCCTGAAAATCATTCTGCACCTTATTGCGCACCATTCCCGCACAACCACCCTTCAACATCCCCACGCATTTCCCGCCAGATTTCTCGGGGATGTTGGGAGAGAATTTTTGTAAGCCGGGACTATCAATGACATACTGCACGCTTTTCTTCCAACAAGTATCGAGAGGCCAGATGCCCGTCTTGGTGAGCGAGGTCACGTAGGACTTTAGGGATTTGGCACTGCATTCACAGCGAGTTTTGGCGAAGTCCTCCAGAGGAGAAAAAAGACCACGGAGAAGCTTGCCGCGGAGAGAACCACGGGCGCCGTTGACTGAACCTGTGACATGACAAACGTTAGAAATGCTGTTCGTTTGTAAGTAAACATAAATATGTGTGAATACACACCCAGAACATTATGATGCAAATGCAAATAATGGTGTTCGGTCGGATTAACCTCATGAATATGACCTTCAGACTCATACGCCTTTTTCCTAGTGATCCACGCAAAAGCCAACGCAAGATCCAGCAGAAGACACGGAGTCATCAATTGATCCATTTCATCCTCATCCAATTTCTCATAATCTTTCTTTTCCATCCAGATGCGAAACCAAGCTTTCAACAGTTCGATATCGAGAGCGCGGTACTCGCATATGTGGAGAGCGTGCCAGATGTCTTCGATGGGAAGATGGTGCATCTCATCTATCATCGCATCATGAAGGAGTCGGAACCAGAGTTCTACGCTTTTGATGGATCCATCTTGGATATTGATGATGGGCTCGCTGCATCTTTCAAAATGCCATTGTATGGAGAGTTGCCAGACATCGGAGCTTTCTTTGAGAAAGTTTCGAGAAACGAGATATGTTGCCAGGAGAGTTTCCGTTGTTGTTTTTACTCCGGTGATGCGATCTGTGGAATTATCTTCTTTCATGAGTTGGATGGTTAGGTCGCCTTCGGGATCGATAACTAGATACACTGGGGGCTATTTCTCTGTGAATAATGCGGTCCTGAATGAATTGATAGAATACTTACTGCTGGGGTATTCGCGCTCGCCATTGTTGCTCCGATCTTCGTAGATCGAGCCGGATTTTGCTTGGGCGTTTGATTTGGGTTGAGAAAGTGTAAGTTAAGGAGTGGAAGTGAAAGATTAAAAGGCACCAGTTGAAGGAAGACAAAGTCGAGACAAACAGCGCAAAAAGCGGGGAAGTCGAGGGAAGTAGAAAGTGAAATCCACTGGGATTCAGATACAGCACGAAGACGAGACAGAATAGGAAAGGAATGAATGAGACCAATGTTGAGAATATAGAAGGTGAATAGAGAAGTCAAATCGAGGTCACAAGAGTTCCGTTGCTGAGATGTGAAGGGGATAGCTTAGATGAGTGTATTAGAAAGGGGAGAGGACTCTTCGAACCGACATCTACTTGATATCTACTTGACATCTGAAATTATGTTATCCCATATCTCATCCCAATCCTGAAATCTATAGCCATAGCATCATATACAGCAAAAAGCCAAAAGTGATATTTAGATAACCATAAAACACGCCCAGATCCAGATCCACCAAAACCCAAGCATGCAACGCTAAATCTTTCAGTATAAATCCATTAATCAATCTTCAAAGCGACAATTTAGTCATCTCATCAGTATCAGGGTATCTCAAACATATCTTCCAAACTTCCATTATCTACCCTATTACCCATACCATCGCAAGCTCACCCCAAGCCATCCATTCTCCCCCTAAGGATAAAAAAGAAACCACCAAAACAGCAAAACTGAGTAGTTATCCTCAGAAACTTGGGCTTTCCACACAACTTTGCCGTTACATCAACTCAACAAGTGTTTTGATCGCAGTCTAGTCAGCTGCATCAAAGTGGCCGTTAAATTGGTGCTAGAAGGAGTGAAATCAGATAGTTATAAGTCCTGGGCGTGCGTCACATAATCATTCCGTATCAACCCTATCTGGCACCGGAACCTGAATCGCAGGAGCATGTTCGGCCGCAGTATCTTTGAAAGCCGCTTCAGCCTGTGGCACCGAGTCCGATTCACCCACCGTGGTATCCTTCTGACGAACCGCGTCCCATCTCTCATTTCCATCATTTGCCGCTGTTTCCGCTTTTTCCAACCACTGCTGCCATTTCTTTGTCTTGGGCGCCGCCCCACTGGTTTCTACCCATCCTATTTTCTTCGTTTCTCTGATGGCATACCATAAGGTTCTAGTGAACGAAGGCTTTCCTTCAACATCGGTGTCGTCCTGAGCTAAATGTGCTTCCCGTGCTGATTCAGGTGTGACGTCTTTCCAGTCGTAGCTCGAAAGATCCCAGAATTTTCCTTTGTTCATTAGAGCTACCCCCCAGAACGCGCCGTTGAGAACTATATAAGATACACCAATGGAAATTTGCATTTGGAAATCACAGTTGCCCAGTAACACAACAGAAACCATGAGTAGGAAGGTGCCAAAGCCGACGAGTATTCGGTAAGGATCAGTAGAAACGTAGTAGCGACATTCTTCGGTACCAGAGTATAATTCCCGGGCAACATCCTCATCACATCTGACGACGATAAATGCTCCTTCCCTAGTACGGATTACGACATCGCCTTGGGGAACTTTGCTTTTGAAATTGCGATTCATAAGGACGGGTGACCAGTACGATGCATAGCCGACGATGGATGATGCGAGAGATATAGTGAAGAGTGCGACGCAGGCAGTTCCGTCATGAGTCACTACCGCCCATATGAAGAGACCGATGGTCAGGAAAAACGATACAAGGGATAGACAATTTAGAGGTGACCAAAATTTGGCTGGTACGTGAGGTTTCAATCCATCTAGACTGGTCCCACGATGGGTGATCTTTGCGAGGGTATTTCTACGTCGAGCTTGAAGCTTTCGTCCGCTTTCCAACTGTGCAGTATCAACACTACTTGAAGCCGAAACCTGCCTCTCCTTATTTGTAGATATGAGCGGGGTCGGCAATTCCCTCGGAGCGTTCCTGTGTTTGATTTCAAAGACCTTGAACTGGAAAGGTTCGAGGTTCTCTATCGGATGTATAATATTTGGAAAGAAGTTGAGGGTTGGTATGGAAATCCCGCTATGTACACCGACCACAGCAGCGTTGACTTGTGGCATTCGTGAGGGACGAGAAGATTTAAGGAGGACTTGTGGTGCGGGAATAATTCGAGGGAGCATACACATCCAGGAGGAGGTCATGGATTGGGAGTGTTCGGCCATGGCGGATTCGCCTATGACGGCGAGAAGCGATACGATGTCTAACCTCCATCCATCACTTTGGTAATTGTTAGTTTATGGTTAACGGACGAGAAGCCTGCGGATTATATCTAACGTACCGAACTTCTTTCCCCGTTGGAAACCATGAACCTGCCATCTCGAGTATTGTGCCCCACGATAACTATCGTCTGCCTATTGTCGTCCCAAATTTTCAAAGTTCGAGGTTGATATAAGTTCGAGGTCGAGTTCAATATAAGTAACAGCGCCTGCTTCCTCCACGTCTCAAAGTATCACTATACCAAATTCGAGTCTCCACTTCCTTTCCTTTCGTTTCTTAATCCTCTATTCCGTATATATATCTTCAGATAGCAACCGATTATACATAAAAATAAAAACAAAACCTACAGAGCCTCAACCAACCTTATATATCTATCTACTCGAGTTAGTTAGTTCGTTCGTTCCAGAAGTTCCATACCCCCTCCACCTTGAACAAGCCCCCGAAACCATTAGGGGCCTAACAAAACAAGCAAGTAACATCGCGTCTCACGAGCCCTTGGAGCTGAAAAAAACGCGGAGTTTAGTAGCGCGTCGCTCGGGACGATCGTGACAGGGGAGGGGGATGGACCAGGTAAGCTAGCTGTACCTATTATCTATCATCTACTCAAGGAGTACAAGCCTATGTTTAATGTGCTGCATGTATATGGTCATTTGTACTTATAGTCCGAAGGGGATAATTAACTATTAGGAATTGAGATGAGAGTATCAATATCTCCAAAAATCTCCAAATCTCCAAATCCCAAAGCCTTCTTCGAACTTCGAACGCCTAGCGCTCTTAACCCTAAATTTTAGCGTCCGTTCCGTCCAAACCCCCCAAACCAATCAATATGATAGACAGCCCGCGAACAAAACAGAACAGACTAGCCAAGCCAAGCCCTATTTGTGGATACCTACAATAGCATTCATCCTTTAACAAGTAATAATTCCTTCCCGTTTCAAGTATGTATTCCACTATACCGATATATTCATTGGATTTTTGATCTAGTTGTGTATTCTATAACATTTGTCTATTGTTCATTTCAATATCCATAACATCATACCCAGCGGCAATATTTGCAATATACCCAAAACCATAGAGGAGAAAGAAGTAAGGATGAAGGAGGCATAACCGACATGGGAACTCGGGAGAACCAAAGCGTTTGCCATGAAGGGGTAAGTGACTAATATACAAGTATATACTGTAGTCAATAAGAGCTACAGCATCGTATGGCGCACCTAGTTTCTATTTTTGTTTCCAATATAAATACTCGTATAATTATCTTATAATAATCGATTGGATAAAAATACGTTTACGAGTATATGGAGAACTCCAAGTCAGAAAACAGAATCATTCGCCGAAATATGTCATGCTGTTGCCTGCATCTGCGCATGTGATGTGTGATGTGAGATTATATTGAGGCTGAATGTGCTCGAGTACCGTGATGGCCTTTTGTTTCTTATGACTCGAGTATTTATATCATATGACACTCACTCACTACACATGGTTAGGTACGAGTATAGGGGCGAAGAAAAGCGAGAATAGATATTTTAAGATCTAAATCGAAGGGAAGAAAGATATAAAAAATATATGGTAAGGTAAAAGCATTGATTATAAAAGATAATACACCCAAGACGCCTAGGTAGTCAGTCAGTCGTCTCTCATTGTCATTGTACCCAAGTCTCATGCGCCTGAACGCCCGGTATCGTCTTATTCCGTCTGAATATTTTAATCAGATCACCGCCTGGTCCCTGTTTCTCTTCTTCCCGTCGATGGCATGAAATGAAGGTCATGGAAGTGAATGAAAGAGCCTGGTCAATGTATCGTAACCTCCATAACCTCCATAATCTTCACAATCACCTTGACGTCAATGTCGACCAGGTGCCGGTGTCCAGTCGTTTACCCAACTATAATTATCAACAATCCATTGACAGTAATCTTTCCATCTGGTAGTCCATTCCTTCGTGACTTCTTTCTTCTCCTCAGTATCCATACAGCTGTGTTCTAAACTCCATTTTGCAAGCTGTTTCCAGCCGTGAAGAGACATTGATTCCGAGCCGATCATTACTTGATAGAAATCATGGGATAAGGATGATCTGTTATTTGTTAGTCAAGCTGTAGATGATGACGAGGGAGGGAGCATGCCTATAGAATGTGGCATTGTCGCTGTTAATCGTACAAGGCACATCGTTTGCTAGTAATATTGGGAGATTATGTGCTGCAATACTGGGAGTGAGACCAAGGACCTCATTAGAAATAGGACATGATTCGATCGCGATGTTCTTTTCTTTGAATATTTCCATGAGGACAGGGTGTCTCGCGATTGCATAACCATGCCCGATTCTCTTCGCGTTCAGTAATATCGCATCGTAAAGATTGCCGTCCACTTTATCGCCGACCTCTAGTGTCTCCCCGCAATGAAATAGAAATGGTATGTCTAGCTTTTGGTCTCGGCATTCTCGCCGAAATGCAAGGAATTCGGGCACGAAATGTCGAAGTTCATTACCCATCTCTTCGTGGCCCACGAGATCGAAACCTATATTTTCATTAATAGTTGTAAGTGAAATCGGAATTTGGGCGAGGCTAACCACACAGGAGTTTTCGGTATCTCTTCTTCAAGGTAATGCACTCATCAAGCGCTACCTCGATCTGGACCCTATCAAATGAGCGAGGCGTGCAATATATGACTTTCATGCCTCCGAAATACTGCTTGTCATTCCGAATCTCCTGCATGGTCCTGTGGAGTTCTTCATCGATAATTTTCATAATCCCTTCATTACCAATAGTTTTCGTACCATCATCAGACTTCAGTGAATTCGTAGCCATGAAATTGGGACGTATCTCAGCATATTGAATATTGTCCTTGACAAAATCCTTGATGCACTCTTGGGTATAATTTCGAAATGCCGACTCATAAGCAAATAGTCCTTTCATCATCTGAGTCCTATAATTAAACTTCTCCCAGATACTAGTATGTTAGCGAAAAGTCGCTCGATTTGAATCGTATACATACCCGCGACCAGTTTGAGTACAACCATGAGCTTCATCTTCCGATATTTGCATTTTTCTCTCAAGCCATGTTTCAGCACCGGTTGTACCGCTCAGCGTTTGACAATTTCCGTTCATGAAGTTGAATTCTTCTTGGAATTTCTTGTATGACATCCATCTATTGGGGACGTAATCTGTATCCCAAACATTCCCCAGAGGAACATAGATTTCTTTCTCCTCGCCCTTCTCGTGAGTCGCTTCATGAGGTGTCATTACCATGAAAGATATTCGTGAAGCTGCGTAATTCTCCGAGTTCGTTAGAGGAAGAGTGCTCCGAATGTACATTGCATCGACGTCCCTCGCTTGTTGTATCAAGAATCGTGCTGGTAAACAGGAATTGAAATGGATGTGAAGGTGAGCGCCCTTTGGCATCCGTTTCGCAATTTCCATCAACTTCGTGCCATTGATGAGATCCACGTTCCCCAAAAAGTGCTCTCCTTGAGCTCTCTTACCAGTAGCAAGACCTTTCCCATCGACGGGTTTTCCATAAGTCTTGTCCCAATCGTAATTTCTGATTCTGCGCACAATTTTTGCCGCCCTTTTCTCCACGTTTGAAGCCAGCTCTTCAGCTTCCGCATCAAAGGCAGTTCTCCGTTCAGCTAGCTGAAGACTTTTGAGAGCTTTGGTATAATCCTCTGGAGTATCGAATTCTCTCTTCTCGATCGCAACGCGCCAAAGTTCCTTTGCTCTTGTCCCAGGTCTTCCAGATTGAGGCATCTTTAAGATACTAGACCTCGGCTTCTCTCTTTGGACCTCTTTGAATTCACTATCCGGCGCTTCCTCGCCGTCTTTAAGTATGGAGCACAAAACGCCCATCCCATCCAGCCTCCTTGACACAAAGTTCTAGAAGCAGTGATGCCTGACAGGATTGTAGAGCTAGAGCGACAAGATATTAGTATCCCGAACAGATTGTCATTGCCGGATCGCCCACATATGTCAGAGATGTTAGTCGTGAAAATTATCACGAACTTGCATGCTCGAATGTCTTGTGAGAGAGCTCAGCCACTCAGTAAGGTGTTTGCGCAAGGACTACTATTGGCCGCGGACCTTGTACTTGTGTGACGAGAGCGCTAGAGCTGCGTCGTATTATGCAAACAATTGACCAAATTTTGTACCAAAGTTTATTCAAAATAAGAATCCTCATTGACCAATACTTGATCTTTCAAAAATGTATAGAGCAAGTCAAAAATCCATATTGTGGTTGCGTTCCGTTGCAATTTTTGCAAGAAGGGTTGTAAACATGCATCAATGGCTGATAGTTGATGAGGGGGATCCAGATAAGCACACTTATCACTTATCACCCATTACTCACCCGAGCGGCAATGCAAATACAAGGCTGAATACAAGGCAATCTCGTGTAACCATGGCACTGGGAACTTACTATCATCTACTTACCTACCTAGGTATACAGATGATCCCAAAGTTGACATTGACCATGTCAGTCGACGATAGCCAAGCTTTGCCTATGAGACTTTTACTATAGGAATGGCATCATTAGTTGTTCACACGAGCTCGCCGAACACTCATTAGCACATGCATACAATACTCATAAAGCTCAGCCCTAAATACATTAAGATTACCGGTGTCATGGAATCATTTAGTACGAGAAGCCTTGGAGTTAAGCCCCAAGACGTTGTCATTAGGATATCGTTTAGAATTATCAACATCCACAAAGACCAAGTCGGTGTGCGAAGATGAATCTGGAAGTGTATTTATGTACAGAGGACAAACTTTTGTATTATCAATGTAGCGAAGCTACTTCTATCATAAATTTGCGCCAAACGCTCCTTTGCTACCCAGTCAATTTAATCGCCTCCAAAGGTTAAAACCTTTCTTATGCTGAAACGTTCGTTGACAATAATTCAATTCTCAAACTACCAATCCAAAAGATAGATCTCTAGTCTTCGAATTTGATACCCTTTTTGCCATCGACGTCGATGTACCCACCCTTGTAACTTCCACGCTTCTTCTTATTCTTCTCCTTGGTGAAACCCTTGCCTTTTGTAACAATCAGATCCTCATGAGCCTTTTGCGCGTAATCATATGGTACATATGCGTTGCTAGTCAATCTAGGGTCGACTTTAGTGTCTTTGGGAATGCGAGAAAATGGTACATTTTGCTTTCTAGGAAGCTTCGCAGCAGGCATTGGTGGTAAAGGTGGGTCTAATGCTTTATCGTTTGACGACTCCTTGCCTTCAGAAAGAGTTTCGCTTGTGTCTGAGCTGGCCCCAGTTCCTTTCTTTGTAACTTTGCCAGAATCACTCTCGGAATCAGAGTCAGAACTAGAGTCGGAGGATGAGTCGGAATCGGAATCGGAATCAGGCAATGGAGTTTTCTTTGCGGTTGATTGTGTAGAAGAATCGGAGTCGGAGTCTGAATCGGAGGAATCAGAAGAAGAATCAGAAGAGCTAGAAGCATCTTTAGTCTTCGCAGCCTCGGAACCTTCATCTTCAGAGGTAGATGCGGATGAAGAGGCTGAAGATTCCTTCTCAGCAGCAGCTGTCTTGGCTTTCTTGGCTTTCGGGGCATCTTCTTTTGAACTTGAATCCGAGTCGGATGAATCGCTGTCTGAAGTAGCTTTGCGCTTTAAGGTGTTGACTTTTGGCTTCGGGGAGGGGGATTTGATGGCCGATGGCGCATCATCTTCATCGTCAGCGTCACTATCGGAACTGCTTGAAGATGAAGACGAGGATGAAGAAGAAGATGAAGACGAGGAAGATCTTCGAGAAGAACTCTTCTTGGCTGGTGGTGCATCTGCCATTTCAACATCACTTTCTCCCTCACTGCTCGAATCACTACTGTCACTGCTGCTGCTGCTGCTGCTGCTGCTCGAGGCATCCTCAGGTACGACCTTTGCTGCCTTTTTCTTTGGGGTTTCGTCCTTCTTGACTGCTGCTGCCTTGAGTGCCACGTTTTCCTCCTTCAACGCCTGCCACTCATCGTAGATAGCTTCAAGAGAGGTAGCAGCAATGTCAGCTCCTGCTGTTGCGACATCTCGGTTGCGACCTTCAGTCTTCAAGGTGCGATTGGTTTGCATGAGTTCGTGCTGTTCGAGGAATTTACCGACAAGATTGAGCAAATGGGAAGGAATTCCGGACTTGGGGGGTTCACCGGCATCTCGGCGGTTGAGGAGATCTTGTGCGAGTTTCTTGTCTTGTTTGTTCTTCGATCGTCCTTCGTTACCAGATTTACTAGCTAAGGCTGGCTTTGCATCAGCATCAGCACCAGCATCAGCACCAGAGCCAGCAGGAAAGAGCCAATCTGGCTGCGGTTGACCAGCAGGATTCTTCCTCTTTCCCAATGCTTGCATATTTGCATTGTCCGGCGCCACCCCCGTATTTCGTTTGCCCTTTGGCTTTGGCCTCATACTTAATGATTGAATTTGAAGAAGTTGGATAATGGTATTGGTCGCAAAAATTAACAGCTTATCGGTAGCAAAAAAAAAGTTACAAGGGAGAAACGACATAAATTCGCTAGGCTACATCAAGATTAGTGAGTGTATTTACCCTTGGCGCGGTGTGGGACTATAAATAATCAAAACCCAAGTACATATGAGTACCGGCAGGTAGTTTAAAGTGTAAAGCCTGTACATGTACAGTGGGTTATGTATATATATATATATAATGCCTTTTGTAATCTTATAACAATTTCAAATCAGTGAATCAATCTACCAAATGAAGACCTCACGCAAAATAGGTGCTTATCGCATATATTCATGATTTGTTGATTACCGGTAATTGAATTGAATGAAAGGCTGTGGTAAGATGTCGGACCTTGTTATTCCCGTCTCCAAGGTTCTTGCTCTCAAGGTCTCTATCCACCACCGTTAACCGTAATGCTGATGCTGGTTTGTTTGATGTCAGGGAACAGAAGCTACGAGTAGAAAGCTGGAAGTGTCAAATTATAACCACCAAATACCCTAATATCTACGAGTAACTTCCATCCCATACACTCTTCTCCCTCTATGGGTTATGCCGTGACCTTCGAATGCGATTTACAAGCAGGAAAATGATCCTCGAGCCAACCGCAGAACAATATCCAATTCGCCTTTACGAATAAATGATTGAAAAGGATACACAGAACAGTCGCCTCGATTTAACGAACGCGGCTCCGCTTCATGGACGGCTCTACACGAAATGGGCCTGGCGGGGTCAACGGCAGTGATAGAAGTGGTATGAGCAGAGCAGAAAGATTTGAGGATGAGAAGAGACGAATTATCGACAGCTGTTTTGGGAAGAAGGATCCGGATGGTTCTTGTAAGATTCGTTTGGTTCATGCTGGAAGTATCAGTTATATGCTAATCCCTCGGTCGTCTAGTATTAGAATCATACATCACACACATTAGGATCATTGAGGATGCTGCATATCCATCTTCTCCGCCTCCCCTAAACGCCAATACGGACGTCAAAAAACCTCGTCTTATAATTGTCGCTGTGCGCAAATCTGGACGGGTCCGTATGCATAAGGCTAGGGAAAATGCGAATGGGAGCTTTTCAATAGGCAAAACTTGGATGCTCGATGATCTATCTGCGGTAGAGTCTTTTAACGGAGCAGTTCCTGCGAGTTCGGAGGAAGAACAGCGCAAGCTATGGGCTGGTGGCATGGGATTTATTGTAACGATTGGAAAGCCCTATTATTGGCAGGCCAATACCCAGAAAGAAAAGCAATTCTTTATCGCAAGTTTGGTCAAGATTTATACAAAATATACCGGTGGAAGAGCCCCGGAACTGATTGGGTTTGATTCCAAAGAAAGAGAACAATTATCTGGCATTTCTACTTCTGCACGACCACAACAACCACCCTCTCAGGAATCTCGGCGACCCCCGCAACCTCAACAAGTACCATCTTCTGCATCTTCTCCATTTGAACAGAACCAAAGTCGACCTGTCAAGCGAGAGCCGTCCCGAGAACCCGTGCTGCGCAACCAACCTAGTCGAGATGCTGTACAACGCCCACCAGGCCAAATGCCGCCCAATTCTAGTCCAGCCTTTCCACCGCAGAATTCACGACCTCCTATGCGGCCACAGCGTGATGTGTCGCCAAACCCAACCGCTAAGCTAGCAGTTGTTACACCTCAGCAGAGTCAAGCAAGTCTGCGTAGATTGGAGGGGGCTAATCCGAGCCAGGAATCTTTTGCGCGTAGTGACGATAGCGGGAGCTTACCACCACGCTCGCGCAGTGGCGCCAACGGCTTGTCTAACGCACCGGGCCGCTTTCCTGACCGGAGCATCACACCCAATTCCCAACGCGGCCCTCCTGAATCCGGCTTTCCAAGTCCGAAACGAGACAGGTCAGCGGACGCGCCGCCAATGCCTGCTCCCCTCACGATTCCACCGGAAAGACGTCGGCCTCCAATGCCAAACATTGGAGATGCCTCTCGCTTACGTGGAGCGGATCCAGATAACATTGTGCCGGCACCATTAGCTAGTCCCGGTATGCGCAGGGATGATATGCGACCTCCTACTCGTAGCAGTGAACGATCAATACCTCGCGAGCGGGAGGCAAACGGGGATGGCAGCATTGACGCCAAACTAACAGAACCAGCATCACTGGGGTCACCCCGCGATAATTTGGGGGATATCAGTACGAATGAACCACCGTTAGTTCCTACACCTGTGCCAGCTGTTACTTCTCCTGTCTCCCCAATTGTTTCACCCACTACCCCCATTTCGCCACCGACAGAGGAGGAGAACGAAGATGAGGAAATGCGCCCAGGCCTTGGGCCCATGATTAAACAGAAATCAAAAGGCGATATTGCTAGTACTTTCCTCAGGGCTGCGAAAAATGCGAATGGTTTCAAGCCTCGTGCTGGTGGTGCAGCTGAACGTCTCAGAGAAGCAGCACTGGCAGCAAAATCTCCAAACGGTCCTGATGGCATCACCGGCGTGGTCCCAGCCCCTTCCTTACTTCGGGCATCAAGTAATGATAGTGCAACTACATTCAATGCTCCACCCGCTTTTGTACCCGCTGCTATACCCGTCGCTACACCCGAACTCCCTTCTCCCCCAATTGAAACTCCTCCGGAAAAGTCGGCGGCACGCAAAGCAAATCCTGAAGTCATTCCGGAAGTTAAAATCACAGTCCCTGACAAGGATATACCGAGTGTTGAAATCCCTTCAAAGTTATCAGATGCAGGATCATTAGACAAGCCACAGACTCGAGAGCCTAGGCGGCAGAAATCTGCTTCAGAGGCAATGCAAAAAGAGCTTGCATCATTGGGTATCGATCCCAATTTTTTGGATGGTCGAGGCTCTGATCTTGTCAATGCTTGGGATGAATTTGGGTGGGTAGGAGAAGGTGTGCACACGAAAGTTATCGATACTTTGAAGGATGATGTTGAGCGAGAGCTCAATAAAGTTCAAGCTGGAGGCTGGCTAAACCGATTAGAGGAAGAGGATGAACGGGTTGAAGCGATCAAAAAAGGGCTGGATACATGTATGGATGAATGTGACGAACTTGATGGTTTGCTCACACTGTATCTTGTGGAGCTTGGAGTAAGTCATTTCGTTGGATGCTCTCTTGAAGAAATTCATATATTAACATATCATTTTAGACACTCAACGAGGACATTGCCTACATTGAAGCCCAGTCACAAGGTCTCCAAGTTCAAACAGCCAATCAGAAGCTGCTACAAGTTGAACTTCAATCTCTCTTGGACACAATATCGATTTCCTCGTCACAGCTTGAATGCCTCAAGACAGCATCATTAGAACATCCTCATGATCTCGAGCAGGTTGAACAGTCCTTGGTCGTATTGTTCAAGGCTATGGTCACCATCGATCCGTCATTAAGTATTTCTGGCCCTAGACCTAGTGAAGATGGTAGTGTCCGTTCTGGAAAAACAGGAGGTTTCGGCAACAGCGAAATTGGAAGCATGCGAGTCTTACAAGAGAAGAAAGACGTCTACCGAGTTACGAGCGTTGAGTTCCTTCAACGTTTGTATTCTTTCTTGCAAATGAAATTTCGCGCTGCCATTGACGAGACAAGGAAAGCATTGGACCGAGAAAAGGGTGGTAATATCACCAGATCAGCCGGGAAAGGCAAACTTGATCCACGCCATCATGATCTCTCTCGAAACATACTATGGAGATATAGTCCACTAATGTTATTTTCCAGAGAAGTCGCTCGTGTGGAATGGGAGAAGTTTTTGGTTGATTACGAACTTGCATGCAAACCCTTATATCAAGACGAATTCAGGGATGCGGTCTTCGCCTGGAAGCGGATTGCTAAGAAACCGCATGGGGACGAATTTGACATCTTGTTCACTTCACAAGCTGAGAAGCCGACCGAAGGCCTCGCAACTACGACTGCTAGAAAACTGACTGTGAAGAGAAGCCAAACATTAGCAAAGATACGATCTCCTATTGGCGATGCCGGCAACAAGCCTAATGTAGACAAGGCAGACGGTCGACTCCCTCCACACGAAGTATTCACCGGAGCTCTTGATGAAATGGTTCTTATTATGAGCATGGAGCAAAACTTCATTGTCGAGTTTTTCCACGTTACTTCGCTAGAGCAACATGATTTCGCAGATTCTGTCGCCGCCGCCCCACCAGACTTACGACGAGGCGGCGACTTGAGAAGGCCGAAAGTCATGGACCCCAATCGGAGCTTGGCAAAACGAGTCGTTCAAACCATGGGAGAAATCTACGCTTTCTGGGCTGGCGATATGGAAGCACTCGTAGACTGGTCCCTCCAATCCGATCCATTGTAAGTCTGACGAAATTAATTCGGTCAAAGAGCATCACTAATTACTCAAATAGGCAAGGTGTCGGTATACTCGCTTCAATTGAGCGTAAGCTTGTTGACCTCGAGGAATCAAGCCAGGAATACCTTGCGCGTACTCTTCAAAAGTTACATGCTCGTTTACTTGGTCTATTTAACAAATTCCTTGATGAGCAAATTCGAGCTATTGAAGACACTAAAGTCAAAATCAAGAAGCGCAAAGGTGTTATTGGCTTCATAAGGATATTTCCTTCATTTTCCTTGGCGATAGAGACAATGCTTATGTCTGCTGAGGGTCTCGAGGTTCGACAAATCGTAAACAATGCATACTCGCGATTGAACAAAACCATGTTTGAATCTCTTAAGGTTATCGCAAGAGAGAACCCAAGTGCTCAAACTGCAGGTGCAGATCCAGAAGACAAAGAGGCTCTCAATTACCAGATCCTGCTCATCGAAAATATGAACCATTACCTGGAAGAAGTGGATGTCCGCTCCAATCCGATTCTCGAAGAATGGAGAGAGAATGCTAGCCAAGAAATGAATGAACATATGACCTTGTATCTTGGCGCCGTGATTCGGAGACCTCTAGGAAAACTTCTTGACTTTTTAGAAAGTACAGAGAGTCTTATGCTTTCAAGACAACCTGGTGAATCGGCTTCGAGGATCTCGTCGATGCCGAGTCACTCTAAATCTACGTTCAAGAAAATCCTTGCTGGATACGATGCGAAGGAAATTAGGAAGGGCGTTGAAACTCTTAAGAAGCGAGTCGAAAAGCATTTCGGCGATGCAGATGATCCAGGGCTCAGTCGCGAGCTTGTCATTAAAGTACACCAACAATGCGAGAGATTTTACGAAAAGGTCGACGATAGGATTTTGACAATCAGCAGAGATGTGTATGATGGAGAGGTTATTGCTGAATGGACAAGAGCCGATATTTCTACGGCCTTTAGAAAGTAGGGATTATTATGAAGGGGCACTCCTTTAATTTTTGACTTCACTGGATACCAAATTCCATTGGGATGTAATATGATCGAAAAGTTATGATGGCATAGGCGTTTCGAAGAAGGAGGATGCAAGTGATCATTTTATGGCTGCATCAAAACTTGTAAATTTAGGGGGTATACCACCATGAGCTTGAAGAATGAGAAATAACCAATTTTCCACAGCTGGCACATATGTATTGGTGAATTGCCAATGTTCACGTATGATTCAAGTATGGGCTGGTGAGAGCAGACCCGTCTTATCAACACCGTCTTTTTGACCCTGGAGTTACTGCTGCTACAACAACCGAGGATATTAGACGGGAATTGACGGGTGCATACACCCACCCCTGTTTTAAATCCGGCGGGAAGAAGTCGATCCACCGGATGGAGATGAAGTAAGCACTAGTATATATATCTCTTCCATCTTCGAAGAATATGTGAGTGCGATTGATGAATATTTGGGTTTGTTTTATAATCACTATCCCATCAGACTTGATGCTCACTTCTTCCTACTTCACTCTTACTCCTATTCTTAATTCTGATCATACGTTGGGGATCGAGTGACCAAACTCAACTCAGACATTGAGGTTTTATTATTCAAAATCGACACACACATTGAAATACTACTATGGTATCTACAAGTACCACTCATCCTCTCTCCGATTTCCCAATTTCTGAGAACAGTGGGAGTTCTCCTTCAATGGGCGACTTAGCTATAGACGAATCTGAATCACCTCAAATTGCCTTCGAATTGCGAACGATAACCCGCCAAAGACAAATTATAACTCTCATCTCAAGTTTTCTGACAATATGCGTTACTGTTGGTCTTAATCAGTCCTATGGCGTCTTTCAAAGCTACTACATTTCCTCAACTCAAACTATGCTTCCAAAGACCACGAGCAACGAAGGTGCCTTGGTAGCTTTTGTGGGAACACTCGGGTCTGGTCTTACATGGGCGGGTAGCATTGTGGTAAATCCATTGATGGCAAGACTAGGTGTAAACGGCTCGAGACATATCTGTATGATGGGAGTTGCCTGCATGAGCTTAGGGTTTGTATTGGCTAGTGTATGCAAAGAAGTTAGACACTCACAACTCACCCATGGCTTGATCACTCGCTAAACCGTTCTATTAGCTCTGGCAACTTTTATTGACGCAGGGTTTACTATATGGCATCGGATCATCGTTTCTCTACTATCCGATTCTCAGTACAGCACCCGAATACTTTACCACTCATCGAGGATCAGCCATGGGATTCATTCTGTCGGGCGCTGGAATTGGAGGACTTCTCTTCTCACCCTTTATACGCTTTCTTTTAACGTCGATAGGTCCAAGGTGGACATTACGTCTACTTTCTTTCCTCGTGCTCGTAATCGCTTTACCGATTGCTACCACAGCAGCTCCGTCACGATTTATTGGAAAACGACAAACTCATGTCAATCTCAAATTGGCAATGAAGCCTGCATTTATCTTCAGTGTTGGGGCTGGTTTCTTGCAGGCTGGAGGTAATGGACTACCGCTCACGTTCCTGGCAGAGTACTCGGTAGCTCTGGGTTATACATCGTCTTTTGGTGCGACGCTACTCGCTGTTTCGAATGGCGTTAATTCTATTAGTCGAGTTATGACGGGATATGCGGGAGATAAATTTGGTAGACAGAATACGCTAATTCTAACGGTTATCTTGTGCGTCATATCCGTATTAGGATTCTGGCTAGGTAGCACTACTGCGAATGGTAACAAAGTGCTTTGGTTACTTTTTGTGGTGTTCTATGGAATTGCTGGCGGCGGTTACAATGCTCTGTTTCCAACGGTATGTCTGTTCATCCCTTCCTCATTTCATCCTATTCAGTCTTCTATACATCGCTTACATACAAATCGAAAGACTGTGGCGGAAGTGTTTGGACTCCAGGCCTATGCTAGTGTCAATGGGTTTATCTATTTCGTGAGAGGTCTCGGAACGATGTTCGGAAGTCCGGTTGGTGGTAAAATTCTTGGGGAAAGCATATTAGGAAATTATCGTGGGGTGGTCTTGTTTGATGCGGCACTTTTGTCTGGTGCTACTTTTTGTGTTATTGCTGTGCGACTTTTCGACTCGGTGGAAAAGAAGTCGTGGAAATGGAAAGCATAAGGTTGGTTGGTGAGAACTTTGTACAGTTTAATCTCTGCTAGGGAGCATAGAGCAGAGATCAAATCAATACTCTGTTCTCGTAGAAATGTACTCTATGGAAGTGAGTCCGAAACAACTTTTCACAACCTTCACATAAGTAAAGAGCATCTTTAGCTCGGATCGACAAGTAACCGCCTCAAGCATACGAACGACTACTGAGTATTCCAATATAAACAGTATATTTAGTTGTAAATTTATGAATATATCACTCATTGGCCTTCCAAAATTTGACAACCTTGGAGATTAGAACTCCTTATGTACTGAAAGGCATTTTCATAAGCCATGCAAAGTCATCTAGTTCGAAAAGGATTTCCAAATCTGAGAGTACTTGAGAAGCACCATTATTGTTCTCGGAGTTAGGATGCATTTCATTGTCTTGTGGGGTAGATGATGCACGAGTGATTGGATTTATTGGGCACCAGTACTGAAATACAGCCGCGGAGTTATAGTCATCAGACGTAGATGAATCGATACAGTATTAGCTTCGCTTCGTTGCGAAGCCTTTTTTAACCGAGAAAACTTTTGCGGTATGATCTGAAATAAGATGTCTAATACAGTGGTTAGACGGCGAACGGACGTGTTAAAGATCGTATACTCCCTGAGCACTGTAGTGGCTTTGTTAAAACTATCATTAATCGAGGATTCCGATATCTCGGCCACGACAGAAGGGCTTAGGCTACCTGAAATAAGTACTGTCGCTGATGTTTACAAGAATAATGCATTGTACCACCATGCGGAGAGATCTTTCATCTCATTTGAACCGAGAGCTTCGCGAAGGTGTACAGTATCGATAGCTTCTTGGGCAATCTTAACGCTTACAATTGCACATTGCAGAGAGATTCGGTGGGAGAGCAAGCTTGCAAAAGGAATAAATTCTCCTTTGTGTTTAAATTCGGAGATGACGAGACGTTGAAGAGTAGGTGTTAATAAGAGTAAGTGGACGTGAAGATGTCTTGGGACATTGTTAGCTTGACCTTAAGCTTTGGTCTTTTATATAGTTGCAGTCGTATCTTTGGTGAAGAACTACTGCTCGACGGACTTGCACAGCATTCATGCCGTTGTACGGATAATGGTTTTCAACCTTGAGATAGTCAGAGTTGTCTCCTTCCCATTTCGAAAGTCTCTCCTAAAGCTTGATGATGGAAGTGTTTGTTTCCCAAAATGAAAAATCTTCGGGATCATAATGCCCATTTTTGAAGTGTCTATGAGATTTTCTGGAGTGAGAATTAAGAAGGACATCATGCAGGTTATCATACAATCCTAGATTAGACATGTAAATATCAGAAGCATGATTTGGTGGCACTTGGAAAGTGTGCGCTCCAACATGCCCCGGTTGATGGTTCTCTTCTTCCATGACTACAGGGGAAGGAACGGCGGCAGCGGCTCTTGGATCAATCATAGGTAATCGACTGTATATCATTGATACCTCTCTACCCATAAGGATGCAGCCATGCCAGAATTTACGGATCAAGTCTCTATTTGGACTCTCGGCCGCCCGTTCGCTTGTTTCGAATAAGTGAAATTCAAGGATCTGCGCTGTGCGTATTGCGTGTCCAACGAACAACCAACAGGTACAAATTTCGTCTATGCTCTGAAAATACAATGCTAAGAGCAGATATGACTGGACTGAGCGGATCGAGTATGCTTCACAGTTGAATAATGCTCGTGCTCTCGTGCAAAATATTTCAGGCGAGTGCTCATGGTTTGGAGTTACCGATCCAAGTTGCCGACTGCTGATGGCAAATATTGAGTTGAGTAGACATAGAAATGACCGCTGGTCAGTCATTGAGTTGCCACGGTCCCAAATCTTATCGTAGTCTTCGATAAAAGAACATGTACATATCTCCAGTAGGAGCTGAGCAGGCTATCGGCATGTTCTCTGGTGGGTAGAGCATAGTCTATATCCTTCTGCCGTGATCCATGAATTGAGGCTTGCAATGAGGGATTATCACGACTTCGACCAAAAATACTTGATGCGGGGGCTGATGCTCTACCAAGCTTCTCCGTGACTAATTTCTCCACTTCCTGCATGAAAGTTCGAGCAATGGGTCTGTCAACAGAGTCGTACCTATGGTCATCATTCAATGCGATATCATGGACGGAATGATTGTCAGAGTTGAACATAATATCCGTGCTCTCTGGGAGCTCCTGAGATGATGGATCTAGCTCTGAGACAACGACGGCATCTGGAGTCGATGGCCATAGGTCAATACTTGTCTCTGACGTATTCATTGACGAGAATCCTCCTCACGAAATGGTCGACAGCCATGTGGTCGATGCGGGTGTGGTTGAGGTGGTAACTCTATGACTACTTGTCGTCAATAGTACCGAGTCTTCTAAAGCACTACTCGAGCTTGAGATATTGCTAGGTTGTTTGTGGTGGCCGTGACTGTTACGTTCTTCCAGCAGCTCAATCCGATCTTCGAGGCGTCTAATATAATCTGTAGGTGGCAATGGAGCACGCAAATAATCAGTGGCACATGTGCATACTGTCTTGGGCCTTTTCTCGCATGGCCCGCACATTATGAGGATCATGACCTATTAGCACGTACAAGTGTCATTGGTAACTCCTCATCTGTGTGAAAAGAGATGGCTATGCTTGCTTCACTTGTTGCAAGTCATCTCGACTGGCTGAAGAAGAGGGTACCTGGCTGATGACCATCACATTTAATCTGTCCACGAGAATTAGCAGATGTCGAAGAAGTCTGACCTGGGGATGTTGCGACCAACCTTCCGGCTACGGCAAGGGGCACATGCCGTTGTGACCTTCTTCCTCTTATTCGTTGAGGTGTTCATGATTTTGGAGCTAATTATAATTAGATATCTGGCAAATATTCAAAATGGTCAAATTTGGTGTATCTTGAGGGGGATTGAATGAGTTAGCACGCTTTAAACATTTCTAGATTAATAATCAGTCAGCATTTTGTCAATGGTTGGATTGATGAGTCACAAGCTGTTGGTTCGCTTAATTGCTTGTAGTGATGTCACGATCATACAAGTATTCTATTTCGCCTGCCATGTTGGATCTAAACTAGACTCAACAATCGCTTCACACATACCCAACACATGGTGTTGGGGTGGGATATCTGTCTTCCGTTGGTTCCAAGTCTATCTTTGTCCTTATGGTGGGTAGCAAGACAGAGGGATCCCATGGCAGACTGAAGTGCGGCGCAGGGTTGTCTCTGTCTTTTTAAGTCGGAACTCAGATTAAGCCGAACTGAATGGACAAATCTTCTAGTCCGAATCAAATATCTCACTATACAGTTTTTACATTCCGGCAGCAGATCTGATCTCATTATGCACGGCATAACATTTTGCCTAGATGGCGGAACCTACGGAGATCTTCCGACGCTTACTTGCAAGACTTGCAAGGCACCGTGCTAGGACGGTCAAAAGAGACGGTCAAAAGACAACCTGAGCCCACAACGGAACGATCCGAGTTGAAGTGTCGCCGGACCTCCTGTTGCTAGTATCTTTTGTTAAGTCGGTGGAAAGACTCCCCTTCCTTTGTTATAAAGGAGCGCTTTCCGGCACTCAGTCAAACAAATTCAATTATTCCCACATAATTATACAGCATCCTCTTATCAAACCTTCTGCAATATCACATTTAGTACAAAACATGGAGAGTATCCTTATTATCGGAGCTACTGGCAATATCGGTGTCGCTGCCGTGCTAGGAGCCCTGCAATTTAAACGCAATGTTCTTGCGGTGGTGCGGAGTCAGGCCTCTGCCGATAAGTTGTTCCAGAACATAGGAACAAAAACAGGCATCACAATAGTGGAGGCCGACATCATGTCAGAGGGAGGAGTACAAACCGTGATGGATCAGGTCCGGGCTGGGAAGCTGTCAGCTTTCCAACATGTCTGCTCTGCTGGTAAGGCTCCAACTTGCTTGATCAGTATTTTTCTAATTGTATGCATTAGCTGGCGGAGCATACGGCGCAACGCCATTGACCGACATTAGCACCAGCGAATTGCGTCGATTCATGAACTTCAACTTTGAATCCAACTTTTGTAAGACCTCTCAACTTATAACAGGACTAGACGACCGCTAAATTTTGATAGTCGCTTACAGAGCAACCATCCCATACCTGCTGAAGCAGAAGCAAGTGACTAGCTTCACACTCTGTACCGGATCACAGGGCGACATCGGGGCTCGCGCAGCACCCGCCATCACGCAAGGTCCTCTCTTCTCGATGGCGAACGTAGCGTACCGTGACAACACTGATACAAATGTCCGTTTCAACGAAGTGTACTTGGGCTGTCGGGTTGAGGTTGATTCATCGGATGCCAAAACAGGAGCGATGAAGGCATCGGATTTCACTCGCGTTTATACCGAGCTACTCTCCAGACCAGATATCAAGAGTTCTCGCGTAAGTGTATTCACACATGATGATCTGGAGGACTTGAAACACAAGAAGATATTCTTTAATGTAGTACAAATTTAACTGTGCAAGCACATGCACATGACTATCTAGCTGGCCTATTTCTGGTACATCTACCTTCCAAGTCAACACGCATCCAGCACTAACAGGTTGTAAGCATTGGAGCTGTGCAGCCTTGAGCAACGGATTATAGTGGTGATCTCATGTTCCACACATTTTTTTGTAATAATTGTTGAGCACTTGGCCACCAAGCTGGTGGCTCTAGTAAAACAGACTCTACCGCAGAGTTAATGTAGAAGATTTGCACCATCTGAGCACAACTATCAGAAAAAATGTTGATTGGATATTCATACCGTCCTTTTGCCCTCAAGTTATTCGGATATTATACATTTGGTATAGTCAGAGAATTTTTCTATTTTCTCAATATTCACATGGCACATTCATCCCATAACAATCTGCTTTTTGGTTCAGCTAAAAGGTGTGGATTCAAACAATACCTGATATGGGAGACACTCCTTTTAAGACGGAGACAATAAGGGAAGAAATCAGACATCAAGCTTCCACATCCGTCTTTCCATGATTATGCTACGATGATGCTCGATGAGCTAGCCACTCCAGTGGCACTATCCTCACTTGACCTCAGCTCCACCTCCATATCGCAAGACCAAAGATCGAAGATCAGGTCGGCGGAATTCGATGGCAGCGGGATAGCCTCCGATTTCAGACTCAATGACAACGGAAGAGCTTCCGAGTTTTGTCGGCTTCCGATTGGTCGATACCTTTACTTGGCGGTATAGAGTCGTCCCGTTCCGACTTAATTCGATAGGGTCTAAGGTTCATAACGTACCAACCTATGCACTAAGCCTTCTTCCCTCTATTTTCTTGGGCTCACCTCGTCCACTCACTTTCATCTATTCTTCTTAATTCATATCATCCTCGACATTTATTTTTTCTTGTTTATTTGTAATTATAGCAACATTACCTCAACGAATCTCGCGAGTCTAAATAGAACAGCATTCTACCTGCATATACTCAGTCACCGCTATCGTATACAATAGAATGGCGTTAGATGAAAAAAAGACGGAGATCAAGCACGTGGTCCCTCAAGATGTTCAACTAACAATCGCTCAAGCTGGAGAGTCGATTAAGATTTTTACCAAGTAAGCCTTGTCTTGTATGGTCTCATCAGTGACAGGAATTGGGTACGAGAAAGTCTCGATGGGGTTACTCACTATTGCCTACCTAATGTTCAGACAGTCTGAGATCGATATATAAGAAAAGCAAAGCAAAGCTAACCAGTACACGCTAGTATCAATACACGCTAGTATCAATACAACCCGATCTAATCTAATTAGCCTGACTTACCTAGCTTAGCTTAGCTTATTCTAACCTCAAGCACTAATACGGTATGGTACTAGTATGACCAGTTATTTCTAACAAATACGTACTATGCAAAGAAACACCAAGAAATACAAGAAATACAAGCAAATTATCCCCCAAAAATCCGCATCTCCGATTCACAAGGTTGGTGATACTCGAGTACTCGAGTATGAGAGGAAAACAATTGACAGAAAACAAAACTTTATAAAAACTAATAATAATAAATAGGGGTATCGAAAAGACAACAAGCGCTACCACCGTCGACCGACAATCTAAATAATTTTTGCTCCTAGGCTCCTCCAAAAACGAACGTTGGTTGAAGAAATGAATATATACATTGAAATTCCTTGGATTCCCTAACCTTTCCTATCCTAGTCGTTGTACGTATATGTGTAGTACTGTATTGCGAATTATATCATAGCATAGCATTGCATCGTCGTCACGTATACGTATATTCAACAGTACCCTCTCCCAACATCTATCGATCCATCCATCCAACTTGTCTCGATGGTTCACCATATTCCTCGATACGTCGCTCGCTACGCTCCACCCTACGCCTCATCATCCGGCGGCAACTCCCCGCCAACCCTCTTCAACCACCTTAAAATTCTCCCCCGCACTCCGTCCAACTCTGTCCCTAATCCACTCCTCCAAAGTTCCTCCACAACCTTGACCTTCTCCTTTAAATCATCCGTCAGTCGGCCCTCTTCGTCCCTCTTCACCGCCTCCAACTCCGTTTCTACTTCCTCTTTTCCTTCACCTTGCGCTACCCTCTGGGTCCCCATTAACCTACAATTTGCTGCCGTTACTCCCACTTTGACTTCATGTAAAAGACAGAGTAAATTCGTCTGGCTTTCAATAAACTGGTATGTGGATTTTCCCGTATGGACTAAGAGGGTGTATAGATACTGCATGGGGAAATCATAGTAGCTTGGATTTTCCTCATATTCGCCTTTCGGTATTTGAACCACGAAGCCCTCCAGCTCTCCATCATTTGGGATCTGTTCCACCAGGCTACTCAACGAAGGAGCGATATCCCAAAAAGCTCCAAGTTGGACTTCTACGCCACGAACTACATTTTGTTCGATAATATCCATGAACTCCTCGGTACGTTTGAGGATTTCAGATTCGAATGCTTGTTTGCGTTTTTGAGCATCTTCTGCAAAGAACATTTCGGCGCCCTGGACTTTTTCGACGTTGTTGGTGAGACGGTACGGGGTTATTATAATTTCTTTGTAGAGGTCGTTCCGATCCGAGAGCAGTTCGTAGACTTCGCGGTGGAGTTGTTCGCGCGCTTCGAAAATCCATTTTAAAAGGGTTAATTTCTCAATGAGTTCTGGTTGCTCGTCACCTTCTTCCTGAGTAGAGGTAGGGTTTTGGTTTTGTGAGTCGTTGAAGAGTTTACTGCGTAGCTGTTCGAAAAGATCAGTGGCCGATTGAATGCGGATCATGAGAAGTTCGTTAACTGGAAGGACGACTTGGGATTGGAAGAGTTCGAAAATGGATTTGGCTGCTTCCTTGGATTTGAGAAGTTCGCCAGCGACCGAATCTGCTTCGTAGGCAGCTGCGTCGGCGTATGATATAGTTCCAGCTCCGACATCACGTTGGATGCGGAGACGTAGGGAAGCTCGACGTTTGGAGGCTGCTGTAGTCTGATCTTCTCGCATCTGGGCACTTTCTTGCAAGAAACGTTCTTTGGTGGCAGCTACTTCAGTGATATCGCTTAGAGTACGAACAGTTGTACGGATAGTCATGAGATCAGGATGGTTATTGTTGACGGCTGGATGATGACGAGGATAGGGTGGAGGTAGCGTGACCAATCTTGAAACATCAAGGTGCTCTGGGTTCGGTGTGAAGGGCGTTCGTGGAACGAGGGCTGGCGAAATTATTGGTTGAAATATGGGGAATTTTTGATTCGGTTCGTGGAAGCCAGTTTTTTCTTGGGGATATTCGTTAGGGCGCAGACTGGCTGGATTACTTGGACCACCAAATGCATGCTCCATGGGGGGCCCTGAAGATTGATCTCCTTCGCCAAATTGTAAAGCCTCACGCAGTTCCTTTGGCATTCCCATGTACTTTGATTCCCGTTTTGATCTCTCAAATCTTGACGAGGGAACTCCATCTGATCCTTGTTGACTAATTTCCCACCACCTGCTTGACGGCCTCCCTCTTGAGCTTGCACCATCAAGTGCTTCGCTGACGCTCATGCTAGGAATTGGAGATAAGGAAGGCATATAGCCAGGTTGACTCCACCACTGTGGATTTTGTTGTGTCGGGACTGGAGATGGTGGTCCTGCTGAATTAGCTCTGGATCCAGGTCTCGAATTCGACCTTGAGGTAGGTTTTGAAGGTGGTCGTGAGCCGGATCTTGGCTCGGAATGCTGCAATTGTAGGTTTTCTTTCATGGCTCCCACTAGCGAACCCCTATGAGATCTTGGCGCGGCCGACGATTCAGGTGTATATTCACTTGCACGGGACATCGATGAGTCTCTACGAGGCCTGATGTTAGGACGAAACAAGTCCCGGGTCAAATCTAGAATTTCAGATCCCATTGCGTCTATGGCGGAGGCATAACGGTCTCGACGTATCCTGGATTCATCAACAATGAATTCTGCAAAGATGCGTACACGGTCTGTATCGTTTGTAGCACTAGCTTCTCTCTGAACAAATATTTCATGTCTTTCTGCTGCAGCGCATGCGAAGTCATCGTTGGGTGTCATGTGAGACATTTGGCTTGAAACAGATTTACCAGTTGCAGGCCGGGACGAGGTCAAAGCAGCAATGACTGCCGAATCATCTTTAGGAATGATCAAGGAAGGCGGACGGCGATTATGAGTTTTTTGAACCATTTTTGACTGTGGTGGAGGAGTTGGCAAGGACTTTAAAGGAATCAATGGTGAATACTCTACTGTAGATGATTTGATAGACTCGGGGGAGAAAGGCGGAGTAGGTGCCACTGGTCTGGGAGTCGAGCCTCTAGAGCCAGTAGCAGGTCCATTCAGACGATCTGGGGTAGTCAAGTTGTGATGCATTGCCTGAGATGACCTCGGGGTTTCTGAATAATTGGACGACCTTCCACTTCTTGGGGTTGCCTTAGTAATGGTCGGACGTCTTGCTAGGGATACAACAATATCACTGGGAGTAACTGCTTCTACCCAAGGATTATTTGATCGTTCAATCGCCGATTCAGGATAAGCTATCCTGCCACTTCTACTTTCACTTCTTCTTTCGCGAATAGTTTTCTCTCGTCTGACTGCCCGTGATCTTGCCAAACTGGATGAACTTGAGCTAGAGATAGAATCAGTCGCCGTACTAGAAGTAACACTCGAAGTATCGACATGGGGCGCAGGACTCTCTGGGCGGTTTCGAGGAGATGATGCCGTGGGTGTCTCAGTAGGCCAATCTGATGCTGCCGCAGATGCTTGGACTGGAGGCGAAAGTGGAGTAGGTGGTACTGGGCCTAGAGAGGATGAAGGGGGTGGCCGTCTGGTGGAAGGGGAGATCACTGTTTCGAGTGTACGGGTCATACTTTGTGATCTTGGGGGTGGAGGAAGGCCTGGTGGAGGCGGAGGCAAAGGCATTCCAGGCTGCCATCGAGTAGTAGATGGATCTCGCGAATGTGCTGGAGATGCTGAATTGATGGCTCCTGTAGATGCAGCTCGACGTGACCCTGGAGGCAAAACATTGACTGGAATAGATTCCAAAGGTTCTGGACGAGATGGTTCCATAGCGCTTCTTGGGATGGGCGGAACTGGTGGTATTGGCTCCCTGTTTGAGGCTGGTGACATTCTAGGGTTTTCCGATTGATTAGTGGATCTCCTGGAAAACCCAAATATGCCATGTGGTCTATCATTCGACCCAGCTCTAGATCGCCCGCCCGGTGGGGGAGGATAATTCGGATGCGGAGTACTTGGAGCTGGAGTATTTGGAGTACGCGAAGCCTCTGGCGAAGACCGATATGCCTGTGGTGGAGCAGAAGCCGAAGACATAGGTTCGTCCGATCCTCCTGCCGGCCTATTGCTTCGCGGTGGTGAGTATGGAGGCGGGGCTGGAATCACTACTGTATTTTATCATTAGCTAATCATCACGTTGCGCATACTATGTGAATAAGTTAAAATTAGAGACAATTCTTGAAAGTAAGTACCATCTGGGTCGTGAGGTTGTCTGGCAGAATATTGTGAATTATCTGAACCGCCACTGACGCTGGGAGATGAAGTCCATTGTGAAGGATTGTAATGTCGCACAGAGCTCAGTGATGCATTGTACTGTGATGGATGGTATCCAAATGCTGCGCTCAAATTTCCAGAAATTGCAGATCCCGGGGTTTGGTGATGATGAGGGGTAGTTTGCAGAGATGTTGTAATGGGATTCAATTCCATTCTCCTTCGAACGCCATGCTCTCTATGGGGGTTCATTGTCGCGCCCTTGAAGTCTCCCGATCAGACTCTATAAATAGTAACACGATATGCTATCGCGACAAACGAGACCTTTCCTCCACACTCAAGCACTCGAGTGCAAGAGGGTTCCTGGCCTTCGTCTTATTGAGACGATCTTGCCTTTGGACTCATCTGAACATAAATATGTAGATGAGGTGAGTCTGTGAGGTGAGGTGAAGCGAAATGAAGTGAAGTTTCCAAATCACGAAGGATCTCTCTTGTTTTTTTTGTTACGGAATCGACCACCCCTTAGGTCACGGTGGGATCTTTCTGATTCGAAGGGGCGAGATAGCTGTTTTTTTTTAGAGCATGGATTAAAAGAAAGATGACTCTCCCATTCACCATCCAGTGTGATCCTTACCTTACAACACCACACCAACACTTCTAGGGTCCTAAATTTCCAAATTTGGCATGTCCCACACGATTGGAGTTATCGGAGTTTTTGATTGATATGCATAATAACAAACCAATTAAATGATGATATTATAATATTTAAAACATGGATATGGTTTGCTAGTCTCCTTTTGATAATTCCAGCGCTTATAGTGCTCTCAACGATTCATGCGCTATTCCATATCCGTACCCCCACAGGTTTTCCAGGGTCTAGGTACTTGGTGTTAGACGGCCTCGACAAGCATGGAAAGCATTATTAAAGCCTTCATTAATATGTATATGTATATGCACCGTTGAGGGTAAGCAAAGTGGTGTGGTGTGGTGTATGGTGTACCTGAATTGGAATGTGTACATCGAGATAACCAGGTTACACATTTCTTTGGTAGAAAGAAGACTGATCAACGATGTATCATATCCAAGATCATCACCATTCCAGGTAATTCCTCAATTGTGGGTGGGGCCGGCCGAGACTAAAACACTAGAACTAAATATAGAGTTATTATTATCATCCAATAATGTCTTATCTCTTTTCTCTTCTCCATCTTCACCGATTAAGCTTTTTGCAATTATATTGGCGTGGCAATTCGTGCAACGACTGAACCCTACGGAGTGGAAATCGATAAAATGTGTACAAGTACACATTTTCACATTGGTAATCAAGGGGCAAGATGAGAAGTCGCTCAGGCTCGAATGTACCAATCTCTATAACATATATCAGATGAATGATAAACGAGGGGAGGGGGGGGACATTGGTCCCAGCAGCTCTTTATCGCTTGAATTTGCGAATCGGTCGCGTATTTTGGTGGTGATACAAATATCATCAGCAACCTATATAATAATAATAATAATGGGCTAGGCTACCGAACGGAGCCTAGATTTGCTTTACCCACGGCTGATTTGATTTATATTTGATTTATACAGTGAAGCCCGAATTCAGCACAAACAGTCCTCCCTCTTAATATACACACATATCTCCCAGCATGTCGAAACTGATGTCATTTTGGTGGTAACCCTTAGTCGATGTATGTGCGCGCGAGGCATCAAACGAAAAGATAACACCAGTGGGTACCAATCCCAGAGCTCCCGGCGATGGGGTCCATCAACAACATTCAACCAGCGTTCGGTATCAAGATTTGAATGACCTTTCATCGGCTTCCATATGCGATGCTATCGCTATAGCTACTATAACCCTCACTCCCCTTTGCCCTCGCTGCCCTCCCCTCCATATGAAAACTCGACCGGTAGTTCCATTCCCACCCTCCTGGCAGTCAAACGCACTCGTTCCTCCTCGTCCATATTCATCCCAGGGTTATATCTCTCAAGTAAAGTGGCATACATCCTTTGGGCTTTAACATATTGTAGGAATTGATCTGCTTGCTCGATTGGTGTATTTGTTTCCGAGGCTATGGTCTTGCGAATACGGGATTGCAGTGGCGAGCGAGAGGTTTGCGTGAAAGGGCGGGACGGAAGTTCGCGAAGGAATGAGCGGTAGAGTGACCGTAGCTTTGTAGGCGTGGTAGTGGAAGACATTTTCGTGATTTTTGGCGCTGATGGGGTTGAGGTTTGAGGAAACTTGATGGGCAAGAAATTAACTAGGCTACCTTGTCGGCATCAACAACTCCGACATATTTACAGCCTTGTAACGCTGCAGCCTTGTCTCAACTTTTCACAATAATTCTTTTTGACTTGAACATTGAACTCTTTTTCAATGTCAAGATTTTCGAAGATACGACCATGCGCTCGTACAAAGCCATTCTCTGTGAACAACGTTTGCAGAAGACTGACGACAAAATCTCACGATCATGATCGTCCTACACCTCCACACATGAACTTTCCGTCTACCAGACTCTGCTACCACTGGGACACTTTACCACCTACACAAGTCCAACTCGTGCATGCGAATGCAATTTTTACTACAGAATCTCCCAAATACTTATGGTCTGCATCGCAATTCTACAACATGTCGTTTGGAGATAGCGCCGAGGTTTGTTTCTTGGGTCGATCAAATGTAAGCCCAGTCACTCCTCGACGTTCAATCGCGTTTGCATCTTTCAGTTTTCGTTTTACTCTAGTGTTGCCCGTGGTCCTCAAGATGATAATTGACCCGAAATGTTGTAATTGCAAGAAGTTTCTGACACTAACAACGTTCTAGGTTGGCAAATCATCTCTTCTAAATGCTGTGCTCAACACGCACTTGGCGTACACCAGCTCGAAAGTCGGACGAACCCGGTGTATGAATGCGTTTTCAATTGGAGGAGATGAAGGTCCCGAAGATAATAAAAATAACCTTGGTCGATTAGTGGTACTGGACATGCCAGGATATGGGTTTGGTGCAAGACCGGAATGGGGGACGGAGATCATTAAATATTTGGAGAAAAGGAAACAGCTGAAACGAGCCTTCGTACTAATTGATGCCGAGCATGGAATCAAAGAGAGTGATCGTGTAATGCTGCAAATGTTGCGGTCACGAAAAGTCCCCCATCAGATGGTACTGGCAAAGGTTGACAAGATTTTGTTTCCTCCGAAAGCGAAAAGAATACCGAGCCCCGAGAATTTGAACCGCGGGATCACTTCTCTGGACAAAATCCTCCAGAAACTGAAAGCAGTGGTCGAGCCGGATCCAGAGTCTGATGATGCTCAATTTACAACTGGAGAAATACTAACATGCACGTCTGAGAAACGTGCTGGAAGAAATTATGGGATTGATGCCGTTAGATTTGCAATGCTCCGCGCTGCTGGTCTACAATTTCAACCAAAGGTCAGGCTAGCCAAGCCCGTTGAGATAGTTTCGCACGAAGATCTGTTTGAGAGGCACAATACTGCTGTTTGAGAAGGTACATGGTGTCCAGCTTCTGAACGAACATGGTACCTAAGCAATTTGCGGCTTGGAATACTTCCTGACTGGTGACTGGCCACGCCTCAATTGAACGCCTTGCTATAATTTGAGTTATATGACTTACATACGGACGACTATCTCCTGATGTGTACAGGTATCGACAGAAGGGGATGTCAGGAGAGCGAAAGGAGTGGATTGTTGAAAGATGGCATAGAACGGTAAAAAACCGACCTTGTTCAGATTAGGTTAGGTGTAGGCTAAGAAGGAATTTATATGGTATAAATACGAATTAGGATACCGGAATTCCCCTTAGAGGATATCAGAATCTACCTAGCACCTAGTATCCAGCAATCATCTTTGAAGCCCAATGACAGCTCGTAGGTACCTGACATGAACATAAATGTGTCACATGATTCATGATTGGGATGGGGTTGTTCCCGCTACTAAATCGTCATACCGGCCGTACCTGCAACTCTCAACCTTTTAGCTACTAACTCTCTATCTACTCTTTTCGGTGTGCTTTAATCCTACATAATAATTTGAAACATTGTAAACATAGCCAACTTTTATCATTTTGAACCTCAAACTCGACTTCAAAGTACTGTAAACATCGCCATCTTCATTCTTAAGACTTTCCCCTTGATCAAGAACTAAAAGTGCGGGGCCAACCGAAACCTAGCTTATACAGATACAGAGCGCGCCGGGTCTTCACTCATCAACCCATCGGAAATTACCATACCAAGCGATTACATAGCGATTACATACGACGCCCTACCTCAACGTCGATCATCATTACGCCGCCGCCGCCCCTACAGACGCGAATCACGACTGGTTTCCTTCAGTGTCGCATCGTAGTTGGTTAGCTACCGGATCTTTGATCACATTTCCGACTTCCGCAATTTATTTGGCATCAAACTCAGGAGAGATCAAGTCGCTCGCAAATATGTCGAAAGTCGTACGAAGCGTCAAGAACATCACAAAAGGATATAATAATGTGCAAATCAAAGTTCGAAACGGTATGACTTGTCTGCTACAACTTCCGACTCATTTATTGATGAATTATAGCTACCAGCAATGATCCATGGGGTCCGGTGGGATCAGATATGGCTGAAATTGCCCAACTGACCTTCAATTCGTGTGTACTTTATCAGATGCAAGTAAAAATAGGACTAATTCAAGCAATTAGGGCGGAAACATTCTATCAGATTATGGACATGCTCGACAAACGATTGAACGACAAGGGCAAAAACTGGAGGCATGTTTTGAAGGCCTTGAAGGTGTTGGATTACTGTCTCCACGAAGGTTCCGAGTTGGTAGTGACGTGGGCACGAAAGAATCTCTATATCATCAAGACTTTGAGAGAATTTCAGTATATTGATGAAGATGGCAGAGATGTTGGTCAAAATGGTCAGCACTGTCAGAATAGGACTACATAAAAGCTTGCTAACTCTATTCTTAGTCCGAGTTTCCGCCAAAGAACTAACATCCTTGGTTCTAGATGAAGAGAGACTTCGAGCTGAGAGAGCTGATCGCAAGAACTGGAAGTCCAGAGTTACTGGTCTGGATGACTTCGCCGAACCTTCAGACGCACAGCCACAGCCACGACGACAACGTCCACACCGAGCGCAGCGCGCTGATGAAGAAGACGCGGAATACAGATTGGCTATTGAGGCCAGTAAATACCAGGAAGAGGAAGATCGTAAAAAGCGTGAGAGTAGGCAAGGGGGCGGTGAACCAGACGACGATGATCTTGCCAAAGCTCTTAAGCTAAGTCAAGAGGAAGAGGAGTTGCGCAGGCGTGAACTAGAAGAGCAAAATGCGCATTCGCTCTTTGATGACGATCCTATTCAGGTAGCACAACCCACTGGTTTCAACCAAGGATACCAACAACAAGGAGCCGTTGATTGGTCAGGAAATCCTATTGATTTGCAAACACAACCTACTGGATATTTGAACCCTTACACAAATTTCCAAGCAGCCCAACCTACTAGTTACCAGAATACTGGTTATCAAAACCAATTCTCCTCGCAGCCCACAGGTTTTGATCCTTATGCATCACAGCAACAGCAGTCATTTCAACCGCAACTCACTGGATTTAACCCATATAATCAATTCCAGCAACAGCAACAACAGTCTCAACCTCCGCAACATCAACAGCAACAGCATTTAGAACCACTTGTTCCTGCTGGAACAAACAATCCATGGGCCACAAACCAGACCCAACCACCCCAATCATTACAACCAATGCCAACTGGATCTAACAATCCTTTTGCAATATCCTTTGCCCGACCTCAGACCAGTTCCGCTGCATCCAAACCAACACTCGCTACTCTCCAAGAGCAGAAGGCTCTGGGACCGTTCGACAACACACCATCGTTCAGCAACGCTCCGTCATTCAACCCTGGCCCCTCATTCTCACCATCTCAACCACAAAAAGAAGTGTCCGAGCATGAAGCTAGGCTCAATGCGCTTCTTTCGAGTGGAGAGGGAATGGACACGTTCGGAAACACCGGAAACCTCAGAATTCCAGCCCAGCACACTGCACCGGGTACCTTTGTAAACAGTGCAGGTTCTGGCTTGGGGCGTATTCACGAACAACAGACCGGTAACAATCCTTTCCTTCAAACCCAATACACCGGTATGCCACAAACGACATATCAAAATAATCCTCAAGGTAATGCTTCTGGCGGATTTGGCAGCAGTCCTTTTGGTCGCCAGGTCCCAGCTGCAACGGGTCCAGCTGGCATGAACGGCAGTATGAATAATTCTGGCCAATCGAGCAATCCCTTCGGACCAAGACCGCAACAGGGACAAAACGGTCAGGGCGGCGATTTGATACAATTCTAGATGGTAGTTGGTCAGCGGGGGTTAGAAGATGTTGGTATGAGCATGGTGAAAAGGGAAAGCGGACAGCGGAAAGTACAAAGTTTTTCACTTCGACATGGAAGTTTTTTGGGAGCCTTGGGTTGGTTTATGCATCCCCTTAGCTTAACAGGCGTGTGCTGGCTTTTTCAATCCTTCTGTTATTATCCTTTTATGCAATTCAGATTTTCATATTTCTCAAAAGAAATTTGAGTGCATCGTCAGGTGAGATGAACATGCTATGCAAATTGGATTGGGGATGGAAGTGGAAATGAGGGAAGGGGGGAATGGGAATGGGAAGGGAAGGGAAGGGAAGGGAAGGGAAGAGGATAATGGTTGGGAGACGGACGGGTTACTTCAAGGCATTAGCTTTAGTATGTGTGATTTAGAGGAAATTGGGTTATGGAGTGTGAATATAGATGGTTAATTGAAGGTTTCTTTGGCTGATTTGGCTGAGTGAGGTTCGGGTGATGACTCGTGCCATTTGTTTGAACAAGATGTTCGGGAATGACGAAATGTGATTTGAATGCAGGTACTCGAATGGCGCGGAATTTGAGCGTGGATCATGATGTTTTTAATGTGATGTAATGTGATATTCTGAGATTGTTTTGTAATTAAGCATACCTACATTTAAGGTGATGCAGTGCAATGCTTGCCCTTGCCCCCCTGTGTTACCCAACGCGACGCCTGTACTCCTTGCACTGCTCCTTGATGCGATGTATGACGATGTAATATGCAGAGAAACTAAAGACAAAAATGATACTGCCATTGAAAGAGGGCTTTTTCTCCTATCCTATTCCTCTGAGAAGACGAGTTGGTTGGTATGATTTTGCGTCCGGTGAAATGAAAGTACACAATTCAAAATGGCCATTGCGTCCAGAGGGTTCGGACGGGTGGTGATCCTTGGGTAGATGTTGATGGGGATGAAGATGAGATGAGTTGTAATCATCCCATGCATATTTGGATAAATTCCTCCTTTCCTACCCCGCCTTTCCCTTCTAAATCAAACTCTTCAATCATGGCCACCAGTTCGTCTTCCTCGAGCCCCTCTCCTAATTCCCGCGCTACTCTCCTGAGATCATCTAAAGTTATCATGCCCTTTTCGTCAATATCGAATAGTGCGAAAGCTCTTAGTATCTCGTCGCGCGGATCGCGCTGGGATATGAGTGTGCCAGCGATGGATTGGAAGGAGGAGAAGGTGAGGAGGAGACGGCCAGGAGGGATAATGGCATCGCGTGGGCCGGGGCCGGCGGCGGCGTCGGGAGCGATCCCGTGGGTGGTTAGGAGGGTGAGGATTTCGGGTTTGGGGAGGTCGAAACCGAGGGCTTTGAGGGCGACTTTGAATTCGTGGTAGTCAATTCGTTGGTCCTTGTCGTTGTCGAAGAGGATAAACTGTAGAGTTGTTAGTGCATTGTTTTTAATTGGTATGGCTTGATATCAGAGTTGAGGACGAGTTATGCGACTTGCGAGACTGTTCATCCGTGACTTGTCTTACGCATTGCATTTTTAGGCGATGTGGAAACATACCGCTTCATTGATCTCGTCTTTCTGCTCATCACTCAAGGTATTCATTAAGTTGGCCACCGGCGCCCCAGGTTGTTGACCCTGCGGTTGTTGAGTATCCTTTGATAACTTTTCTCTTTCCACACGCTCGCGCTCCAATTGTGTTGTTTTCTGCTGCCTCAAAGCCAGAGCCGTTTGTGATGGTGGTCCAAAATTCGTTGGAGGATTCCGGATGTTATTGTTATTGTTATTGTTATTGTTATTGTAGAGGCGCGAGGGAAAGGTAGAATGCGGTTGACTTGTTGATGCCATTGAACGCAAATCGCTATGGGCAAAGTGAGTGAGAAGAGAAAAAAAGGTGGGTTTTAATTGTAACATACAAGAAGATTATTAAGTCTAGAAAAGACTGACTGTCAGTGGCTGGGAAAAAGTATGGTTGTTATTATACGGTACTTGTCAGGACAGGGTGTGAAGTGGGTGGGACGGACGGAGCGATGGCTAACGATTGTGATGGGGGGTTGAAACTTGATTGATTGGGGGAGGGGAGGGGGAGGGAGTTAATTAAGAATTTACGCGTTGATAATACCAAGGTAAGCTTTTGAAAGACGGGTTCGGGATTAGACAACCGGACGCGTTAATTATTTCTCGAAAATGATGCTGTGCTTGTGCTTGCGCTGTGCTTAGTAAGTGAATGGGTCACGCGTATTGCATCAGGTGATCATAATAGGCAATTATATACCTAATATTGATTTCTTATCTGTTGTCGGTATCTAGCCATACAAAATGTAATGTTGAATATATCGGTGCTAGATAGATACGTATCCACGGGTATAAGTCTATCAACATTGTTTTTCAGTAATACAAGAAAATAAATCACCCAAGGCAACTTGATTCTTTGAGATAACCTCGAATTTGATTGGTTGAAAGAGCTCAAGCTTCCGATTTACAATTACTTCCCTAGCCGAGCTTTCTTCCAACGACCCAAGTACATTACAATTTGAGCGCGTTCCCCCCTACAAATTCTCTATCTATCACCAAAACACTTTCGGAATTTCCAACTTCCCAATTCTTCAACTAAAGATCATCCAAAATATTTTGTTATTGATGATCTTTCTGACATTCTCTTCACAATTTCTAATGCATGCGCCATTTTCTCAACACTGAGCGCAATCTATCCATTTTTGCGCGTTCGCCTTTTTGGCGATTGTGATCAACCTCATCTTTGTACAAAGAAAGATACGACTTTTTCGATTTTTCGCCATCTGCTATATCTAGCAGCAACTCGAACCTTCCTCATTTACTGTCGATAATCACTCAAGATGTCGTTTGGGGGAGGAGGATTTGGTAGTGGCTTCGGTCAACAAAACAAGCCGGCTGGATTTGGAGGTTTTGGTGGTTCAACTGCCAATAACACGGGCTCAGGTAGGTCAACTCTTCACTCTCTTTACATTTGATCCGCTGGGTGTCTGGGAGGACTGGGAAGGTTCTGCGATCTCGTCGAACTCATCGCTTACTTGGATCGTCTACTGCAACAGTTTTCGGTTCTGGTGCCACCAATAATACCGGCTTCGGTGCAAACAACAATACTGGTGGTGGTGGTCTGTTTGGAAGTGGTGGAACACCTTCAAGCTTTGGTGGTAATGCCGGTGGCAGTACTGGTATGTCGATGCTCTGATTCTCTGGATTGTTCCTGTTCAGCTTGTTGGCTCGTCTTACCTTGGATCGCATTCTTGTCGCATTCCCTCTTGCTCTCGAATCATCCAATCTTTGATTAATGTCAAGCCATGTCATCTGCGAAACCGATTTTCTTTCAAATCACGCGTTTCAATACTTTCTTTTGTCCTTTTAGCATTTCGTATTGGTGGTGGTTTGCTGACATACTTCACAGGTTTCGGAGGATTTGGAGCAAAACCTGCAACTACTGGATTTGGAAGTACGCCTGCAACAACAGGTAACAATATGTTTGGAGGTTCTCCGGCACCAGGAACAACTAGTGCATTCGGCGGTGGTGGATTTGGAAGTAGTGCTGCTCCCACATCAGGATTTGCTGCTCCAACATCAGGATTTGGCGCTCCCAACGCTGGAGCTGGATTATTCGGAAACAAATCTGGTGGCTTTGGATCTACTACTGCTCCTGCCACGAACACACCTTCAGCTTTTGGGGGAGGAGGCACCGGATTTGGCACTAACGCAGGAACTGGATTTGGAGTTGCTGCTCCGAGCACCCAATGCGAAGGCACCCAATCCGTACCTTTCTCACCATTCATGGAAAAGGAGCCAAATACCTCCATGCAGAACTCATATCAAAGCATTTCCTTTCAAACACCCTACAAAAATTTTACACCCGAGGAGCTTCGATTAGCTGACTACACCAAGGGCTTGAGATACAATCAAAACCAAGGTGGTGCATTTGGCACGAACACAAATTTTGGCGGATTTGGTAGTTCCAATCAAGCTCCGACAACAGGGTTTGGTTCTACCAACAACGCTGCAGCAGGTTCCACTATGTTTGGCGGCGGAGCAGCCGGTACGGGTTTTGGTACAAGTCAGCCAGCTAGCACAGGATTTGGTTCGAATACAGCCACAACTGGTGGTGGACTCTTCGGGGCCGCCAAACCTGCGACTGGAGGACTTTTTGGTTCCCAGCCTCAAGCGCAAACAGGAGGCGGCATGTTTGGAGCGACTGCCAATCCAGCACCGGCTACCAGTGGATTTGGCTCGACAGGTGGTGGTTTTGGTACGACCAACACTACCGGAGGAGGTCTCTTCGGAAATAACAGCGCCGCAGCAGCAAAACCTGCTTTTAGCTTCGGTAACACGCAACCAGCAGCCCCGACCGGGGGCTTTGGGTCAACAGGAGGTGGTTTTGGATCGACCAATGCTAATGCTGGGGGAGGTCTCTTTGGAAATACTCAACAGCAGAGTACAACAGCTGGATTTGGTGGCGCCGTTCAGCAACAGCCAGCTCCGACCAATGCTTTCGGAGGTGGTTTTGGATCAACCAACACTAATACTGGCGGAGGTCTCTTCGGGAACACTCAACAAAAGCCACCTGCTACTAGTCTCTTCGGCCCGCAACCCGCTGCTCCAAACGTCGGAGGATTATTCGGCTCGCAACCAGTAGCTACGAACAATAGTCCATTTGGTGGCGCGAATAACACCAACGCAGGAAGCAGCCTGTTTGGTGCCAAGCCAGCTGCCACCGAAGGTCTCTTCGGCCAGCCCGCGGCTCAACCTAATACTGGCACAAGCAGCTTGTTTGGTGGTGGTTTCGGTGCTACAAATCAAAATAATCCACCCCAGCAAACCGCTGGTCTCTTTGGTGCCAGTCTTGGAAATAGCAACAACAACCAGCAGAAACCTGGCGCCTTATTTGGCCAGCCTCAGCAAACACAGGGGTCGGGATTGTTTGGAAACTCTGGAGCCCAGCAGCAGTCCAATTTATTTGGTTCATCTGCACTTGGTCAGCAACAACAACAACCTGCTCAGCCTCAAAATTCTTTCTTTGGAACAGGTTCGATCTTCAACACATCACAACAGGGAGGGGCACTTCAGTCATTCAGCACTAGTCTCAATGATACTAAAGCCTTTGGCACTGGATCTATGTTTGCCGATAACAAACCTCAGGAGCCTCTCAGGAACCCTGGACCTCTCGCAACCCCACTGTCAAGTGCTAATAGACAGAAACAGGCAGCGGCACTTCCGTTGTACAAGCTGAATGCATCTGGCTCTACACGATTCAATACTCCCAATAAATCACTTCGTGGAGGCTTTGGTCTATCCTATACTCCCGGAAGTGTTTCGACTGCAGGAAGTACACCTTCGATGTTCAGCAGCAGCTTACTCAATGGCAACCGAGCATTGAGCAAGAGTATGTCCAGCAACAACCTTCACCGCAGTACCCGTGGTGATGACAGCATTTTGGCACCTGGTGCATTTTCGTCAAGCACCAACTCAAAGTACGGAAGCAGTGGCAGTTTCAAGAAACTCATCATCAATCGTAATGTTCGTTCAGATCTTTTCAAGAATTCAACCGCTCCAGAGTCCCCTGTGGAATTCTCCAGTAAGCCAATCATGAAGAAACAGGTTACTTTTGAGACACCGCCACCGCCACCGACGCCTAGCGGCAGAGTTAATGGCAACGCTGACGGTAGCGTTAATGGTACTGCCAATGGTACTGTCAATGGCAACGGAACATCACCTGCTAGCCCATTGCAACCGGTTAAAAACAATTCCACGACCACCCCTGAAGTTACCTCACCTGAAATGTCGGAAATCGACGAGGATAAGCAGCCCACTGCCGTTAATGAGATTAAAGCTAAGTCACCCAAATTTCCTCGTGACACATCTTTCGGCCAATACTGGATGACGCCTCGAAGGGAAGACATTGAAAAAATGAATCGCATTCAACGTCAAAAGGTGTCCCACTTTTCAGTCGGCCGTGAGGGTTTTGGCTTTATCAAATTTGACGCTCTAGTTAATCTCGATGGCATCAGTCTTGATGACATCTTTCATAAAATTGTTATTCTTGAAGCTAGAAGTGCGGAAGTCTATCCAGAGCACGCACCTTTTCAGAAACCTCAAGTCGGTCATGGAATCAATGTTCCAGCTACCATCACCCTGTATAATTCATGGCCTCGCAATGCTTCCAAGAGAGCAAGCGATGAATGCTTGAAGAAACACGTCGAAAAGCTACAATCCATTCCCGATACCGAACTCGTGAGGTACGGTGTTGAAGATGGAACCTGGGTTTTTAGAGTTCCGCATTTCACGGTGTATGAGCTCAACTATGACGATGAAGAAGACGATGACATGGAAGAGGCAGCGGAAGTTGGTGGTGATTTTGGAAATAGTACTCTCACAGCTCCCCCGGACACACCAACTCCACGAACCCGTACACCAAAAGCAAATCCGCAATATTTTGATCAATCCTCCTTTGCATCTTCAATGGACTTGACCCAAGCAGAGTCGGATCCTGAGGACACATTCGAATTTAGAAAGAAAAAGGTCCTTCCAGGCGCTTTTGATGACGAGGAAGTTTATGAAGAGGAAGAAGTCATGGATAGTTCATTTGTTCAGAACCAGGAGTCTTTTTTAGATAATCGCTCCGTGGGTTCACAGTCAGAAAGCGGCGTCGAGGAACCAATTGACCAAGACGACGCCTATGAGGACGATGAATCTGCCAGTATCGTGGATCAAGAGATGGCGGGCTCTTATCCAGAAACTGGCAATACCGCGGAGCAAATTGAGGACTCGCAAGATGAAGACGATACAATGGAATATGGAACACCTGGTGCGATTTTGAGAGCCAGAGCAAGAGCACAAAAGCTAGATACCCCATCCAAGCTCAGATTGCCAGCGGCAAATGACTGGGCGGCTACATTGAGAGCAACTGCAAGCCCAAAGAAGCAGGATCGTGCTGTTCTCAAAAGCCTCATTGATGTTCATGGAAACGAAAAGCAGTCTGCCTTGGCACGAACTGAAATTCCGACAACTAACAAGGAATTCTCAAACACACACGGATTTGCATCGATTATGGATGTGCATAATGACTTGTTTGGGAAGGTTGCAAGTCCTATCAAGGTTTCTAATTATAAGAGGGGTGACAACTTCGAGGTTGGTTCTCCTTGCTGATAAACTTTCTTCTACGCGAAAATCGTGATTATTCATTGGGGACATTCGTTGCGTCCACTCATGTACCTAATATTTATGTAGTACAATGCTAAGAAATTATAATTACAGAAACCTTTCAACAAAAAACCCAAGGTTGGTGATGACGAAGCAGAAATGCCGGAAGAGGATCGCGCGTTCCACGACTCTGTCAAGCCAAGCTGGGGTCCCGATGGCACCCTAGTATACGCCGCGTCTTCCGATTCCAAGCCTTTTACTAAATCGCGTCGAGCTCGTGAGAAGGATGGTCTACTCACAATTCAAAAGAGTGGGATCGCTGAGGCCAGTAATATTCGATTCGCCAAGTTTTCTAATGAGTCTTCAGCAGATGCACTGAGAAGGCATCAATCTTTGACAGTCGTCGGAAATTTTGAGGGTGTCCCTTACGCAGCGTTATCAGATTCATTTTCTTTCCTGGACTTCTTCGACGAGCAAAATGTTCGAGATCCATCGGCAATCCATGAAAAGCTCGTCTGGGAACTCGCCAGCATTCTTTTCGACGCTATTAACATCCCACAAGAACTCGAGGACATCGAGAATGCGACTGAGCGGTTACGCAAAGACAAGTTGTCTGCATTTTGGCAGAAGTTGGTCTCTCAGGCATCAGCCCAGCATGTTGCAATGGCTAGATCAAATGAAGAAAAAGCAATCGCCTCACTGTCCGGTCACAACATTCCAGAGGCTTGCAGACATCTTATCAACGGCAAGAACTTCCATTTGGCTACACTCGTTGCAATGATCGGTGGCAAGGAACATCTCAAGAAGGATATTCGTGAGCAATTGTCACAGTGGCGAAGCACAAAAGCCCTCTCTGAATTTAGTCAGCCGATTCGAGCTCTCTACGAACTTCTTGCTGGAAATGTTTGTGTCTGCGATGGCAACAAAGCACCCCATATGGAAGATCGTATCGAGTCCTTCATTATTTCTAAACGCTTCGGGCTTGATTGGCGACAAGCGTTTGGTCTGAGACTGTGGTATGCGATCAAAGCCAATGAAGAATTTGACAGTGCAGTCAGAATCTTTGATAATGACATGGCCCAAGATAAGGAGGTATCCCGTCCTCAAGCCTGGTACGTCGAACAGAAGATCCCCAAGCTATGGCAAGATTATCAGCTCAATGAGCGCGAGGATCTTCTTTGGGGGCTGTTGAAGTTGTATGCCTACGACACTGCAGATCTCGAGGCAATTCTACGACCTGAAAATTCACAATTATCGCCTTTAGACATGCGCCTTTCTTGGCAATTGAGTCGAGCTTTGACTTCTTTTGGTTCCCTAGACTATCACGAAGCTGCCGAGGAGAAGAAAGACCAGACTACCTTGGCCTTCGCTTCTCAGCTCAACAATGAAGGATACTGGCTCGATTCAGTATTCGTTCTACTTCACTTGTCGTCGACCAACGCTCGAGCGAAATCTATTCAGGATCATCTTGCTCGACATGCCGGAAAGATTGGATCTGAAGATAGCCTGAGCTTCATCACCCTGGTACAAGACTACAAGATTCCATCATCGTGGATATGGGAGGCAAAGGCGCTGTACACTCGAAGTGTCAGGAATGATCCACTCAGCGAGGTTGAATGTCTGACTAAAGCCGGGTTGTTCGAAGAAGCTCACCGCACTTTTGCGAAGGAAGTTGCTCCCAAGGCAATCATCGAATACGACTATGCTACACTTCGCAGCATCCTTGCGAGCTTTGAGGGCAAGGAAAATGCTATTTCGGAGTGGCATCTTGGTGGTGAGATCTATCAGGATTTCCTCACTTTACTTGAATCTCAAAAGAAGAGCCAAGAACTTGATCTTGCGGTGTTAGAGAGATTGTTGGCTGGGTTACCGGCTGTCGTAGCGAAATCGCGTCACCCCGCTTTTATGGAGACGGTAGCAATCGAGACGATTAGTGGAGTAGTGGCGAGAGCAGTGGTGGATATAGAGAAGAAGGGCGAGGTAAGAACATTCTGGCGGCCCCCTCTTTTGACTAGTACTAACCACGCCAAACAGGATGTTGATCTACCAAAGGTATTGAGACTACCTCTCACAGAGGATCGGTATTTGAAACATACCCTCGATTTAAGTTTGGGATACTACAGGAGTGTAATGGCGGCTGGGAGATGATGAGATTTGTCACTTTACACAAATTGCATACGAATATGTGAACAGGGAAATAAGATACAGATTTTCATTTCATTGATACGGTCATTCAGAATGATACGATACCTACGGAATCAAAACATTTAAGGGATGGCGAGCAAGGAACGAAGGATTCAAAAAGCCTTGGGAAACCAACTGTAGTAGTATATTTTGTAATCAGCATAGCGAATAGGTAGCATTTTTTTTAGATAGGCACAACATCATGCATGAAATGGTATTTGATGTTCTACGAACGCTACGAACGAAAGTTTCTTCATGTATCTGCTCCCTTGTATCTCCAAAAGAAAGGGGGGCGAAAGAAATACGTGACGTATTTGAGAATTAGTTGTATTCTTAATTGTATATAGATCACTAACTTTCTTCTGGTGTTGCACAACATTTGTAAACGAATACTCGATGGCTGGTAAGGTAACACATTAAATAAGTCTCAAAATACTTTTTCGGGGTGAAGTAACTTCAAGCAAGGGAAATCGAGGACCTACAGTAGTAGACAGACAAAAGCTTTGATCGCCCGATATGTGGGTGATCCCGACATTGGCATATGTTTCATAGCAAGTATTTTAGTCAAGGCGATGATTGGATGAAGAAGTTGAGGAGAAAGATCATGTATCGGTTGTACAACGAGGCTGGGCCAATCAATCCCTAGTAGACCTGATTCACTAATGCACAGATTTTATGCGATTGGATAGGAAGACTTTGGAAGGGATGGACAACGCAGCAATTCTTGGGATTGGTAGCCGGCGCAGGGAAAAGTGGACAGGGGAAAGAGGGGGAAAGGGAGATGGATCATGGGAGAAGGAAGGGAGAAGGAAGAAGGGAGAAGAGAAGGATAGGAAAGTCGATACATAAGTCTTAATGCGGTTGGTGCAGAAGTGGTGCAGAAGTGGTGCAGAAATGGTGCAAGTGGTGTAGTGTGAGTGTAGTGTATTGTATTGTAGTGGTGTAGTTAGTGTAATGAGGTGGTGAACCAGGTTGTAGTAGTGTAGTTGTAGTAGGTAGAGCCGGGTTGTAGTAAGTGTACCTACGAGTAGTACTAGTAGTGTAGTAGGTAGAACCGGATTGTAGTGGTGCAGTAAAATTGATAGAAGGGAGAAGAGAAAAGGATACTAGTACTGGGTAGATTGAAGGTTTATTTTCCATATAATTCTTGTAATTAATGTAATAAAAGTGGCTGGAAATGAACAGAAAGGAATCAATTGCTCTTATCATATTATAATGTACTCTACCAGTGTAGTATTTATATAGAAAAACCAATCACTTTAAATACAATACAATACAATACGCAAGAGAGGGTTCGTTCCCCCATCACCCCACCCCACCAAATACAACCGGTACATTCCAACCCGCTCTAACCTATTTCCCTTTATCGTACACCCCAACCCACATCCCATCCCATCCCTTCGCAATTCACTTTCCCACTTATCGATTATCGCAATCAGTCAGATAAACCAACATAACTCTCTATTTTCACTTTCATATATCGAAAAGATTAAGAGTCGCATACTTGTTTGAATTACAGTCATAAACTCGTCAAGTTTACGCGATCGTAAACAACTATTCAAAGCAGACTTGTATTTGTATGGACATGTCCATATTTACTATTCAAAATCAAGTCCATTTTACACTAATCAACTTCAATATCCCCCATAGTACTTTCTTGATTGTCATAATCATCTCTTTCGCATATCTCTACATTTTACAAATCAAAAGATTTCCTTTCCTAAGTTGGAGCGCATCACCTGCGATAGTGAAGAATAATAGGAACTATGGGGACTACGATAGAGGAGCTGGAAGGCATGTTCGACGACCACCCCTCATTAAACGCATCTCTGCAGGATTTCGAACAAGGAAGCATAGAGATAGATCACAGCAACCCGCCTCGTCGTTTTGGCTATCCTTCCCAACATTCGGGCTTCCGCAGCGACACGGACTCGGAGGACGACATCAGGGACTCGGTATCCAGAGGTGGTTACAGTCCGCCAGCATGGAGACGAGAGGAAAACGGCAACCGAAGCAGCGGCTTCTGGAATCGGCATAACAATATACTTGGCAAGAGGTACAGGGAACTTTCTAGAGAAAGTAGTCCAGAATATGAAAGTGCTGATGAGGGTGGTAAACCTGATCCAACTCTTGCGGCAGCGGTAAGAACGAGGTTGCCCACTGGTTCATTGTCGCCGGAGAAGAAGAGAAGTCCGTCGCCTGATCCAAAACCTTTTAGGACTATTAATTTTCGAAAGACAAATGGTGCGGCGGTGAAGAAGGAAAATGGCCACGAAGCTGCACTCGTACCTTCGATGGGGAACCCGAACAACTGTATGAAACTTGTTGTGTTTGTATTGGTTCATATGCTGATGTATAAAAAGTTATTCGATTCGCATTCAAAACTGAAGTACAACATCGTACAGAACCTTTCGAAACTGCATTTACAACCATGAGTCTAAAGTTTGAGAAAATCATGAGTTCATGGGCTTCAGTATGCAGTGCCCTTGTGATAGCGATCATTTCTATCTTGACACTACGAACACTATTTCAACCTTCACAATTACCACCAGTACCGGATCTTATCAAGGTCGCAGGACTCGCCAGAGCTTTTGAACCTCTAATATTCTATTCCGAAAATGGAATTCGGCAAATTGGTGATATTCAACAAACCGGAATTGCTGTCTGGGATCTTGGCGAGAGTGTACGCTCAACCAATATGACTTCCGCACCAGTCATTGTTGCGGAGCTCGATGAACTGAGTGAAACTCTCACACTCTTGTCTGAAGAGTTAACCAGATTCTTTGCTAACGTAGACGGAGACGTCGATGGGTAATATTTTCTACTTCTGTGTTCTGAACTCATCTGACATATTTAGGATCTTGATCGTCATGGATTGGGCCAAACGGGAACTTGCTCAACTCAACCATCTTCCACCATCACCTCTCAATTCAGCCTTTGATAACATACACACACTCCTAAGTCGAGTAGGTGTCTTTGAGACTTCAACTGGTACTCCAACCAGAATCGGCGTTGTCGCAACAAACATATTCGGCATGTCATCGCCTCAAAGAACACGCCAAACTCTTCAAAGAACATTCAACGAGTTTCTCTCGGTTCTCGAAGATGCTATCAGTTCCGAGCTCGATCATGCTCTTGGTCTCTTTCGTATCTTCGAGAAGATTGATCACCAATTCAAAGCACTATCTCGAAGCGCCTCCCGCGAACTAGACACCCAAGAAATGGATGAAGATAAACTTCTCTCTTCACTCTGGACCAAGATCCTCGGTCCTTCTTCTACCACCATCCATAAATTCGAAAAGAATAAAAAACTCCTCGCCAATATACGTTCCAAAACCATCCAAAACAAATCCGTCCTTCTCGACCATAACGGAAAGCTATTAACTTTACGAGCAAATCTAGACTATCTAAGAAAAAAACTAGTTAGTCCGCTCGTAAGGACCAATAGTAGCACGATCCGAGTAGAAGAGCAAATCCAAGGTCTAGAAGATGCAAGTGGATATTTAGGAAAGGTCAGGGCAACGCAAAAGGGGAAGTTGATGGAAATGTTGTATGGTGCTGGGAGTGGTAGTGCGAGAAAAGTAGCTGGAGCAAAGGTTGAGATTGAGGGGCGATGGGAATAATTTTGTTTGATTTCCTTTTCTTTCCTCTTTCTACTTTCTTGTCCTCGCATGAGAGTATAAGTAGATGGATGGGAAATCATTGTATCAGGCGGGTGGGTGGGTCACTTACTACTTGCTTTACTTGCTACTTGCTACTAGGACGGTGTTATTGGTGCAGCAACCGGAAGGTAGATAAATGGAAGGAAGCATGGGCCGATAGATACCATTATGGATAGGATGGGATGGGATGGGATGGGATTGGTGGCGTGCAATTTTTAGGTTTTTTGTTTTTTTCCTTTTGGTTCGATTTTATTGGGTGTGGTGTTTGCATGCATGCATAATGAATTGGTGTTTCGGGGTGGATGTACTGAAGTCAACTTACTTGATCTTGATCTTATGGGCGTTGGGTTGTGGGTGGGTGGGCGAAGAGATATTTTGATCAACATTAGGTTGCGTAGCATAGCATGTATTTACACACTCATGTATTCTTCTCTTCTCTTCTCTTCTCTTCTAGTTTTTTGCTCTTTTACCTCTGGAACTACTGGTGCATAGTGGGAGTTTGCCTTTTGGCTCTGGGTTGGATGGGGTTTAGTAGTTGGATGGGATGGGGCTAGGAGAGAATGAATGGTGGATATGGGTTGGATTGGATGGGACGGGATGGGATAGGATAGGGAGTACATAGTTTTAGGATGATATAGGATTGTGAATTCAGGAATTATAGTTTATATCTATCTAGGTATCTATATGTTTATATATCTCGGGGTGAAAGTTTATTACTATACTATGAGTATTGTAATACTCGCAAAGCAAGTAAATTGAACGTTTGCATATCTGAGGCCCTAATAGCAATTATTAAGCGAGGAATGGGATGAGAAATTGAGAATAGAATAAGGATGGGAGGGGATAATATGAGTATAGGAATAATATATACAAGGTGTAATACTCAGTATAATAAGGAGAATAATTAATATATCATTCGATAAATAATCTGCCTACCTTTTGAATCTACTCGAGTATAATAATAATCTTGAATCTTATAAATAAAAATAAAAAGATATTAAAAGATTGATAGTTTCTAATTGATATTATTTCTTCAAGTTATTTATAAGATTAGATATTAGATGTTAGACATATTACACCTGATATCATATCGCTGTATTCTTTTGATTTCCCTTTTTATTGCCCTTATCGTTTCTCTTTCTCGAATTTTCTTCCTCGCGGTATTCTATTCCCTGATTTCTAATGCTTACTCTCTACCTACCCCCTCACTACCCCCAAGCTCCTTCCTATATATCCCCACCATACTCCTATATCCTCATTTCTTGTCTTGCTTTGCTTTGCTTTGCTTTCATATTCTATTTTGTGCTTGTGTTTGTACTTGATGATATTGGATCTGGATGAAACTTTCGTTCTGGGAAGGAAGGATCAATTTCTATTTATTTTTAGGCTCCATCTCTAACTCCTTCTTCAACTCCTCCATCCCCTCCCTCATCCCCTCCTTCCCCTCAACATCTATCTCTCTCTCATTTCTCTCATCATCAGTCTCATCATAGTCATTATTATTTACATCCTCCGGTTTCAAGAGGGATTTCTGAAAGGGCGCTTCGATAGAATGATCGGTTACGCACTAGGATAGGGAGGGAAAGAGTATTAGTGAGGAGAGTAAGAATGTGGGACGGGAGAAAGAAGAAAGAAGAACCTACCTTAACATCCAAATCCGGAAATCTATATCCATAAACCCTCCACTTTCTCTCCCAATATTCCTCTACTTTTTTACTGAATCTCTGTTGCCAAGATTGTTAGTTTAGGATTTTTTGGATCTTTATATCCTCCTAACTCCACGTATATTGATCCACAAACACACACAAACAAACAAATAAAAATAACTATATCAAACTATAGCTATACCATAATAAAACCAAACATACCTGAGCAACCGCCCTCCTAAGCACATCTTTCATCTCCTCCTGTACCTCCCTACTCGACATCAATATCCTGCCCTCTCCCCTCCCAACCCTCATCCCCACATATCCCCTCAGCATATCCCGATCTCCTCTCATCTCATCGTACATACCCACCAGTACCTTTACCCACGCCCCCTCCATCTCTAACCTTCCTACTGGCAGCGTTATTCCTGTTATCTTCCCTTTTCCCTTATCCCCCAACTCCCCAAAAACCCAATCCACCAACTTACACCACTCTAAATACCTCTCTCCATCCCACTTCCCCACGGCAAACCTCATGAAATCTCCCCCGATCCCTTCCCCTGAACTCATCACCCCCTCGATTATCCTATCTGATTCCCTCGCTTCGTTCCATAGACGCGCCCAGGGATAGTATGTAAGTGTAGGTCGACCGTAGATATCCAAGAACGAAGGTGGGAAATCTAGCGTGTGGTATTGGGAGGGACGGATGCGCGCGCCGGCTAGGAGGAGGAATTGTTGGTCCAGGCTGGGGTAAGGGATGGGCGGGTGGAGGGTCGTGGACATGATCGGGAGGGGGTTTGCTGGTTTACTGAGTACTTGGGTGAGTAAACTGGTGGGGGATAATGGCTGATAACGTGCACAGTGTATATATGCAGAGACTTGTATCAAAGTATTGAGTTTTCGTTTTCGGGGTAGTATAGATAATAATACTATGCATATAAAAGAACTCAGGAATTCGAAGAGCTCTCTTTGTGTATGAATCTTTGAGTTTGAGTTTGAGTTTGAGTTTGAGCTTGAGTTTGAGCTTCAGTTTGACTTTGAATTTGACTTTGACTTTGAGTTGCGCGAAAGAAAGAGAAGCCAGACAGACTGGTTTATTTTGCTTTGATATAGTGATGGGAAAGTAAATGAGTTATTATATCCATGTTATTCACTTGAGTCACGTCAGTCAATCAGTCGGTATAGTCAGGTGGAGGTGGTCGCATTGAGAATTTGAAAATGATTGACTAGTGCAGTGAGCAGTTCTGCTTGCGCAGTGAATATATATACTAATACTCACTTGTTATTGATTCTGCGCTCTGTAGATATGTATATGAAGAATCCTGTCTGTCTATGACTTAACAACAGTTCACGTCACCTTTGACTTTTAAGGTTTCCTTCTATACTTTCTTTGATAGCAAGTAAGTAAGTAAGTGCATCATTCCCATTCTATCTCCTATACTGTCTAAATCCTTCTACAAGAGAACTTGTAGAGACACATTAGATATGCATAATCATAAATCATGTACTAGGATATACGAATTCACTTTGTATGGATAGTAAATTGATATTCCAAGAGTTATAAAACTGAGAAAAGAATGATACATTCTCTCTCTATAATAAAGCTTCAATGATAGTACTCGAGTAATATATCTTAGATGAGTTACTATCTATGTTATGGATTATTGTTATACTCGAGTACAAGTGAATGTCTAAGGTTGGAATACTAGAAATGAAGTTATTGTCATGTAGATTCTTAATTATGCTTTGATTTTGATGGATTCTTCTTTTTCTATTTTTCTCTTTGAGAAGTGTGTATGATGGGAGTAACTTCAAAGTGGAAAGATAAGCAAATGGTGAAAGTAATAGTAAAGGTGATAATAGCAGTTTGAGGGGGGAAACTTGAACTGAAAGGGTTCAAAGGGGGCTTACCTAGAAAATGAAGACTAAAAAATCCATCGAAAATAAATCAATCTAGTACAAATTGTACAATTCGATTATATATAGCATATCTATCTAGTACAAGTTTGTGCCTAGTTTTCTTAGTACTCGCTTTACCAACTCACCAATATAAACCCAAATATCACACATTCCTTCACCAAGAAACAAAGTCCAGATGGCGCAGTGGTAAACACACTGAGTCTTGCATACCCCTCTAGTAGGGGCCTCTGCTTAATGTCCGACGACTTTGGTGCTTGAAGAACTCAGTTCGTCTGGCTTGAATTGAACCTTAATGTGTTTACCGGGATGTGACACCGCGAGAGAGTAAGTTACGGATCTCAGATCTGTTATAATTTCTTTAGTAAATCGTCGATGTCATCCCATAATTTCCCATTTCCTATTTCCCATTTCATCGTTTGAGATTAATGCTAACGTCTTTCCTCTTCAATGTCCTCAACTTGTCGTGCTTTCTAGAACTGTTCAGTGTTTACCCATTTCGTATCGGCTGTTTGCTCCATTCATCGTCCCTAGAGAAGTCGTCTTGATGATATGGAGAGTAAGAATGTTAGTAACTTGAAAGAAGCATTGAAATTGGTAGAGCATCTGGGTAGTGTCCACCAATCAACTTAGCAATTCGATATATCTACCTCATCACTTGACAATGGCAATGGTTCATAATCACATATCCGAAGTAAGAAAGACATATATAGCACGTGTAAGTCAAGTGTAGCTGTCATCAAGTGTAGCCGTCATCAGGTCGTTCCTTCCTCAACTACTTCATTTACTTTAGCTAGACTTACTAAGCTGAGTTCCACTCAAACTCAAAACTTCTCACCACTTCACCGGCACTATCTATTGTTCATATCGAGGCCGAAAGTCCCAATTTCCCTCTCCTCACTCATGTGTGCAATGTGCCGTGAAGCACGAGCAGCTTGTTTGAAGAGATATTCGGCTTTCAGAAACGCCTGGATAGTGTCGTACCTCCAGGAAAGGCAATTGGAACTGACAAAGGACAATGTAAAGGACTTCAGAAAAAAATGGCATTCTGTTACATGGATTGGTTAGGAAAGAGATGTATTTTGTATGTCAGAGGATAGCAATGAAACGATACAGCGTGTTGATATGCTTTATAGGCATAGGTTGACAGTTGTTAAGAAGCTCGTTAGTATATCCTACAGAATACATTTGCGAGATCGCTATGACACCAAGTAGTGGTACGTACTGACTCAATATGGATCATATGATATTATAGGCGTTCGGCATATGTACTGTTCAAATTTTGGTGTCCAAATACTGTGAATTCTGGCAGACCCTAGCTGTTCTCAACCCAAAGCTCACTGAGATCAAGGCTTTTACATACCGTTCTAGATTTATGGATGGTTACTACGATTTCAATACAGCGTGTCGCGATGTCTGAGCCAGGGTATCCAATAGTCTAGACTATACTGGAGTAATCCAATTAGAGAGATTCCAATGTTCGAAATGTTTTAAACCTCTGAAAAGAATTGAATCATTTCAAACAGTTCGTTATTTCAAATATATTTAATAATTGTAAGAGTTTCAATATTTTAAATCAAAATAATGTTTAAGATATATTCAGGAATTAAGAATATCTTATTGTTGGACTACAGTCTGGACTATTGGAAACCCTGGATCATTATATCTCCCATCGCATCACCAGAAAGACTATGGATGAAGCTTTGGGCAGCCACTCTGATTTTGACAAGGTTAAAGATTCTCTGTCCAATTGTGGTACATTAAGTTATGAAATTGGCTTTGCGGAACTAAGACTCGATGAGATGCCTGAGAAGCCCGAGATTCCCAAGCCAAAGACACAGTTACAGATCTTGAAAATTGAGCAAGAGTGTCACGGGTTCACTACCCGTTCCTACACCTACCTACACGTACCTACACCTATCACGTGTCCACTACCCATTCTTAGTTAGCTCGGGTGGATGCCTTAGGCATCCACCCACCATATAGTCGTCGTCGCTCCGCGCGCCTCCTTCTCTCCTTGTCGAATATCATACATCATACCTAGCACCCACCAGAACCCGTACCAGCCCCGTGATAAAGAGAAAGCAGACGAGGAACTTTTATCTCAATGTGTTTATGAACGAAGAAAGCCAACTTGGCACAGAGAATGGCCTCGGAGGATCAAATGCCAGTGTGTTCAACTGAGCAAGGAATATTTTGAGCAAGTGGCTTTCATATCTGTAAGAAGAAATAGCTTGATGTATGAGGATGCGGTACTTGCGTGTTGGCTTTAGAAACAAACATGGACGGAGGAATTATGTGCATGTATCTCCACAATACACAATGAGAAGCGAAAATCTATAACCCCATTCATATCACACTCGTGATTCAAAAGGCAAAACCAAAAAAGCTATATTACTCACTAAATATCTTATATAGTCCTTTAAACTCTGTCCACCGAAATAGTCTACTCAATACGCCATGTCCAATACTCGAGTATTCCCAGAACAAAACGACCACTACCCTCCCCCCTCTTTCTTTTCCAAAACCACATTCATCCAAGCATCACATGAAATTCCATCCCATCCAATCCTACTCCCGTAACCCCTCCATCCCACCACACGACACCCAACTTCCCAGTACCACCCCATCTTCATCTCCATCTCCGTCTCCGTCTCCATCCCCCATCCACCACCCTACTTCCCAGCACACCACAATTTCTTACTATAAACCCAGCGCTGCCCCGCCACATCCTCAATCGTATCCGGATTAAACCAGAATTTCTCTCCGTGCGCATTATATGTTACGCCGCGGAGCCCGACGCCTACTTCGGCGGAGTATGTTCGGTCCTGTGTGTGGGTTTGGGGTTTTAGTTGGGGTTTGTGTTTTGTGTAGGGGTATGAGGGGAGGAAATGAGATGGGATGGGATGACTAACTGTTGTATTCGCCTTCATTTTCCCTTCCCATAGTTTCTTCGTGCAGGTAAAGTGCCATGGTTTCCACTGTTTATTTACACATAATTAGCCTTTATTCCTGCTTTCTTTCCCCTTCAGTCCCTTCCCTTCCCTTGCCTACACCCATCCCCCATCCCCTATCCCCCATCCCAAAACATATAAAAATTCCAAAAGAAAAACAAAAACAAAAGAAACAAACTAACAACCCACTTCCCCCTCCCCCAATCCCGTTCATTTTCCCTCTCCTAAGGAAGTGTTAACATCATTCCTTAACATCATTTGATATACTCATACCTGCCACGCCCAATGTTCATTATACGTCATATTAATCGTGCACGTCTGGATTCCATTATCGGTAATGGTGCCTAGGAACGGCAAATCGTTGTTGAAGGGGAAAGTGGCGCTGTAGGTGAGGCAGGCGTGGGTGATGAGAGGGGTGAATAGAGAGAGGGGGGTGAGGAGGAGGAGGAGGAGGAGGAGGATGGGGTGGGAAGGGAGGTGGAGGAGGTGGGAAGGGAAGAGGGAGCGCATGCTTGATGGATGGATGGCTGGGGGTGGGAGGTTAGTTTAGGGTTAGAGTGAGGGTGAGGATGGGGATGAGGGGAAGAGGGAAGAAGAAAGAAGAAAGAGTGTACTTACATTGAGATAAGTAAGGTAAGTATTTTGGGTAACAGATATGATTGTAGCAGCAATGACCAGAATGTATATATCTCGCTCCCCCTTCTCATACATCCATACACCCATCTATAAAACGAGCGAGTTCTTGGCACAGAGTCCAAAGTCCACAGTCACACTCCAAGCAAGCAATTCCCAAGACTATTAATCTGCAAAATATTGCCCTTCTTTACTTTGTACTCCCAAAAACAAAACTCACAAAACAACCACCCACCCACCCCCATACATAAATAGCAAACCCTTCATCCAAAACTCCCCCCCCCATCTCCCCAAACCCAACGATCCAATCCCAGTTTCCAATATCCCCAAGCAAAGCTGACGAATCCATACATATCACATATCTCTTCCACACATCACTTCCTCCAAGCACTTGGCAACCATTAAATTTTTCATATCCCTTTTTTCGTTTTCTTCTATTGTTATTCCGAATCTTAAGTTTCCTATTACCGTTACCCAAAGGAGCAAGATGTGGCTGAAACCTATACTCCTTAGCATTCCAAGACATGATCAAGTTTTTCCTTTTTCACCCACAAATGCATTCCGTTGCTCGGATCTCGGATCTCGGATATCTTAGAAGACAATTCGTAGAGCTACGTATTACAATATACAAATCCTTGTTAGAACAAGCTATGGCCAAGCATAATGGAAATAGTTTTGTATTTCTGTCCTAACTAAGTGAGAGTTGCTACAACCAAAGCTGAAATTTACTCAAGTAAACCGATGCAATACACGTCAATACTGCTGGAATTCTCAAATGTGTTAAAAGAAAAATAAAACTGCCTTTCGGAATTTCGCGTTTGCTTGTTCATTTGCCGAGGAGGCTTGTAAGGCGGTGGATAACATATGAGCTCAAGCATATAACCAATTTGCTAAAAGGGGATAAAAGTGTTGTGGTTAGGAAAATTTCGAGACACTTAGATCCAGAACATTGAAGTTTCCATCTCTCTATGTATCGTGACTCGATCTTGATTTACTCCTAATGCTGGATTGGCTCCCGGTGTCGGTGTAGTGTTTTCTGATGGAGGATCATAATGATCTGCGAGGTACGATCTCATGCGCGTGCACAACAGATCTGCATAGTATGCCGGAGGACACAGACTAACAGCCTTCGTAGCTCGTCCGAACAGATGACACATGTTGTGAGTTAATTCCTCAAGAGCATCGGCTGAAGTTTGGTGGGGAGGTTTAATCTTCTGCGATTTGAAGATTTCGTCTATGATGACAAAATAATGGCATGGTCTTGCGGTTCCCTTCAGGCATTGATGTGGTTGGAGGAAAAAGTCCCAGTTGCGAGACTCGGTAACACCACGATCAACAACGGTCCCAGCAGGACAATTCGAATTCTTATCGGCGACGTTAGCATCCTTTGGATAAAACCGAGTGTGATGACGTTTGCCACAGACTACGATCGAAATTCTCGGGAGGTTCTTCTTGGTATAGTCGGCTGGGTACTTTTGACGACAAGCATGTCTGATCTTCGGTAATTCTTGCTGGAGCAAGATATCGTATTGCCCTTCCGAAACACCGTCTCTGTAGATCAGAACATTCTCAGGCCATACGTTTTTATTTGCCCGGTACCAGGTCCCCAACAGATGCATGAACATCCGTTCAATCTCCGACACTACTTCTTGTCGGGCCTCGCTCTGCAAGCGACAGATACCGGACCATTGGCCCAGTAGTTTATCAGTGTTAGCCACCATGCAGGCAACACTGGGGGCCGTATCTTTCGATCCCGGGGATGGATGTGTCACGTCAATCCCGACAACCATCGTCTTCCCTTCACTGATGATTCCGAGTTTGTCGACCGTTTGGTTGATACCACCAGCTTTGAGATTGAACTTCAACGCAACGTTACCAAAGAATTGTGGACTCTCTTTTTTCAAGTTGTCCCAGAGTACGCAAACCGTATGTATACCAGCATTGATATCTCCTATTCTCTTGATCGTGTTGTAAAGCATTACATCACTGACCGGAAGGACACAGAGAAGAAACTTGGGTTTCTTTTTCAAAGAGCCTTTAGCAAGTGCACGGAACGCATCGCCAACATTAGCAGAGGTGGCTGCTTCATTACCTCTAACGTACAAGATGGAAGGTGCCTCTGGCAATGTTTCACGGGCGCCAATACCCGCACTGATTAAGTGGTTCTTGAGCTTTTCGACACTGTTCGCAACAATCCCTGGCCCTGGATTGAAGGCACCATTGCATTTGAATATCACATAGGTCCAAGGTCCAAGGTTTCCAGAGGTATGGAAAAGCGTATCTCTCATATTCCAGGAACCGTCTCTAGGAATCGTTTTTGTTGGACGTCGGTTCTGATTCATGTAGTTGATTGGTGGTGGCGGTAAAACGCGACCTTGAACGGTTATAAGGCTGTTCCCAACCTGAACACCAAATTGAGACAAAATGGGATTGTCTTTAGCATTTAGTCCCAAGACTTGTTTGCCAGAAGTAATGATGGACATGGCATTCGGCTCCGGTCTTCTGTTTGCAAAATCCAACATCAACTTAGTTTGGTCTCCTAGTAAAGTCTTTTTCACAACTTGGCCTGGTTTGATGATACAAGCCTCCATAGGCAGATACGACGGTTTGACATTGCTTCCGACGTTGACCACGGGAAATTTGGGGTTCAGTGTAAATCCCCGATATCTTTCCTTGAAATAGTCATACACAGAGATGTACTTGTTGCCTTTAAGTGCTGGTCCAGAAGCTCTCTTTGATCCGGACTTTGATGGCGCATCGCCTTTCGTTGATGGTGGTTCGGCGGAGAGCCAAAACTGGACGTCCATCGGTCCAGCGGCAAATCCCGTAACCCGTGGAGGATGTTCTTCGTCGCGACCATCATTTGGACGAGCAAAATCCCAAATAGATTTCTCTCGCGGAATGATTGTACCAGCTTTAGACTTTTTTACGGGCAAGTGGGTGATTTCAACACGCTTTCTTTTAATCTTATCCGCGAAACTATGGGGATTGGCACCGCCAAAAGAAAGAAATAATTGAGTCAGATTACCAGGCTGGAGGAAAACGGAGTGAGTGACATTCACGTTCAAAAGAAATCGACCAGTGGCTGGCCTAACACTCTGATAGAAACCGCGAATTGCCTCCAGTCCCATCCGGAGATCGGCAAAATTATTCTCGTTACCCCTTCGAGCAGTGGAGAAGTGTCGGTTACCGGCAATAGAAACAGTTCCATTGTCGCTTTTGGCGTAGTGTCCCATCAAGGTATTCATGACCTGGGTGATCTCCTCTTTTGTCACGTCTGGCATACCAGTCACAGAGCCCTTGGATAAGAACTGAACGAAATCGGTAATATTGATAGAGGTTGGGGAGCCGATTTTAACTTCGTAAGTTTGAGCATTTGGAAGTGGTTCGTCTTCCTCTTCCTTTCGCCAAGTGATGGTGAAAATACGTTCATCTTTGAAAGGCAATTTGTTTGGTGTTACAAGCATTGAGGCGTAATCAGTGACAATGGGGATGTTTGCAAATTCTGGCAACTCGAGAACGAGCCTAAAAAGCTGAGTTCGTTTCTTTTTGGTGGCATCCATGTTCGGAGTGATTTCGACATTGTATCGACCCAAAGCGAGGTTAGGGCTGGTATTCAGCGAGAAATAATTGGCATACAGTTGGACTGGTCGACCGCTAGTCCCGTACCCTGGACGAGCAGGGTAACTCTGGTTGAGCGACATCTTACTCAATGCATTGATTCCCGATACGCTCTGATGGTACTCGTCTTCCATCTTGGTGAATTTCGCATCAGGGGCCCCCGCGGGATAGTTCGGATCTCTGCAGAAATCATTAGATTAGTACCCAGAAGAGTAAGGTGAACCCCTTACTTAAAAGTGACCACAGGCTCAGGCTCGCGTTTTTGATAGCCACCTCCTCCTCCACCCCCATAGCCACCTCCTCGACCACGGTCTCCGCCGCCACCTCCACCACCATAGCCACCTCCTCGGCCACGGTCTCCGCCGCCACCCCCACCACCATAGCCACCTCCTCGGCCACGGTCTCCGCCGCCACCTCCACCTCCTCGGCCACCTCCTCGGCCACGGTCTCCGCCGCCACGACCACCACGGCGATTTCCTGCTGGGTCAAAAGACATAGAAAGGGCTAACGAGGGTTTTCTCGAGAAACGTTTGTCGGATGTATCTATAGATCGATGTTAGAAAGCAAATCAAAACGACGAAGTTCAAGAAGTCAGCAAGTGAAAGGATTGAATCAAGACATAGTAGAAAGTGAAAGGGTGCGATATAAGTAGAAGGATGTCAATTGTAGGGGATGTATGTTATCTGGCTAGCAAATGAGCTTGCTTTGTGAGTGAGAGAGACATGCTGTTTGTTAAACAGAACTCAGAAGTGTGAAGTGACATATTGTTTTATAAGCATCTGACTATGGAAAGACATGGCTCATCAGTGCTAACAAAGAAAATAGAGCAAAAGATGATGGAGAATGATACATGATTGTGAGCCAAAATGATACAAATGGTATCTTGGAAAGAAGAGTGTGCCACAAAAAGAAACAAGTCATTCATTGATATGTATCATAAGAGAGTGTTGGGATAAAGCTGAAGCATACCCTTTTGAAGACTGAGTAATTGATAGCTAGAATATCGATTGCAATGGAGCAATCTTAGTAGAAAGTTGGTGTTAAATATCGAGTACCTTTCCAATTGGTGATTGTGTATCAAGATCTTTGAGTAGTAAATTGATGTGTTGGTTGTTGTGGTGATAGAATTGAGATGGATAGATGAGTCGTGGTTCGTTGCTGAGGTGAAGCAAGATGAGTAAGTAGTAAGAGGGGTTTTTGATCGAATGAGAGCAAGGGATTTTGATTTGCTATAGTAGATACTCATATTAGCAGAAGATCATTAGGAATATTAGATATCTAGATGTTTTCTAACAATTGGAATGGATTTGATGAGCAACCGGTAGGTACCAGTATTAACAGTATGTATCCAGCAGCAACCTTGTGGATAGCAGGACTTTTTGACTACATACTTTTGTTTTTTGTTTTTTTTTGTTTTTTTGTTTGGTGTTTGTTTTTGTTTTTGTTTTTTTGGGTGATTTTGGAGCTTGAAGCAATAGAAGCCCAAAAATTGGTTGAAAGATGTATTCAATCAGAGCAATAATGTGAAAATATGCGAGAGGTTGTTGTTGGATTGAAAGAGAAGAGAAGAGAAAGAGGGTGAGATGAAAGAAGAAGGGCAGAGTAAATATAAGTTGGTGGTGATACAAACCAGCACTCTTTCTCTTTACAGTTCACCCATTCACCTATCAGTAAAAGGACAGGGCAGGATTAATTCAACCAATTCATTCACTTGTTGTGTTAATTTTGTTTAAATTACCCCACTTTCTCTTTAAGAATGTTAATAGGAACAGGACAAGGCAAGACAAGACAAGATGGAGGGTTCTCATTATATCTGAGATAAGATGACGAACTATTTGAATATAGAACTATGAAACATTCTAAAAATCCCATTAAATTTTTAATATTCCTATTCCAATAAGGAGAGCTTGGGCCATCAAGATTAGAAACACAGTGTGGATGGATCTCTTTTGAACTTGTAGTCACATGTGACATATTTTTGATATCAGCAAGTAATTTCACCTTGTATCCTGCAGCTGCACTTATTCTGATATTGATCCATTCAAGTAAACTCGTTATCCTGCAGCTGCACTATTCCACTATTCTGCTATTGGACATCCAAGAAGTAACCTTCCTCGTATCCTGCAGCTGCACTATTTATTATCTGCAGCTGCATTACAAACGAGAATGTTTCATTCATACCGCCACCGCTGTACTCGGGTATATTATTGTATCTCTTACCTCAGAGAACGACAAGAGCAGTTGCGATTGATTTGATTGATTGAAATGAAATCCAACTTATTATTTCCATGATATCCTTCCTAAGTAGGTAGGTAAGTTTCCCTTCCATAATTGCGATTGCTCCTTCCTTACCCCGGACTACGGGATATGAAATCAGCCGATGAGAAAGCCATGCATAGCAGCAGTGGCTTTCATGGCTGCTTGCTCTGGCGAATCAAAGGACATTTCGGATATCGATGAATCATAGGCTTGTATGCCATAACAAAGAAAACAATTACTTGTTATCGACAACAACCTCAATTCTTTGCCTTATGATTTAAGTGAGTCAGCAAGGTTATAAGATGATGTTGCTATTGTCCATGAGAGTTCTGCCTAGCAGAAAGTATATGCTGCTTCTTCATTGAGATTAAACTACCACCTCTTCGAAATTCTCGTCGATTTCCCTAGTGACTTCCCATAACTTGAATAGAATATTATCAATTCGATCAATCTTCCAAGGAAAATAGCAACCACAGGCAAGAAAATCGCATGCGAGTCAATATGGAGGTACCCAAGGACGAAGTTGATGCATCCAACATATCAGACTCTATCTCCAAAGACAACACACCAGAAGAAGACGTGCCAACAAACATAGCCCTCCAAAAAGAAATAATCCTAAGCCCCAACGAACTCGATGGCGAAGAGGCAGTTTATCCCCACGGCTTAAAGTTGGCAGTAATTCTAGCCGCGCTGTGCCTTGCCGTCTTCCTAGTAGCTCTAGATCAGACCATTATCGCGACTGCTATTCCGAAAATCACGGATCAGTTCAATAGCATACAGGATATTGGGTGGTATGGTAGCGCATATCTTTTGACGACTACGGCGTTGCAGCCTACTTTTGGAAGAATCTATACTATATTCAGTGTAAGTAAGCAACCTATGTATGCCAAAATACTACATAGAGACTTATAGAATTTGGCAGATCAAACTCACCTTCATCGCGGCCATTATAATTTTCGAAATCGGGTAAAGTGATGCCGCATGTATGCATATGAACATATGAATTAATAAATGAGATAGTTCTTTGGTTTGCGCCACTGCGCCGAATAGCACTGCGTTGATTATAGGTAGAGCTGTGGCGGGAATAGGGGTTGGAGGTTTATTTTCCGGGGCGATAGTTATTTTGGCATATTGTTGTAAGTGCATGGAATTTTAGCTCGGCGGTTGGATACATTCAATCGATTACGTCGTTCACTCTTAGCTTATTTATTTTTACTGGACGATGCTGATTTGACACATAGTACCCCTACGAAAACGACCAGCTGCTTTTGGTTTGATGTAAGTGGATAGATACTTACCTATGGGCTCTTGAATAACCAAATCGTCATTGTCTGACTGGTTTTCGTACAAGTACTGACATGAGATGATTGACCAGTGGAGGAATGTGGGGGATTGCTTCTGTCGCTGGGCCATTACTTGGAGGTGTATTCGTAAGTCTAGTTTAGCACTTCATGAGGATACACACACTGACCAGAACAGACTGACAGAGTATCCTGGCGTTGGTAAGTCAGTACTTTGCGAAGGCACAAGCCAAGAACTGATAAGTCGTAGGTGCTTTTATATTAATCTCCCCATCGGCGCCATTGCCATCGTTGTAATCGCCGTCTATCTTAAAATCCACCGCGCCAACAACCCCGAGAATCTCTCCATACTCGCTCGTATCAAAAAGCTCGATCTCATCGGCACAGCAATTCTCATTCCAGCCGTCATATGTCTTCTTCTGGCTCTCCAATGGGGTGGTACTACATACCCATGGAGTTCTGCTAAAATAATCGGTCTCCTCGTCGGGTCTGCCTTATTATTCATCCTCTTCATCACCTCCCAGATCATCCTTGGCGATAAAGGCATCTTACCTCCCCGCTTCTTCAAAGATCGCAATACTATCCTCGCATACATCTTCGCCTTCTTCTTTGGCGCCGGTTTCTTTGCCCTAATCTTCTACCTAGCAATCTACTTCCAATCCGTCAAAGGCGCTTCTGCCACCAAAGCCGGTATTCAGCTTCTCCCACTCCTAATATCTACCGTCATATCATCCATCGTAACCGGAGGTCTCATCACCGCCATCGGATATTACACTCCCGTGATGATATTTTGCATGATATTTTTCGCCATCGGATCCGGTCTCATCACCACCTTCTCCCTCACAACCCCCATATCCAAATGGTTCGGCTACCAAGTCATCACCGGCATCGGTATCGGCGTCGGCTTCCAAGGCGGCGTCCTAGTCGTGCAGACCGTCCTCCCACTCGTCGACGTTCCCGTCGGTACAGCCTGCGTATCATTTTTCCAATCCCTAGGCGGCGCCCTCTTCATATCCGTTTGTCAAACGCTCTTCCAAAATGGTTTAAAATTCGGAATCGAAGAACGTGCTCCCCAACTTGATCCGCAGTTATTTCTCCACAGTGGTGCAACGGAGATTCGCCAATTGCTAACACAGCTGAATCAGGAAGAAGCGTTAGAAGCGGTGCTGCAAGCGTATACAACAGGGCTTACGCATTGTTATTGGGTGACGACTGCGTGTGCGATTTGTAGTTTTGTGGCGGCCTGTGGATTAGATTGGAAGAGTGTGAAGAAGGGGCACGGACAAGAAAAGGAAAGAGAGAAGAGGAAGGATGGGAAAGAGGAGAGGATGGTTGATAGAGAAACGACTTAGATGGAAGGTTTGTAAAATATGAATGATGGCGTGGATTTGAGAGAGTATATTTGATATATTTCGATAGTGTAGAATCTTTTAAATGGATTATATGATCTCCTAAATGGTAGATTCTATTCTCTCACAAGACTTCCATTTGGATTTCTCAAATGAACAGAATAAATGAATGACTTGAATCTTACAAACGAATCGAGTAGGTACCTCAAATGAACCGAACGAAAGAAACCTTCAAACAAATCAGGCATCATCAAAAATATAAAAATATCCTTTCCAAAAAGTTTGGTTCGTTCGAAAATCTCCAGATAGACTCTCTTACAGACTTACAGACTCTAGTTTCCAGAACCCATCAATATCCACATCCATCCATACTAGGTATATATCCACATGCAATATTTATAACTCTCCCCAAAAATGTCCCCTCCCTCCCTCTCCTCGTGTTATTTGTTATATCTAATTGGCGTAAAAATGCTGCGCCGTGCTCTCGTCCCCCGCAATTACTTTTGCCGGCGTTTCTCCAGTACGTACCCCAGAGTCCAGACCCCGCTTTGCGCTACACTCACTAGGTACCGTACCCATTCATCTATCATGATCTAAATCATAGTGAAGTTTGTGTGTACTCTATAACAAATCTGGTACTAGTTACTAGCTCTGTATATAGTTTTTGAGTATGGAATTAGATAGATAGATAGATGTATTATTGAACAATAAAAAAAAAGAATATTAGGAAGATAGCTAATGACTGAGTAGATAATGGCAATCTTACTATTTTCCATAAACGAGTATATAGGTACATGGTAGGTACTTGTGCTTTATTTGTACAATTGAAAATTTATGTCCCCAAAACTCCACCAACACTTTGGTACCTGACTGGAAAATCGTTCGTCCGGATTCTGGTGCCTACTTAGCATAACTGGTGACTTGTATACTGGTACCGGTAGAACGACGGCACCCCGAGCAAATACTCCATCCACATCACACATTCGACAAACATGGGTATATAAATTCCACGCCAAAAAAAAATCATTCAAAGACTCCAATCTCAAGAGAGAATACCGGTAAATTCGGAGAAGAGTATATATACTCGAGTAAATCGGTGAACGTGAGCATGAGGGATTATTCCGAAGCCATCGGCAAGCTGTCATGCACTCCACTCCTGGATGAAGTTACCCATCAAAGCTTTGATTTATATTCAAACATAAAGAGTCCTTCTCGGCCATTCTCTCGCTCTCTTTCCTTTTTTGATTCGAACTTTTCAAACTCAATTGATATATTTCCTCTCAATTGACGAATTGAAAAATCCATCAAAATGATCCGCCCAATACTATGGCTAACTTATCTTCTCCCAATTGCCACTGCGAGTTGGAACATCAATAGCGAAACGAGTAGACATGCTTGCCAAAAGCACACCAAGAATCCATTGGAAGGATGTGACTTGCAGAGAACGAAATATGTAGATTTCGTGGGTAATAGTTCGAATTTTGAGACAGTGCAGTCCGGTATGTAATCTCCCATAAGAAATCGAAACGGTGTAGAAGTGGAAGAGTGGAATCAAGGCTAATTGTAAACGATGGTAGCTGTGGCGAGTTTGCCAAATAATACTGATACTTATGTTATTCTTATTGCATCTGGGAACTACACAGAGCAGGTGAGGATTTTGTTGGATTGTTCTTGACTCTCAAGCTATAACATTGGTTGCTAACATTGTAACATAGGTCAATGTCACTCGTCGTGGCCCTACCTATCTGCTTGGTCAAACAGCAAATCCTCTCAACCAATCTGCGAATACCGTCAATATCATCTGGAGAGCGATCGCCGGTACGGGGGATAATGCCTACACATCCACGCTAACTGTTGCACCGAATCTCAATGCATCTTTGACTGGAAGTGGAACTACTGGTTTTCCAGTACCACCAGGAACACCATTTGGATGCACAGATTTTAGGACATATAACCTGAACTTCATCAACGATTATGCGCCATACAGTATGTTTCTGCTCTTCGCCCCAATAAGAACGCCCATGGAATTTAGCCGCTAGCGGAGGACGTTGGGACAGATGAGAGAGAATGAACTAATAGAGTATAGGCAATGGACCCTCCCTCGCATTAAGCATAAGCTATGCAAACGGTGGCTTCTACTATACCGGCTTCTACAGCTACCAAGATACTGTATGTACTGTCCGCCATCCAATCTCGATTTCTTACTTTCCCCAAAACTGACAAAACCAAGATCTACGTAGGTAAACTATCGAACTCCTACATATCGCAATCTGTCGTTGCTGGTCAGACCGATTTCTTTTACGGTTTCGGAACTCTCTGGGTCACGAACACACAAGTTCTTCTCCGCTCATGTGGAGGTGGCATCACCGCTTGGAAAGGCACCAACACGACTTTTGAGAACAAATACGGAGTATACATTGTGGATTCAACCGTGCAGAAAGCCAACAGCAGTTTGAGCATTAAAGGAAAATGTCCACTTGGGAGACCTTGGGTATATTTTCCTACTACCCATATTGTACACAAGAGAATGATCTAACGTTGACAAAACAGAATGCACAGATGCGATCGATCTTTGCCCGCACCTATCTCGATGATTCAATTCTTTCCACGGGATTCGTCGATTGGGTTCCTACTCGCTTCAATGACACCAATGGCAATTACAGCACCATTCAAGCTGAATATAAAAACTATGGACCGGGTTATAATGCGAGTGGAAGGGCAATTTCATTGTTTGATGTGCAGTATAATGTTACGCAGTGGGCTCCTTATAGTAGTCCAGTGGAGGTATTCCAGGATCCTGAAGGAACTTTCGGGGATGTGAGCTGGGTAGATTTCAATGTTTGATCGTGTTCAAGTGCAAAAACAATAGCAATATGAGAAATGAAACATAATGAAAGAAATAATTATTGATGTTGAAAACGCATCTTTATTCATGGAATATTCATGGAATAATAAGGTCTAGACCAAAAAATGAGATCAACTTGTTGGGCCATCATGAGCTAATAAATAAAAATAGTCCGAGCGCACTTTACTACCAGCCAGTCGCAAACACTTTACGCGACCCTCGATATCAAATCGCGTCTCCTCGAACAAACAAACCTAACCCAACCTAACCTAACCTACTACGAAAGTTTCATCTCAATTCACCATTCTCCTATAGTTTGTCAACAACGATATTGGTAAACTCAAAATGGCCCCTCAAAATGATGTCGCAGACGAAATTACTCCTCAAATCAATCCATACGAAGTTCTTGGTATTGAGAAATCTGCCTCTGAAGATGAAATCAAACGCGCATATCGCAAATGCGCTTTGAAGCACCATCCAGGTATGCCATATTATTCTTCAATTATTTTCGCAATGAGAACACTTAAAATATATGCCCTTCTTCCTATGGGATTATCACTTTTCAAAATCACTACATAAAACCAACACTTTAAGTGAATCTACCCAACTAACAACTTCCTAGACAAAGCCCCGGAGCACCTCAAATCTGATTCTCATAGCAAATTTCAAGAAATCGCTTTCGCATATGCTGTCCTTTCTGATTCCAACCGTCGCAAACGATATGATCGCACTGGATCTACCTCCGAATCTGTTGACGCTGATGGTTTCTCTTGGTCCGATTTCTATTCCGAGCAATACAGAAATATTGTTACTGCCGATGCTATTCAGGAGTTTTCCAATGTCTACAAAGGATCTGACGAGGAGAAAGATGATTTGTTGAACGCTTATACCAAATTTGAAGGAAAATGGGGAAAGATCTATCAGGTTGTTATGCTAAGTGACCCGATCGAGGATGAAGGACGATTTCGCGAGATTATTGAGGAAGCAATCAAGAAGGGAGACGTTGAGGAATATGCAGTTTTTAGGAAGGAAACCAAGGCTTCGAAGGCGAAAAGAATGAAGAAGGCGAGAGAAGAGGAGAAAAAAGCTGCGGAGGCCGCGAAACGACTGGGTGCTGATAAATTGTTGAAGGGATCGAATGGGAACGCACCGGAGACAAGTAAAAAGAAGTCAAAGAAGGAGGCTGGTGGTCATATGGATGATCTGGCGGCCATTATTCATGCCAGAACCGCTGCAAGAATGGGTGGCGGCTTCCTGGATGGACTGGCGGCAAAATATGCGACAGGTGGAAAGAAGTCAGCAAAAGGTCCTGGTGAGCTGGATGAGGAGGAGTTCCAGAAAATTCAAATCGGATTGGGTCTGGGTAAGAGCAAAGTTAAGGCGAATGGTAAGGGTAAGGGCAAGAAGAAAGAAGCTGATGTCGAGGATGATCTTGAGGATGATGAAGAGCCAGCACCGAAGAAGAAGACGTCGAGAGGCAGGAAGAGGCAACCTGAAGTAGAGGAAGAAAGTGGAGAGGACGAGGATGGCGGCGGCGATAATGACCAAGCTGAAGAAGCAGCCGAAGATGACGAAGAAGAGGTAGGGGTAGAGGTAGAGAAACTTGCTCCCAAGAAGAGAGCGAAGAAGCAAGCTACTCGACAATCCAAACGGGCGAAAGTTTCTCGGGCATGATGATATGATATCCTACACATGGAAATGGAGTTTACGGGGGTTTGTCTTTTTGATATGATCGGATGGATACGACATGCATAGAAGCAGGCGTTTATGACTACGATGACTTATTTTAACATGAGGCTTTATCCCTTGTCACTATAATTTTATTACTCACAAGAACTGCTCACAAGGTGTCAATTGATCTAATTTAGTTGGTGAGATATATCCTATCCTATCATATGATCGCATATCTTCTCGTTCACTGATATCAAACCCAACGGTCTAAGAATTTAAGCCCAACTCTCGTCTGAATCCAGACTTCGTTGGAGTAATGTCACTATCACGTGACATCCCACCCCGACGCGTTAAACTCGCGTTTTACATCTCCCACGCACCTCGGTCGCAACACCAAAAGCACCACTCATTGCACGCACCATAACAAAAAGCCGAAGCCAAATTCACACACTCTCAACATCTACCATATATCAATTCCTATTAGCAACCTTCAATTCTCTCCCATTTTCACATCATGCCATATAAATAAAATGACATGACCACCCCCTCATCCACATCCGCCACCGCGCCCCTCCTCCCCCCAAATCTCTACCATCTCTCGCCTACATACCAAAAATGGTGCGCTCTACGGTGTGCGGATATCGTTACGTTGACGACCCGGGGGGTGTATGTTGAAGGTTTGTTATTTTCCTTTTCACTTTCCATATCTCTCCTGCTTCTCGCTATACTGGAGCTCATATACAAATACACAAGAGAAAGCTGTGGATGGAAACCATCAGCTAATAGTTTATGCATAAATAGGTAAATCAATACATCACTACCTGAACCACCCCATTCGCTACATAAAACTCATCGGACTCGTCGTTTCTATAGATGATTTTGCTCGTCGTCGCGTTTACACTATTGATGATTCGAGTGGTGTGTGTATAGAATGCGTTGCTCTGATGCCTCTTCCTCCTTCTCTTTCAACCAATAAGCCCACGTCCCATCCCTCGACATCAACATCCATCCCCCCCCACCAGGCTCCAGACCCTACAAAACCCACCGAGCCCTCAATCGAACACCCACAAATCCCCTACGATACCATCTCCGAATGCACCGTAGTGAGGATTCTAGGGGTTATGGGTTCATATATGAATATGCCACAGATACAGATTGTGAAGATGGGGGTAGTGGGTAGTACAGATGGAGAGAGGAAATGGTGGGATGAATGCACGGGGTTGAAGGAGGGGATTCTGGGCAAAGAGTGGCTGCTGACTCAGGAGGAAATTGAGAGGTGGAAGAGAAGAGAGAGGAGAAAGGAGAAGGGGGATAAGGAAGCTGGGGATAGGAAGAGAGATGAAGATAGGAAAGTTAGGGAAATGGACAAGAGGAGAAAGGGGCGGGATGGGGAGAATGCAATTGCAAATACAAATACAATTCAAGGCAAAAGAGCCAAGGAGCAAGAAGAACGAGCACGCACGAACGCGAATACAACTCAAACTCAAAGAAACAAGCAAGAAATCGAAACGCAACTCGAGCGCGCAAAGAGACGAAAAGCAAATCCACATCCACATCCACGTCCACAACCAAATCCACAAGCACCCACCAACGACCAAGACAAAGACCAAGACCAAGGCCAAAACAAAAACTTCCAAAAACTCCTCGAGGTCGCCACACGTCCCTCCTACTCCAACTCCAACTCCACTTCAAAACCCATCTCCAAACCCAAACCCTCCCACAAACCACCCATCCAAAAAAGAATCATACCTGTCAACCTTCCCGATTTAGCCCAATACGATACTTTTGGTCTATGACCTTATGAACTTATATATGGCCGGCCAACACCGTTTATACCTCTATTTCTTAATAGTCCTCGACTTTCTTTTTGGACCTTTGGATCTTTGGCTTTTGGGGTCATGGGATCGTGGGATCGTGGGTGTGGATAAAGGGTGTAGGTAGGTAGATAGATAGACGTGGATAGATGGATATATGTCTTTCGTTGAGGTTGCTTTTGAGTTTTATTTTAGGTGTACATATGGGATTACTACTCGTATGGAGATATGTATTTTGTCACATAGGCATAGGTTACATGGCGGTGATGGCGCATGAGTTGTAGATATTATATTGTATACCATTTTGCAATTTTGAGATATCCTTATACATACACACATACACACATACACCTCCTCATGTTTCATTAAACTCAACGTATTGCATTACTGGCAAGGTATCATATACACAAGTAATAGCTTCGCAGCTCCCGAAATATTGTTACAATTCCTCCATCCCATCCCATCCCATTCAATTCCCAGCAATCCCCTTGCCCCCAAAAATCTCCCCTAAGTTGTCGATAATAACAAGGCAATTTGAAAAGTGCCACTCCTCCCCTACAACATGAGTACCCGATATCTGCCATTCATATCTAGCGCTAAAACGCCATTGCCAACAATTGATAGAATTAACACAATTAATATCAACCAAACACACCATGTGTCACAATCGCGGATCAATATCCTGCCAAAGACTTGACTGAATTGACAACCATTCCTGGAATCTCTCCTGCTCCGGAAGGAGCGTCTGGGTAGACCAAGAATGCGAGGGCAATGATGATATAGAGACCAAGAAGCTATGCACATATTAGTAAAATGAAATGGTAACTTGCTACTGTGATCGAAACTTACCATACAGCCCTCCAGATAGTTACTCTTGCCGTCTTGAACCACATAAGTGACGACCAAAACACTCAAGAAGAAAACTACCGTCTCGAATGTCTCAAAATGTAACGTCATGGGTTTATCCATAATCCATCCCAAGATCACCAGGAATGGCGTGACGAAAAGTGCAATTTGCATACTCGACCCAATGGCCACACCCATGGCAAGATCCATCTTGTCCTTGACGGCAACCACAATAGCTGTCACATGCTCCGCTGCATTGCCAACGATAGGGAGAAGAATAAGACCAACGAATGTTTTGGAGATATGAGCAGTCTCAACAATCGAGTCGATCGAATCAACCAAGTAGTCGGCACAAACCGATACGGCGACCGTGACAATAACGAGAACAGCGGCAGCAGCCCATGGACTAATTTGCGGCGTTTCCGCTTCCTCTCCTTCTGCTTGGCTCTCGGCATCGAAAAGATTGGCATGTGTTCGAAGCTGGAAGAACAAGTAAAGACAGTAGAGAATCAAAAGAATAATGGCTGTTCCGTGCGAGAGAATCAAAATATTGGATTCGGTGTCGGTATCTGATTTACTAAGAACAGAATAGAGCTTTGCAGAAGTTAGATATTGTTGGCAGACAGACATATGGGAAATTCGCTTACAGCTGCAGGTATAATCAAAGCAGATGCAGCAAGAACCATAAGAGATGACATGGTTCCTGCGACAGTGTCGTTAAACTTCTGCTCGATGCCCATAGATGTACCGGTTCGAGTATTGTGGATTCCGCCAGCTACAAAGCAACATCCCAACACAAGTAGAGAGTTCGATAAGATGCTACCCAGCATACTCGACTGAACAATCCGGATTTGTCCTTGCTTCAATGCTATGACACTGACCTGCGAAGTTTAATATTAGTACAAAACCAGTATGGTGAGATGTGACACCTGAACCTACAATAAGTTCCACAGCATTGCCGAACGTTGCATTCAACAGACCGCCTAGTGTTTCTCCCAGCTTCATGGATATTTCTTCCGTTGCAAACGAAAGGATGGAGGCCAATGGGATAATAGCGAAAAAGTTGAGTATGAAGATGACGACCGGATCCCAGCGTGTGAGACCCGCGACGATACCCAATGGTACAAAGATCAAAAGGACGTTGACATAGCTACTATACAACGTAATCTTTCCTACGTGCCATGTCAAAGCCGAATAGCTCACAATGGCTTTGTCGCTGTCCGTTCCCGGTGTATGCTTCCTGCTGAGAAAAAACTCATGAACGCTACTCTTGCGCCTGTCATTTCCATGTCCGTTGGCGCCCAACAGACTCGAGGATTCATCCACTCCATTCGACATATTTCCTGAGTTGTCCTGATTTCTAGAGGGTTTGAGGGATCTTATTCGGGCGAGTTCCTTTCGAAATTGAGGTTGTGCTACATGTCAGAGAAGATATAAAGTTAGCCCAGCCACTCCGTATGTATATTCAATGTTGAAATTGCAATGCGCGCCGCAGCCAAATCAAGCTTCCAGGAAGTCCCTTGGCAATTTGCTGGCAGGTTGACAAGGTGGACCAAATGTACAACAAAATTAAGAGAACAAGAGATATAGTGTAGATGTGAGACCAGAGAAGTAAATGCTTGGCTTCAAGTTTGATTAACTCTGTTATTTCTGTAGTCTTGTCCTGTGATAAAATGAAGGCGACACAAAGTTTATGTTGGGTGTGTGTACCATTTAAGTAAAGTACGGATGTGAAATACAACAAAGGGCTGAATCAAAGACCCGACTGCGTGTTTTCGACTTCTTGCTTGTGTGTGATATAAAATTGACGAATAGATAAAATCATCAAACCTTCAAAGAGGAAACAATGGTTGCAAGTCTGAATTGAATTGATATGGAAAGAGGGAGGATAATTTGTTTACTTACAAACCATCTTGGCAGTATGCTCCCTCAAAAACGGGGAAGAGTGCTAATATGAAAGAAATTTCCGAATTTGGGTACAAAAGGGTAATTGGGTTAAAAGGGAAGGATAGGAACGTTTTCGCGCGCGTGGTTAATGGTTTATCGAAGTTTTGGGCACACTTTGGACACTTTGATGTGCGGCAGGAAGTTTCTCAGGACTTTTTGCTGGGTGCTGCGCCTCCTTTTGAGTGGAGGAGGGGGAGGGGGTTAATAAGACTTCTGGCGAACTGGCGAAACTGTCGAAACTGGTGTAAGATGATGGGTGATGGATGATGGATGCACTGATGCAGGTGTGTTGATCATACCCATCAAAATGTGATAAAGTGGGTAGGTATGTGTTTCAAGTATTTAATTGTTCAAGAGAAGGGAACTTCTGTGAATGTGAAGAATTAAAGACGATGAGATGTAATAAAAGAAAAGAAGGAGAAAAAGAAGAAGAAGAAGAAGAAGAAGAAGAAGAAGACGATAACAGAAACAGAAACAGAAACATGTGAATGGCTCTTACCTAGTTTGAATCTGAGTAGGTATAGGTAGGAGGTACCTTTACCTTTTTTGCGAAAGGAACGAAGATGGATTATGGTTATTCAGCAGCTGGTATGGATTTGATGTTGTGATGTTGTGAAGAGTTATTATTTTATTGTGTTATGTGTATAATGCCAAGTTTATGATGTTGAAGCTTTATTTTGCCAAGTTATAGCTTTTTTTTTTCTTCGGATTATTCGGATTATACGGTCGGACAACGACTACTAGGTAAGTACTTTTAAAGTTATATCCTTATATCAAACATTCATGAATGATTTCCACTTCTACTCAATCATATCATATCATACCATTCATTCACTCACTTCTAGACTCGAATACAGTTTCCAGTTTTCAGTTTCTATACATACCGGTACATATACCAGCACTCCAATACCGATAATAAATGCTACCCCAAATTCTTGTTGGTACCAGTAAACAAGCAAAGCAACCAATCAACCAATCAACCATCCAACCATTCAATCAACCAACCAAGCCATCGCGCGATAAACCCACTTCTCAATGGCTCACCCCATTCCATATCAAGATAGGAGCTATGACCATAGATAAATACATCCAACCAACCATACATCACATCCGAGCATCACCTTACCCTTACCTTCACTGCATACCAAGACCAAGACCAAGTTACCAACACAAGAGCTCAGGTAGCTTTAAAGCAAAAAGCTCTAATCGCTGACGTACTATATGAACCTCACCAATCAATTGTGTCAACTTTCAACCTACAAATCCATCTATTTATTCCCTTGGCACCACTATCTATCTGTCACTCAGTGCTCACTTGCTCACTTGCTCGCCACAAGAAAACAAATTATAATGTGCACTGCCCCAGCCTCTCTTGGCATAATTAAATGATTAGCAAAATGCATGATAACTGTGGCGTGACGCAGTACAGTACAGTGTATCTACCTAGGATACAATCTACGGTACTAGAAAAATCTGTGTGTAACCGAAGCAATCGGTACAGTACGTCTGGTAACATATAAGTGCTTATCCGAAACCTCCTTGGAAGTTGGGGAATGCTATATTTATTGTATGAGGCATATAATTTACTTGTCTGGATTTGGACTCTTGGTGATGAGAATGTGAGAATGTGGGAATATGGAAGCTGCCTAATAAAGGTTTGAGCAAGTTGATAAAAGGCTGATATTCTTCTTTTATATATTATATTTTATAAGTACTGAATATAGTCTCTCTATATAAATATCTCTCTCTCTCTTTATCTTTTCATCAATCATAAATCATAATTTATTTAAACCTCTAACCTCCAACCTCCAACCCCTCTCTCTCTAGATACAACAACAACAACAACAACAACATACTATACACATCGATAATCCACCTCGATACTCGTATATATTATCTATCATCTACCCCAAAATATCATCTAACAATATTCGCACTCGTTACCGTACCCATACACATACCTACAGAATACACAAACATCCTTACTCTAGAGTATTAATTAAACATCAACATCAATATCCCATATCCAAACCATAACCCCCCAATTCCCACACCGTGACAGAATATCTATATACTGTAACCTAACCAAACCCCAACTCCAAGAGAAAGTCTTAGACCCTCCTCTCCCACCAATCCATCCATCACCATCAATCCATTTACTATAAAATATAAAATATAAAATACCACCCCTCAACTACTCAACTACTCTAGTCTACTATACCTATCTGTACCTATCTATACCTAAACTCGAGTACTCGAGTACTGTACAACACCCCTCTAGATCTACATATTCCATTTTGCATCAATCACGCTTATCTTCTCTTTCCGATCAGATCATCAGTACATATAATTATATCCACTTCACCCTCCTAACTAATTATTTGATTCTCTAATTCAGAATCTCATATTTCATATTCTATACTCTGTTATATATCCAGCCAGCCAGCCAGTAATACTCATAATACTCGTAATAATAATAATAATAATAGTAATAGTCTGCCCCCACGGCAGTGGCCCCCGGAGGGCTAGCGGAGCGTCATATTATGTTTATCAGATACCAGATATTAGATATTAGATATTAGATATGAAGATTGAAAAATGAGAAATGAGAAATGAGAAATGAGAAAGGAAAATGGAAAATGGAAAATGGAAAATGGAAAATGGAAAATGGAAAATGGGAAATGGGAAATGAAAGATAGAGAAAGAAAAATGGAAAGGGGAGGGATATTATCAGTGATACTAAATACAGTAAGTACCTAGTACACATATTTATTAGTACTATCGGTAGATAGTTAAGTTATAGAGGAAGAGACGAGGAATGGATGGCGTAATTGGGGATTTGGACTTTAGTAAATTAGTAATTTAGTTAGCTAAGGTTGACCTAGCGAAATTCTAGAGGTTGGGCGATGAGAGCCATGAGGACGAAGAGACTGAAGCTTCCCTAAAAAAATATTGAGACATGATTAACCTTGATATGATTTTCATTCAGCTAGAAAAGTTGACCGAAACTCATCTACAGTGGTATTTCCTCCCCTTAAACGCCCACGCTACGCCCCGCTAACAAACTATCCCATCCCATCCCATCCGTGTCAACTGACTTCTCCTATACTGTGACCCACCCCCACTCCCCTCAAAATAACCAGCCCAATTAACTTTTCCTTTCTCTAAACTCATTTGCTTTCCTCATCTTCACTACTATACGCCGCGTCTTCCTCTTCCCTCGTCACTTGACTCTGTCTCCGTCTCAACTGTCCTCTCTCCTTCATGGCTCCCCGAATCTTCAGACTAACCTCATCAAAACTCGCTTTCCCATCCAATGCACTAAAGCTCTTTAATGGGAAACCCGCTGATCCTACTGCGCCACCACTGCTGCTGCTGCGACTCCTGCTCCTCGATGGTGGGCGCGTTGCGAATAGTGCGATATTTCCTATATTGCCAAATGACTCGTTACGTGGAAGATGTCCATTCGAACTTGAGCTGCCGCCAATAGATGCGCCTGCCGTGTTACTTCTATGAATGATACGTGGCGGCGATTGATCCGAGACACCAGATTGATTACTATTGCGGCGTAAATCATTTTGACGAGGCGAAGTAGGGGTCTTGGCATCATCGCGATTGAAAGGATCGGCTACTATTCTGGAAGCATCAAAATCGGGGAACATTTCCGGACCAAGTGTGTTGATGACATCTGTAACCTGTGCGCTGAGTTGTGCTCTGCGCTCACGAAGTTTAAAGATGACGTTACTGGAAGATGGGTTGAGAGCTATGATTAGAGGTCGTAAAGATTTGGCGATGTCCATGCCTACTTCTCCGAAACGAAGTGCTGCAAAAGTAATTGCTGGGAAGATGATGTATCCGAAAACGAAGATTGCCCAGAGTGGAACCCATTCTGGTACGTACCCCTGAACTCGGTTTTTGTAAGTCCAATATGCAAGACTAATGGTATAAAAGTTGTATAAGATCGGCGCGAAGGCAAGGGCAACCAAAAGCTTCCATGTGGCCATAACGTCTCGACCTTGAAGTTTGACCGTAGATGCAGCTAAAGCTTCCTTTGACTTTTTGATGCTGATCAACTTCGAAGCTATGAAGACCGGTGCAAATAAGAAAAGTCCTGGGATGACGCCAATAGAAAGAACGGCAAGTTTTCCTAAGCGATAGAACAGAAGAAATACGGCTTTTGGAACAGAGAATTTGGCGTATTCGACTTGGTGATCTCTGAGATTTACATAGCGTAGTTGTCTGTTGTAGTCCAAAACAGACTTTTTGAGAGAAACAATTCGTGGATCATCTTTATAATGTGTATAACCTTTAACCAGTCTTCGATTTAGCTCAACTACCATGGGAAGTGGAAGTTTCTTTCCAGTTGGGTTGTAGAGTCTTCGGGCGGCCTGAATAAGCATGAGAGTGTCATAATCCGGACTTGTAACAGTAACAGCAACAAGGGCCTGGTATACGATATCCAATAATTGACTGACAGCCCCTCTTCGGTCTCCACTTTTGTAGAGCTCGACAAGCTCTTTTGGGACCTCGATAGGATTGCCAAACTCAATTACGGCTCTTGAGCGGAACTTATGAGCGTGAAAATAATTCATACCACATGGTACAATCTGAAGACCACTATCGGGATTGGCAGCCAAAGATCCAAGTGCCATAATAGCCACACCAGCTTTCAGGGGAAGTAATTCGGTTCGGTCGTGACTTCCACCCTCTGGAAATATTCCAACAGCTCCACCACCACGGAGACGATCAAAGACGGCATCATAGACTTGGGTTTGATCAACTTTCGGGGCGGTCTTGTACTTCGATCCTTCAAAGCTTCCCTTGGTACCTTTGACAGACTGATCGCCAAACTTGCCATCTTCATCAACATCTTCTCGTCCAGTGAGTTGTATCATGGCGTTTCGTCCTCTGAAAGGTTTCTTCAATCTCAACTCCTCTGCGCTAATTACTTCCGCTATCTCGGTATTGGCCGCGGTTCCGTCAATGCTGGGCAAAACCAACAATCCCCCAACTTGTATTTCTTTTCCGTCAAACTTTGTACCAATTCCACGAATGAGAAGCGGATCATTAATAGGGTCCGGCAGGTATATTTTACCAGATCCAGGCTTCACCATATCCAGAGCTCGTCCAACAGGAACCGCGCCCACTTTGCGCGCAAACCAACCGACGATGAATCGACCCATAGATTTCGCAGCGATAAGGAAAGCGGCGCGACGATGGCATTCGTTTCGTAGGGTGCGCATTAGGATAAGGGGATCGACGAACTAGAACAATGTGTCAATGAAGTGCTTCAACGATGTCAAAGCTAGCTGTCGCATACCTGGTTGGCATGAGGAGCTGCTACAAAGATAACAGGCCCACGCCTTGGAACTTTCCATGATCCTCTTGGGTGTACTTCTCGAAAGAAGAGGTCGACAAGTATCGAAAACGTCCACAGAAACACATCATATATCCAATTTGTCATGGGAAATTGTTCCTTGTGCTTGTGCTCGTGAACCTGCTGCTCGTTGGCCATGATGATGATGGTGGGGTGTAGATCAAAACGACCAGTGCAGAGGAATATAAATGTTCTCAATTAGTGCGGGGGGGTGAGGTCCGAGTTATTTATCTCGTGTGCCTGTTGAACAAGAAGATAGCAGTTTATTTAGTCTAGATTGTTCAACCACAGCTCAACGATTTCATTCGGGTACTGGACACGGCGTTTTCCGGGATTTGTTTAGTTTTCCTCAAGTAATCGTTATCGTAGGCCTGATGAGTCGTAAAGATCCAAAAGTCATATCGACAGGAGATTGAGTTATATTAATTGAAAAGAGGTACCAGTAATGCAGCGGCGGCAGGGTGAGAATGAGACGATTTCTTGATTTAATGAAAGTGCATTTTTGCTTTTTCACGGAAGCGGATTAAATTGTATGCCCGGATGCCAGCCAGTTTGATAAACCGATAACAAGCGCCCCCCCTCATAAGCGACAAACGCTTCAATTTCTCAAATCTCTAAGTAAAATCCCCATTAACCATCTTATCTTTTGCTCTAGCGTAGAATCAATAAACAGGCCCAGTAATATCCTGTTGGACAATACTATAGGTCAATCCCATCTCATTTATGTTCGCTGATTGACTTCTTAAGCTTTGATCGGTTGCTGAACAATAGAACAACAATCAATGCTCATACTCATAAACCCAATCATGTATGGCAATGCACGAATGCACTGTATGTCAGCGGCGGTTCTAATTCCAATATTCAACCATCCAACTATCCAACAACTACTCGAGTAACGTAAGAACATCAATTCAAAGTAAATCAAAATGCAGACTTGTCACTTTCTTCGAATCTATTCCTACGGTTGTGGATTAGGATTTGACCTCAGCCCTTCTTCCTGTCTCGTGGAACATGGCGCTTAGGTTGGATAATGCAATGACCTACCTAGTCGTCTATTTATTTTAAAGGAGAGCAAACAGCCATATATATGCAAGTTGCTCCCCGGAATCTCATCATCCCCCACAACATTCACCAATCAATCACGAAAGATCAATAAAATGGGATTACCACCATGGGAGACCAGTGAAAGTCAAACTTTTGCTCTGGTAACAGGCGCAAACAGGTATTACTACCCCGAAGTGTCCCATTATTCGCCATGAGCTTCAAAGTCTTCAGTGCAAATCAATTGACAACTTTCTAGTGGTTTAGGCTTTGCCATTGCCTCTCGATTAATTGATGAATTCCTAACTTCATCTGACACCCCTCCTACGAAACATCTAATTCTTATCCTCTGCACACGTACTTCGCTGAAAACACGATTCACAATCTCGCGCCTGCGTGCACATCTGCGAAAACTCGTCGACTACTCTCAATTCGCGAATACACAACGTGCGAGAGCTAAGGCCCAGGGAAATGTATATAGGTGGCAGGATATGGTGGCTAGGGTCCATTTTCTTGGAGTTGAAGTCGACCTGTGCGACTTAAAAAGCGTGTACGCGGTCACCGACAGGCTGGTCAATGGGACTATTGGTAGCCCGGATGCCACTACAATGGATGGTCTGAGGTTGCCTGCTGGGTCTCCTGGGACCGCTTCGTACTCTGCAGCTGTTCCACAAGACAGATGGGCATTAAGCCAGAAAGAAGGGTCTGATGGCGAGCGGAGGTCTTGGGGATGGGGGTTGAGCGGAATCCGAATACCCAGATTGGATGTCGTGATCTTGAATGCGGGTATAGGAGGATGGTCAGGAATCGACTGGCCAAAAGCTGCATGGACTGTCCTGACAGATATGACGGAAGCTGTGACATGGCCAACGTACAAGCTTGCGGAAGTTGGAGCCATTACAGATCCCCAACTATCCTCTGCTTCCTCTAAAGCATCCAAACCCTCCGAGGATGAGGCTACGCAATCTTTATTAAATGGCGACAGTCCAGAAGAGCCACCCCTTGGCGCAGCATTCTGTTCTAACGTCTTTGGACATTATATTCTCGCACACGAAATGATGCCTCTACTATCACGGACTGCTTCCCCTTCAGCCATTACTAGCGGAAGAATAATATGGGTATCCAGCATCGAGGCACAAGCACATCATTTCGATTTAGACGATCTACAAGGTTTGGAAAGCCAGGCACCATACGAAAGCTCAAAGCGTCTTACAGATCTTCTCGTCCTTTCAAGAAAACATCGAGCGGCTGGCAAAGCCTCTTCTTCATGGTTCGACTGTTCAGATGTTCGCGTGAAGGAACACCAATCGGAGGATGAAGAAAAGTTTGAAAAGCAACCACCAACAAAACTGATAAGACCTAAGATGTACGTGGTGCAACCTGGAATTTTTGTTTCAGACATCTTGCCCTTGAATTTCGTTCTGGTATTCGTTTACAAAATGATTTTCTACCTCGTAAGATGGATGGGTAGCCAATGGCATACCATCAAACCTTATACAGCCGCCGTAGCACCAGTCTGGGTCGCACTATCCCCAGACGAGATTCTAGACACCATGGACGCACCAGCTTCAAAATGGGGATCGGCCACCGACTCAAGTGGGAAAGAACGTGTAATTCGCACAGAAGTTCCGGGCTGGGCATGGGAAGGCAAAAGTCCAAAGACGATTGATACTGGGGAGAGAAGGAAGGGAAGGAAGAGGGATGCGGTCGCGTTGACATGGGAATTGAAAGAGGATTTTCAGGTGTTGGGTGTTAAGTGTTGGACGGAGATGGAGAAATTGAGGAAGGAGTGGGAGGAGCTTTTGGGGGTTAAGAAGTAGGCGGTGTTGGCAGTCTAGAACTGATTGTATATAGCTTAATGGGGGCTATAGTTGAGCTTTATCATCTACAAATATATAACTAATGAATCTATCCTTCCTTGCTCAGATTTTTTGCATGTATCCCAGGGCGCGCTGCAAAAGCACATAGATAAAACAATCCTTTCGCAAACTCTTGCTTCTCTCGTCAATCTTACCCCTCGTATTCATCAGGGGTGAGGGGGGGTTTGGTCTCATATAACATAGCTGTTATACTGTCATACTGTATATACATATATCCCTCCACTCAAGTTCTACAAACTACATCCTAAAATACAATACCAGTATCAGCTCACCAGGAAGTCGAAATCGACTCTTTTATTCTATTCTTTTTCCCTTCTTTTACAAAATCACTGGGGGGAAGGGTTCACCAGAGGGAGATATACCCCAAAACAAAGACAAAAGAGCTCACCGGGAGCGCAATCCAAACTTATGATTTCCCCCGTATATTATGTATAAAGTTCGCCCCCTTCAGTGCTATCTATCTGTCCGTTATTATGATACGTTCTTTTTCTTTTCTTAGCTATTGGCGGGTTTGTATCTATATCTCATACATATGCCTGGCTACATCTTATTCTCATTCTCATTCTTGTTCCATTTCATTTCATCGCGTCCTGGTGGACCTGCGGTATCTAATCCTGATTTTCATTCGGATTCTAATTTCTTACTGTACAATCTTGCGGGAAGTAGGGTACTTATATGTGTACAAAGGACTCTGTCTCGTTTGATCCATCTTATCCTACCTTGTATTGTTTTCTTGTCTTGTCACAAGACGTCCTATCAATATACTAATATGTTCTAGGTATTAGGTTTTCTGTGTTATGTACAGTACTCGAGTGGATACATGCTTATACTATGCACGTCTAAAATCCTATACTCAAAGAATCGAAGTTCGGCTCTTGGGTTGGGAGTTTGGTATGGTATGGTATGGTATGTGATGTGATGGGATGGGATGGGATGGGATATCTGATGATTTTCAAGTAGCTGTAGCTACCTAGCTAGCTAGCTAGCTTGATGGTATTTGTATTTGTATTTGTATTTTTGTTGAATTTGGTGGGAGGTGGAAGTGGGAAGTGGGAAGTGGATACAAGTACAGGCAAAGGTTAGCTAAGCTGGAGTTATGTTATGATGCACATACTGATATATTGTATTTGTAAATGCAGGGCAGTGGGGCTGTACGCTAAGGTATATATCTATCTACTTGTAGGAGTAATATACCGTATATAGAGCGCTGAATATATTCTTTGTATATGTTATGTTATTTCATACACATAGATGTACTGCACTGAAATATGTAGTAATGGAAGAAGATATTTAAAATCACAATATCACAATATCACAATCTTTGAACCTAAACCGCAACTTTTACAGTAGTATCCAGCTGCCCAGAGGGAATTCCTTGATATATACACACAATAGTATCTTACACATACCTATATCTAATCTCAGATGATCTAACTGATGATGATTACTATACTTTTATTCTATTCTTCTATTCCAAAGCTGTACAACCTGTAGCTGTTGGGCTTAATATACTTCCACGGTATAACAGGGCAACTGTCTCCCACCTCTCATATATACACATAAACCACTACCCCTCGGCCCCCTCAGATATCCAAACCCTTGAAAGTCAAAATCCACACGCAAACTACAAAGAAAACGGTATGGTATGTATATAAGGCAGAAATTTTTAGCGTAGCTAAATGAGTACTTTATTGAGCTTCAGCTTCATTTTCAGCTTCATATACATGTACATGTACATCTACACATACAGATATAAGGCGTAGTTACAGTGGAAAGGATTGATCCGAGATATATATTTCGCCATCTCTAGAAGGAATGTTGTGACATGTAACAAACATGTGATGTGCGATATGCAATATCTGATGTTGGTAATTTAACATTTGTGGCTGGCTGATTATGACTAACTGTCTGTATATTGTTGTACTCGGTACTCTGTACTCTGTACTCTATACGATGCACGATGTGAAATGTGAAATGTGGGGGCTGAAAGGAGTAAGGAGTGTAACATACTAACATAATGGAAATGGGAGGAAGAGTGAGAGGAAGAGTGGGAGGAAGAAGAAGAGGAAGAGGAATGTGTGGCTGGTAAGTAAGTGTAACTGTAACTGCTGGGTATTTTTGTTTGTGAATCGTGCGAGAAGGATGATGATGAGGGGGCGGGTATAGCGTAGCGGGTGATATGGATGAGTGGGTGGATATGAAGTTACACGGTGCAATGGATTACGAAGTGGAGGAGATGTATGTATGGAGCGGAATTTACTCGAGTATGAAATGAGGAGTTTAGGGGCAGATAGTTCATACGTTCCGCTCGCTCGCCTGTGAGACGGGGATCTTTTTTCTAAACCATATTGAATGCAATGTGAATTTCTTTGAGGGGTGAAGTGATGAGTAATGAGGTGCGATTTGGAGTTTGAACTGTTTGTTTGAGAAATATGGTCACATGAGACTGACTACCTTGCTATGAAATGACATGTAATATAATGAGAATCGCTAAGATTTTTGGTGATGGTGATGGTAATGTTGAGTGAGGATGCTCTAATTTGGAAATAGGATAGTCAGAGGGATATTAGCTCCATTGTAATCGGATATGAAGTGCTTAATTCTGAGTTGGAAAATACCTGGATCAAACAAGATGTGAGTTATCGGCACATTGAAATAAGAAGGCGCGATTGTCAGAATTCATCTATACGTATTTTTCTCTCCTTTGCCCTTAGCATGGGCTGTATAAACCATTGCGTATATGACACGCTAAAAAATTAAATTAAATCTTTTTGTCTAAATGGATAGAATGTGACATAAAATTGCGGCGGGAAGTCTAATGAGTGGGTATAGGAACTGATTATTAACAGCTCCAGATTAGAAAATCATATTCCCTTATTATGCTGCTACTCCCTCTCACCCCATACGGTATCTCCGGGCCAAATTATACGATCCAATTCATGATAAATAGTACGTACAATCTGCGGGGAAAGCATGGATAGCCACATATTCCTCCGCTCATACCGGAGGACTATTCTATATTCTCGGCATTACATTGCCGTCACTCTCGTTTGTATAATACTTTGAGTGCTGATGAGCTATGAATGAACACAAATCAAGATGATCGCCATTGGATATCACTACTTTGCCACTTCTTTCGCGTATTATGGGGCTACTGTTGTAAAGAAGGAAGATGTCACGCTATGAATAAGCAAAGCAATACACTAAAGGAAGTGGCTGAAAAAATATGAGGGCATTAATTAACATGACAACAATGGCCACATCATCAACAATTGGGACCTCGTGATGATGTGACGTCTTTGTACAGCTGCTTCTGTGCGGAAGGAGGAAGTAAGAACTTTACTATTAGCGAAATTAAATTTCCGAGATTTTGAGATTGGATGCTTGAAAATAGATCGTGTTGGGGGCGATGGAAGAGGTGCTCGTCTAGTAATGATACTGTAGTACTCGATCATGCGATAGATATATGGGTTATACATTTGCGGTATATGATGCGGCGCTAGGTAGGAAGGAATGCGAGATAGGTGCAGCGGAATGGGATGGAGAGAAAACGGATCGATATCTTTTGTATTCCTTCTACTCGCTTTCCCCAGGAATACCCCAATGCGTAGTGTTTACTGACTCGATTCTAGTCCAACTGCCTATCTCGCTGCTGTCGAATCCACTTGGTCCAAAAAAACGTGATTTGGGAAACCCCCTCAGAGTTTGCTGTTGAAAATCGAACCCTTGTGACTGTGCTGCACAGTCAGTTGCGTTTTTAACCTCAACGACAAGCCTGACAGATAGACGATGAATAACAATCTAATACTAATAGATGTTCCGAATATTCAGATCAACCAAATGAAACTTGCGAGAAACTATTCCATGTTGCTCATGTAAGAACACGTGAATCAGATATCTGACTTTGATGTACAATAATGCAATCCTTAACGATGTGCGAAATCCTATGATGACCAGTAAATTACGAAAGCGCTTGCTGATTCGTTTTACACAACTACCTAGTATACCTTATGCTGTCCAATGTTTCAACGAGTAACCACTTAGTTTGTTGATCATTGAAGTTATCCTGTCAGTTGCTTCTAGTTCTTTTTTGAAGCTGTGCGATGATAACGCATAAAACAATAGACGCGCAAGAGAAGCAAGCGAACGAGTAACAATATATGGTTCGTCGTTTTAACCAAAATCAAATATTGCCAAGACGACCGAAAATAGATTCGAGCGCTTGATGGGACGATTAAAAGTTAAATAAAGCCACTTCCGCGTGTTGTACCAGTCCCATTTTCATGAGACCTCGGAACAGACCGGTAACGCTTCAAGATCTTACAATATGCTTTTCGTATTTTTGATGAGATCATGATGATAAAGAAAGGACAAGTATCATCAATAGCTATAGCCAAGATAAATGTTTGCGCAACTTGAAGAAGCGGTTGAAGCGCTGAAAATGTCCGGAATGGCCGCATGATTGAGTAAGACATTCGTGAGAATAATGTGCATCATGTCGTTTTATTGATGATATGAAGATTTTGAGATTCTTTTCATGTTTTATCGCACTGCCACACCTTTGAAGCTTCGAAAAGTGGGAAATCGTCTCGTGATATATGGATAGTCCGGATGTGACACCGTCTGATGATTTAATTGGCCTTCTATGATTTTGAGGGTTGTATAACTTTGAATGGAACACGAAGAAACTAGTGACTGACTTAAATGAAGACATCGATAAATAAACATCTCTGAATAGACTATTGAAATTCATGGCCTGGATATACAGTACAAGTATGTCCGAAAATGTCATGGTAGGAACTCCGGAGAGAAGGAGATAGACGATGATATTTCGGATGGATAATAATGTGGCAGTGGAAGGAATATATTTCGAGGTGGGTGGTTGTTTCAGGAAAAGCCATTCGTTTCGACCAATAACAAATGAATATGATTTTGTGCAGCTGCAGTCAGACAATAACAATCAGGAAGCTTCGTAACAATGTTCGTGATGCTTCTGTCGTTGCCGAACATTATAGCTGGATTAGCAAACAGAAAAGGGGGCTGGGGTGCGGCTTTGCCACCAAGCATAACATCTGTAAATCTGGATCTAATTGGATCTATACACCACTATTTGACTTCGGCTGAAGTTACTTTAGAAGTAATATCGAATGAACTTTTGATTCCGTAACCCCATTACTGTACTTGGCTTTTCATATACCTCACCAATGATATATCTATATCACCTTAGCTTCACCTACACATTGATTGAGCATGAATCTTTATCGTCGCCATCGTCCCCATGTCTACCATGGTCATGGATGTTAGTATCAAACTGAGCCTCGTCTTGTAATCTTTATGAGCGGGAGGGGCCATTTCTTTCGGCATTAACCATGGTTGACTGAGTATATTCGGAACCGTAACCTTATATATACCTAACTTTACTTCAGCCTTCTCTCAGCCACACAGTTATTGCGAACTTCCCTGAAGAAAATCAAACCTTTTTGATAGATATACTCGTACTCAGGTAGTCTGTAATCTACCTAGGTAGTAGGCATGCATGACTACCTATTGCTTGGGTTTCCTCTTTTTGAAGAGATTGGCACGGCTGGTTGGGCTGTACTCGAGATAGATAGATATATGAGTTTATCTGATTATTATCTGAAATTCTGGGCAAATAATATGAAAATGAAGAAAAAGTCGTCATCCCCGGATTGCGCATGATGTGTTCAATGCCCGGGTGGAGGTAACCAGCATTATACAACCCTATAGCATTGATCACCATCCACAAATTCACTGTATCCAGAATCATATTTTTCATGTACAGGGTATATTCGTTGTGTGATCGCTGCCAAATCATGGGATATCCGCTGAAGTGTCACATTCACCGCTCACAAATTCACAATAGAAGAACTCGACACGTATATATGTTGATCCATTTAAATACCGATGTTGACCATTACTGGCGATGCGGAGTACGATCGTACTGTAATAATCAGTCATAGTGGGTGAAGTTTGCGATATACTCATATTCGAATCATATTTGATGCTCCCAACGTTTCCCCCCATTTTATCATCGTCAGTCAATACATCTTTTCCCCCTTCAGCACATTTCCCCTCACCCCTCACGAATACCTTCACACAAAAATTGAATTCTTCCAGTGGTTTCAGGATACTCAACTCATACCCGTGCGGCCTTGCTTCAGCCCTTTTTATCGACACTTGACCACAGGAATTCAGAGTAACAAATCAAGCCAAGAATTGAATAAATCAACAAACAAATGAATCTGGGAAGACGACGAGAACGATAGAGCTAGATACACGAGAAAGAACTGCAGTCTAAAGATCCTGACACAGCATTCAACCAGTGGAATTGCTTATGCTTATGCTCCAGCTCACGATACATGCACCTTAGCTCGCCTATACTTGAGTACTTGCTACTTGCTACACACCCTCATACTCCGTGTGTAAGTATAGATTCGAATCTCGACTCTTGTTTAGCTCTTTAGTATATCGTGGTACTGCAGCATTGCAATCTTTTACCTTGGACGTGTCCGACAACACATTTGAAGCATCACGGACGAATCACTCATTGTTACTCTTGAGATCTTTTGGATTGACCGATCAGTTCGAAAATAAACCCTTGGTTTCAACCTAGCCCTTGTACTTTGGTGTGTGTCTCGTCTGCCATCTGATCCTCGGGCGCAAGGTGCTGAACTTACTACTACTCCGTACATCTGAAACCTTTTGGAAAAGACCCGCTGCATTCGCTGCATTGGTCCATCCACGCCACCAACCTGACCCTTTTAATCCATCGCTTATCCTTTCGGAGATCTCATCTACCAATACATACCTTGCTGCTATTATAGCTTAAAGCAACATTGAGCCACTTGCATCCTTGGTTCCATTTTGAGACCGAGGGGTTATTATTCCCAAGCATTCCTTTCTCAGCGCCTAGGATTCTATTCGGTTTTTTTGGATACACATTTAACCTGGACCAATTATCCTTTAACGAACTTGACATTTCCTTACTGGACTGAACTGAAAATACTTTGCTTCTGGCAAGGAAGAGCCGGATACTGTAGGGAGAAAAGCATTGGAGCATATGAAAAACAATTAAAACCTCCTGAAAGCTTAAGGAAAAGATAAGTATTATACCGGCACATATCTCCCTCCAGCCTTGATCGACAGAAGACATTTACATATATCGTCCACAATTCTCCCATACATCATTCACATTTCTCATTGGAAACTTCGACATTCTTCCTTTTTAAATAGACTTCTTAAGGTTTTCAACACCTTCAACCATCAATACATCTTGAAAACCCTCGACAAACGTACCGACAATCCAAACCCGGTACTCTCGACCGACTGATTTTCACTGGGGTCAATCGTCAGTCTTTCAATCACCATAACAACTCTTTCAAGGAGTGCATACTCATACATTACGAAACGAAACGAAACATAAAGATTATACCACACCGGTACTTCAATCTTGATTTGAGTTGAACTATCATCTTATCAAATTGAACGAAGATATAACCAAACCGTTTCAGCAGTCGCTCATATAAATAGCAAAGAAAGATTACTTGCTTAAGTTGCTTTGGCCCATTCGCTGACCTCTTCACCTCACCTTTCACGAATATCCTCGGCGCCTATCTGCATCTCATCTCTAAATATCTCGAACCTTTTGGACCAATCTTCAGCCACCCCTACCCCCAACCTAACCCCCCTGCTTCTTCGATCCGCCCTAGGAACGCCTTTGTCAGGCTTGAGGCGAGGCAATTCAGAATTTTATATAGCCAACTGATCCTCTCAGTGCCTCTACGCATAGTAACCAGCTGCGCCAACCTCACTCCTTCTATTAGGATTCCGCTGGCCGGATCTTTTCTCACTCATTCACGAAATTTAAGATTCAATATTACGAGCCGGTGGTCGTCATTGTTTACTTAATTTCCTGACAAATTTTCTCGAAAGATTATATTCACTTTTATCGTGTAATTTTCTCTTCGACAATTTATTTCCCTATTGTTTATACAGCCGAGCCGTATTTTAACCTCAACCGACAGACCACAATAGGATTGAGGCCTAGAGACAATAGAAACGGTCGCAACACTTTTTTTTTTCAATACGACCAATACGGTTCAGAACAATAACGACTTTCCTTTTTACGACCTTATAGCTTGGTGTATCTTTATTTTTATCTTCTTGTTACAAGATCATTCCAGTTCTCAACATCACATCTAGGTCAAGTCTCGATCTATCACATATCGACATACAAGTCAACCACATCGAAGTAAAACGACTACAACCAGTACAACATCAGATTCGACACCATGTCGTCCAATTCAAACACTCCGAGAACCTCCAATGAGGTGGCTTTAGATCACTTCGTTTTCCAACCAGTCACTCAAGATATGATCAATCACCTCGCCCAAAAGGCAAGAGAAGTCATTCAGTGCGAACCCACACAGATCTCCTCAAGTCAAGTTCCCTCGCCGCCTCAAACCCCCCCTCAAGAGACACGATCAGCGTCGGATTTACCGTCATTGGAGAGATTCATCGCTTCTTTGGTAAAGAGATCAAACGTCCAGGTACCTACACTTATGACCAGTTTGGTATACCTGGCCAGACTGAAGAAGAGACTACCGCCAGTTGCAAAGGGTTTAAGGTGTACAGTTCACAGAATATTCCTTGCAACATTGATCTTATCGGCCAAGTTCCTCAACGATTCGTCACCCAAAAACAAGCACTGGGCCGAGTACTCGAACGTCCGGGGTTACGATGACTTCTCATTCACCAGGACAGAAGTCAACCTTATGGAGAAGCAGTTACTTCAGCTACTCAACTGGGATTTGATTGTTAACGAGAATGATCTCTACACTCATTTGGAACCTTTCCTCACACCAATCCGATTTGACTTAGATCGAAAGCAAGAACAACTCCGTCTTCACGAAGCACGTCAACAAGCCATTCGGGAACAAGAAGCTCTTGCAATGCAAAACATGTCTTTCGATCCAACCGGAAGATACTGGATTCCGGCGACCGAAGACAAGTACATGTCATACTATGCTGAACAACAAACCCTCTTCCCAAACGACGACACATACAACTACAACTCACCACCTTCCTCGTCAGAAGTTCCCGGTCTTACTCGCAGTGGTACCGCCGACACCCTCGATGCCACATCCTCTTCCGCCTCATCTTACATCTCCGAGTTATCTCGCTCAGGCACACCTCTGTCATCCGTCAGCAGCTATCTCGATGAAAATGATACCATGCAATGCGATACCTACTCCCCCTCAGGTGTTGTCCGCGACATTGTCACCGTCCACATTCCCGGCGCTGATGGCAAACTCAGACCTATGCTTCCATACGAAATCGACAATATGGCTCATCAGGACAACATGGCAATTTCAGAGGAGAAGCGTCGCACGATCAAGAAATCAAAGGGCAATTTCTTGACGCGATACTTTGGTGGTCAGAAGAATCTCTCCACCGCGTGAGCTGTTCCCGAGCTTCTCATTCTGGGTATGGCTTAGGAGTTTATGGTTAGTCTGGGTGGATGAAAACAGCTTGTTTGGCTTACGAATTTCTTTTGTACTCGATTGATGATCCTTTTCATTTTTTCTCTATTTTCATTTTTTTTCCGAAGTTGAGAGTGAGGTCTCACGAGAGTCAGCATCGCATCATATCATGCATCACAAGGAGTTTATTGGGCGTTTAGATTGGAGTTTCGAGGCACATCGCGTCATGAATGGGATGTGGAAAGAGAGGTCAAAAAGACGGTCTTGATCTTCAGGACGAGAAAAAATCTGGATTTTTTACGATCTGGATAGGAAGTCTTTTTGACGGGATTGGGCTTTGGGATTTGGGAATACCCTGAGGGATTTGATGAGAGTGTGCACGCACTGGGGATGGGGAAAGAAACGAATGATAACGTTACGTTACGTTACATAGCATGGCATTGGTAGCATAACATCTGGTCTGGTTGAACCCGATCAGATCAGATCTGATCGATTGTATTCACAAGGGAATACAAAGAGAGGTGGATTTTAATATTTAATATGTTACACTACTATTCTGTCTGTCCCTTTGCCTTCTGTGAGTCTGTGACCGAGCCTGATGTGATAATTCTAACCTCGGAGAACCCTTTCTAAAACAAATTGTACATATCGAACCACAATTCTAACTACCCTTGATCCTCTCTTATTTTTTTTAAAGATACAGTTACCTAGGAAGGTCCCCTAATGCTTTACACTTCTTCCGAAACGCCAGCTAATCACGTGACGTTGTAATGGGTGATTTCTTTCTTTCGCGCTGACAACACCCTCAAATCAACAGAACCATTTTACAATTTGATGACAAGTAGATCTATCCTCTCCCTAATATAAACTGGCAAATTCTCCAAAAATGCCACCCAAAAGAGGTTCTCTTCCTTTGACCCCGTGTACACACACACACCTTCTCACCACACCCCTCGCCTCCCAAACCCAATTCTCTCGCATCTCTCCTTCGCGTCGTGCAGCTGCTACTACTTCTACCGGTACACGTAGAGCTGCTGTTACAGATGCATCTCTGAGTGGATTCGCTTCAGAAATAGAATTCGCATCTACTTTCCCTGGTCCATTGGTGCTGGAGGGTGATGATTTGGCGACTGATCCGAAACAGACGGGACAGACGTTTAGGGGATGGAAAAGGGAGAAGCAAAGGAATCTAGTGCCTTCGGAAAGTCCTCTGGCAAGGGGGAAAGAGGGGAGAGGAGCAAGGAGGATAATTTATGTTGTGGGGCCACCTGGGGTTGATGGGGAGGGGGTAGAGGGGTTTATGAGGGGATGGGATGAGTGCGAGATTAAGGACGGTGGGGAAGGAAAGAGAGACAGAAACGGCAGAAATATCCGAAAAGAGAAATGCAAAACGAACAACTGGATACCAGATGTCATTTCGTACCTCCAAGCATTCTACCACGGCCTCCCCGTAAAACAGCTAGATTCCTCACTCTTACATTTCACACCCTGGGAAGACGCCAAACCAAAATTATCCCACCCAAACTCACAATCTAAATCTAAAACCAGATCCCAGAAAATCCTTCCCGCTAATAAATCCACACCCATCGGACTCCGCACCTCAACCTTCAAAACCTGTATCCGCGCCCGCTCAACCCCCTCCGCACCATTTTCCCACCAACTAAACCTTTCAGATCTGCTAGATGTCGCCATTGATATTTTACCCGAAGATGCATATGCGGTATTAATGCTCGTAAAGCATGATTTGTACGAAGATGACGATGATGAATTTATATGCGGACGAGCTTATGGGGAGAGTAGGGTGGCGGTTGTTAGTACCGCGAGGTATGATCCGGGCTTGGATAGGTTGCAGAGGGTGGAGCGGGTGCATGCTTGGCCGGGGAGTCATTGTGTGGAGTATATGGGGGAGATGTGTGGGGTTGGGAAGGGGGGAAAGAGGAAGAGGAAGAGGGAGAGCGTGGGAGATGAGGAGTTTGCGGTGGAGGGAAGTCCTTTGGTTCAGGCGGTTAAGCTTCAAAATACTCTCGTTCCACTATCGCCAAATCCCTCACTAGATGCATTAAAAGGCCTCTATCTCTCTCGTATCTGCCGCACGGCATCCCACGAATTAGGTCATTGTTTCGGCATCGATCATTGTATTTATTACGCATGCTGTATGCAAGGCAGCGCATCGATAATAGAAGATGCACGTCAACCTCCATATCTCTGTCCAATCGATCTTGCCAAAGTGGTGAAGGCAACGGGGGCGGATGTCAAGGAGAGATATGAAGTCCTGTTGGACTTTTGTACAAAACATGGGGATGCGCATATGTTTGTTGCGTTTGGAGAGTGGATTCGGGCGAGGTTGGGACAGACGGAATTATTGAATAGGTTAGAGTAGGGTGGGGAAGGGAGGGCGGAGAGTTGGGTTGGAGAACGAGGGGACAGTGGCAAAATTGACATTTCGTGGGTTCCTGGTAGAGAATAATAAAAGCTGTTGGGCTTCCACGTAACGACTCTTAGCTTGCTCTCTCCATCTTATTCCTTCAATCGGTGCTTCTACAAGTTCTATAAAGTTGCAAGTGTTTCGCGTCCAAAATTGTCTCCATTCCAATGTACAACTTGGAAGAATGATCGACTCCAGACTCCATAATGAAAGAGCTACTCGTATAATTATACTCACTCCCATATCCCAGCCGAGCTCGAAACACTCATTAGGAGCTGCTTGAAAGTATCAGAGTTTTAACTCAACCACCCTTAGACAGTTCTCAATATCTCAAATCATTCTCACTAAGGCTCTGCCAGCAGGTAAATCAACAAAATCCGCCGTCTCTCTCGCAACCGACACCTACTTAATCGTCCTCCACATTGATCACTTCATACTCGAGTATATATCATCAGATCAGTGCAGAGAAAAAACCAAAAACAAAAGCAAGACAAATGCAAATACAAACACAAATACAAAATATCCTCAAAAAGTACACAATGATACTCCGAACCAACCGACATCTCATCATTGTACTCGAGTATACTATACAAAAGTCATCCGCTCGAACATATCTTCTGTATACATATACTCGTACAATAAGAAGACTGTACCGAGTGCAGTGCAGTCAAGAGATCGTCTAGCGCCTAAAAGACTGCCATCTTTATATTTTAGCGACTTGTTAACCCTTAGAGATAGTACTGTATGAAGATTAGATGGACACGAACGAAAGAATTACGTAGAGGCAGCATGGATAAGCTTTATTCTAAACAGGATACTGTACCGTGGACCCAGCGCCAGAGACACAACCAATTTCGCTCATCTTGCTATTTCTGATCACTGCCAACTGCTAACAACTAACTCCCAACCGCCATCCCAAAATTCTCACACAATAACCTCACTAGGTAGCTTTGTATAGTATATACACGAGTAACACCGATATATAAAACATTATTATAAGCTAATATCTCATTTACATTTACATTCAAATTAAATTTTTATATTTCTTACAAATATAATTTTCTGTTTTAGGGGAATCCGCTACAACTACTGAGTACTTTTGGATTAGATAAATTATCTGCCAATAAGAGATTATTAGATAGAGTACTCGTAGATTCTGATCTTAAAGATAGAACTCGTAATAGATTTTAAAGATGGTACACGATCGACAAATCATGACAATGTACAAAGGTAATGTAAAATGTAAAGTTGTCAACCGTGACTATTCTGTTCAATACACTTACACCTACATCTACACTTATGCCCGTGTAGCTCGAATTATTATAATACCTATCTAACTTCTATAAATTCCTAAATGTACTGAGTATTGATACTTGAGTGAACGTGACCATAGCCTGTGTTCGGATTTCAATGAGTGCAGTACATATATGAAAAGTAGAAGTTCGGAATAAGTCTTCCCTGAACTTTATCTTTTGTCACTGCCTAAAATTTAACGTGGTTCCATTCCATTGCAAAATCACCTTGATCGCTCCATCATTTGGTCGACGTATCTTGAGATCCGTTACAAATTGTGTATTTCTAGGTACTTTATGGATAGGGTATGATAGCCATGGGTATATCTAATCCCTCAAGGACTTTCTATTGGCCATTTCAAACCTCTCTCTACATTGTCTTTTCTCCCAGAACCATTGCGTCAAATATCCCAATATCCTGTAATTTCCTACCCGTTTTGAAACATGCCAGCATTTAAGTTCCGAACTGTATACCATAAATCCCTAGTATCATTACAATTCCCCTTCCTTCCATCATGGCGAGCCTCCTAGTCCTGTAATCAAATTAATACTTGACTCATTTCACCAGACCAAAGCGAAAGCGAAAGCATCGAAAAGAAGAGAGGGGGAAGAAAACATACCAGCGGCCAAAGCCAAATACCACGTGCGACTCGCTCCCCCATCTAACCAACTCGCATCGAACCCCGCCTGCGCAAAGAAATTCCAGGAGCTGCGTGGATCAATAATTGCCAAATTCGCATACAAAATCCCCTTCCAACCTCCGACCACGGCATCAGCCCTTCCATTCGAAAAATACGCTTTCCACTCCTCCGTAACGAATTCCTCTGTCCTCGTAAGCGTTGAATGTGGAAGCAGTGGAAGCATGTGTATTCCTTGTACCAACTCCGGGGCACCGCCGAAATATGTGGTGTGGTCGATTTTATTCTCGAAGAGAATACCGGATACTTTGTTGCCGATGAAATTGGATGGTTGGACCGTGTTTGAGGATTCGTATAAGAAGTAATTCTGTAAGGATCGGGCAGTTACTGCCAATTGCAGATTTCCTCTCGCTTCCATATTCGAGTCTCCTATTGTGCGGCCCCACATTTTGATGGCGTAGGCAGATAAACTGTCTTCGGATGACGATTCTTCGTCTTTGCCATCAAAGGTTTCGTAGAGACCGTGGGCCCAGGAATGTCCGTTGTACCAATCAAAATTGCGGGAAACAGGGAAGAAATTATCTGCAGTGGAAGGATTGGCAAAATCTCGTACCATAGTGTTGATATATGCTTTATTGCCAGCTAGCCAGGTCGGATCAAGGTATCCGATGATGGCAGCTGCATAGACGAAATATGAGTAGTGGAAATGATGGTCGTTATAGTAGGTGTTTCCGAAATCGGCACCAGAATCTCCAGTTTTGTATGTTGCGGTAGAGACAATACCTCCCCAGGCGGCTGAGTTTCATTAATTTCAGCCATCGGAATTGAGAGCAGAGAACTTACATTCATATACCAGGGGATATTGTTGCTGATTGTTGATGAATAACGCGAAGTTTTGCTTTAGGGTGTTCAGACCTGCTTGTGCCAAAGCTGTATTTCCAATGAAATCATGAAGTGTATATACGATCCCAGCAAATTTGGCAAGTGCCTACACAACGTCAGTAGGATGATCGGCATCGGTGAGGTATACGCACCTTTCCACTATAATACATAGAACTCAAGCTTGTTTGCGCCGTCATATTTTGCGATATCTCACTAGCAGCAATATTTGCAATAGTAGAAATAGCGGCCGCAGAAATTGAGTTCGAGCTTCCTCTCGCTGGACTCCAGGGTGCAAAGTTCAAACTAAGCGGTAGATCCTCATCCAACGTCCAGGAATCAGCAACAATAGCCGTCGCCATACCCTTAGTAGTTGTAGCTAGCTGTACTCCTTTGGTCACACAGCAAAGCGTGTTACCATCAAATGATTCCAAATGATGGGGCAGGGCGAACATTGCCAAGGTGGTATAACTCAATCCTGCCTTGTTGAAAGCCAGTGTGTAGGATCCCACTGCACCATTTACATTGCCGGACAGACTTGCAGAGATTGCATAAGCACCGCATGCTTCATCAAACATAGCTTCATGTGCAGCACTTGTACTTTTTGCAATTTGGATAATTCCATTGAAGCCACTGGTAGCCTGCACTAGCCCATTACTCACAACTTTGAGTGTAAGATTTTGTCCAGAAGGTGAATAGGCATATAACAGCCACGTCTTTCCATCTTCGAGCAACATTGAGTATTTCGTGATCCCTGGCTTTGGAGGTGTGGCGTCCAATGTCAACGTTCGGAACAGTATTCCACTTTGTAAGATTGGTGTAGCACCAGCAAAGATGGCCGTCACAAAACCCATTCCTTGAACCAAAGGGAATTTAATAGCAGGGGCAGCACCAGGAGCAGGACTCAGGTTGACATTTACCGAAAGGGCTGTCAGGGTATCGGTCGTCAGAGTTGTTGAAGTACCTAGTTGAGTTGCAGAAAGTACTAAAGATTGCAAGCCAATAGGATTTATGAAGTATGAAGCAGCATTTGTTGCAGCATTTGGTCCGAACACTCGTTGATCGGCGTCGATATGAACAATGGTCATTCCCCAGCTATTGGTTGCGCCTCCCCCTTTTGACCAGGCGAGTGAATATGGGTGAGTCCAAGTAGGGGCAGTTTGACTACCGAGAAAGAAGTTGGCGTAAAATTTGTTGGTATCACGAGGCGCACTTTGTGACTGTATTCCTAGCCGGGGAACTGGATGATCGGAACGAGAGCCGAGATTAGATGGCGGAGGTGAAGTGTCGATCGGTTGAAAGATGTTGTAATCTGCCGCTATGGTATTGATCACATGATTGACAGGTGTCGGTGCAATGGGGGCGATCTGAGTGGTGGGTGAGGGAATGGATGATGTGAGGATAGGAGGTTTGGTAGCGTGGCCGGAGGTTTCAAGGCTTGAGAGAACAGTTCCTGTAGTAGCAGGAGTTTGGGTACTAGGCGATGGGAGAACCTGGACTGTAACCTGTACGGTGCCCGAAAGCGAGGACGTGGTCAGTACGGACACGGAGGCTGTGACCGCAGTGGTAGTTATTGAGGAAGTAAGGGTTGCGCCTGGCGAGGAAAGGAATAAGAATCCATCTGAAGATGTTTCATCCGGGAGAAGGGACTTTGGTTGAAGTTCTTGCTCCGTCGTGACCGGTTTGGGATTCTTGATGTGCGAATATGGGAACAAGGGGGCACCCGGGCCAAATCTTGGTGATTCCTTAACCGGATGGTGATGCTTGGTGAGTAGCGAGGTACGAGGACCACCTTGTTCTTGAGGGTGAGGTGCACCGCTCGCAATCGCGGCCAGGATATGGACTAGAAGAAGTTTGATAATTTGCTTCATACTTGAGACTTGCCGACTACCAAAACTTTGGAGAGAGTAAGAAGGGGGTAAAGTAAAAGAAAGTGATAAAGACAGAGAGTTCTCGACGGGTTTTGAGCCTCGAACGAATGCATATAACCCAAGTATAATTTAAGTGTATCATTCACTCCTTCATCCAAATCTCACGGGCAAATTTGTCGTGCTCATATCATGAGGGGAAACTTCCCGTTCAAATTATGCTTGTTGTTATTAGATAAGAGTAATTAAGAGTAATTAAAGTTGCTATTAGGTGATAGGATAACAATTCGAACGTGAGTAATTCAATAGGTTTGTGTCAGAAAAACAATGGCAAAGCACACTGAAAGAGAGTTGGCAAAAATTCAATACTTGTGGAATGATGAAAACATTTGGCATCAGGAAGGTACATTCGGCCCGTTGTGCATCATGAGATTCATACTACTGGTGAGTGTCCTTCTAATTGACACCAAAATGGTATTGTGATACATAACTAACAACTACTTGTATGTGAGTGATGTGAAGTGAGCGATGTATGATGAGCATCGGAATGAGATTTACGTACCAGAAGAGAGAAAATTCGGGAATCGGGGAAGGCGCCGTCGATTGAAGTCTTGAAGAGAGGGAGTCGGAATGTCTTGGGACCGGAATTTCATAGGCCAAGAGTCAGTTGTCGAGGAATGCACATCTCAACCATCATAAACACCAAAACTTTCGGAGATAACGTAAGTAAAAAGAATGAGAGGACAACATCTTTCGTAATATATCTCCAAGAAATTTCCGAATAAGTATCAGATGAGCGCGACGTTGTGATCATCACTCCCGAGCTAAAGTACTACTTCATTGGAGGCTCTTGAGAATTGTCTTACCTTCTTCATGGCTCAGGTGCACATCACAGTACTTAGTTTTGATGAACATCTCTCGAAACTTCTCAGAGAGATATACTTGAGTAATGTTTGAGTACAGCAAGTATACTTTTGGAGATAGAGATGAATTCATGAAAACAAAGATGATGCATGTATAGCTTGTCAGGAAGTTTTCCTAACTTTTCGTGTGAGGTTAAATTAATATCGGTACATCTCCACTACCTCCAGTGAAGGTTTGCTTCACTGTGAAGCAATCCCCTTTGCTCATATCGGTCCGGATAATTTGAAGAAGTGCCCATGCAATTTTCGCCATCGTCGTGATTAAATTCAAATCTATTGAAATTTGGCTCATCTTGAACAGATTCAACAGAAGTTATCCAAAAATCCAATAGAGGTTTGAGTTAAGATTATTGGTAATTTGGTGGAAATGGATATTCTGCCAACGAGCGGTGGATATTCACGTGATAATACCTACAAACCAAGTTTTATGTTGCACATCTGAAAAATCAGAAATTGTTGTGCTCACACCATCACCTTTTTGTAGCGCGGAATTTGATAAAATTACATCGACTGGGAATAAGGACACTTTCTGGGTTTTATTTCCGGTATGGGTAACAAACATTTTTTGGGGGGAAAAATTTCGTTGTCCTGCTAACATCACTCATCTCATGTCTCACCGTTGTAAAATTATTACTCAAACACCAATGCATTGTTAGAGATCACAATCTCAGCTGTATGAGCTGTGCTGGTCTTTCGAACAGAATTATCATAGTTCGTGATGATATTGTGGCCGACGAGGAGGCTGCTAGGGATGTACTCGAGTAGCTCACCGACAGTAGCAAATTTGCTTACATATATTACTGGATCAACCACCGAACAAAGCATCTTTACAGTATAAGATTATGCCCTTGGTCCAAATTATTATCAATTCGCCAATTACCATACACTCAAACATTCAAAAAGACTTTTGATTTTCAACACCGATCTAAAAATAATTATGTGGACCTGTAATGAGCAAGGGCAATTACGACTATTCTATTCGGATCTATGTCGCCTCCAAAATACCTTCTGCATCTGATGGATATTATACGCCATGAGGTGTAATTCTGACTGCAAGCCGAATTTACTTCAATCACTAAAAGTTTGAGGTGTCTGCCGATGAGTACCTGGTGGTGGAGGACCTGACCGGCTCTCATTCAAACAACTAAAGGGGTAGCAAGAATAGAAACACCAACGTTCGTTATGCACCATCTATCTGCCTTTCAGATCTTATTGGCGGAATCTGTCCGAGCATCAAACGGTGCAATCGGAAGCGCATTATGATGCGACCTTGCTTGTTTTCGGATCGATCGATTCAATATCTCTCCTATCCTATCGGTTGTTACATTCATTGTTACATTCGGTACCGAGCACTCATCAAGCGAGGAGGGTGGTCGTATTAATGTATATCTATATTCAATGTAAACAATAAATTGGAAATGTTCCCAATAGATTTGGACAATCAACTTCAATAATCCAGTCTGATTTATATATTTAAAAAGTATCTTTGCTATCTCCGGCCAACTTATTCGTTTCTGTATGGTCACGGTCGAGATATCATCGATCATTGATGAGGCGCCACTACTTCTCGCCGTTCTCGGTAGAAACAAAAATGTTACAATACTGTCACAACTCAATCGTGTTACTAGATGATATTTGCCAAAGTTTCCGGCAACTTCTTTAATGATAGTGCATTCGTATGTGAGCCAGTCTGTAAAACACCGGCATAAAAGTTGTGCCGACCTAGGCGAGTTTTCCTGATTAGACGGTACAACCCTAACCCCGCTTTGGAAGCTTTTACTAAGAAAAGATACATTGGATGATGCATCGTTACTGTTTAATCCTTCGTTCTTTTTTCAACCTGAAATTTAGATGCCGGTATTCAAGAATTTGCTATTCGACTTATTTTCATGAATCCCGACCACCTCCATGAAAGCCTTTACACTAGTCTCTACATTAAGATCAGCCGAAGGTCAGAGGACCTCTCAGATCGGCTTGAAGCTACTATTACTGTATCACGTAATTGGTCAAGCCTAATTACTACCAGTCTAAAAATGACTTACACCAGAGCTGACTGCAAGGAAACGAAACACTCCTTCAGCACAAGACTGCCCTTACTGAACTAACTGATAGTATGTTCAAGGCTGTCTCCGAAGCCCTATATGCTGAAATTGCCATGATGGGGAACTCTTGATCCTGAAATCACACAGGACTTACTTTTCAGGCTCGATATATGCTGATTACCTGTATTCTAACGATCATCTTCTTAGTGCCATCCTTTAGAAGAGGATGGATTGTGTTGTATCTATATGTGCGCTTGTGACATTGAAATTGAAATTGAAATTAAGGGTGTCCTTGAGAATCAATGGTAAGGTTATCTATAGGCGCAATAATTACATGGTGTGCATTTCATCTCTCATCCAGTAACCAGAATTATAGTGATCATGACATTCATTCAGTCATCGAGAAATAGAGCGACGAGCTACTTTTCACTTTGTGTTGAGATGAAACCTCGTCTACACATTACTAGTCTTTTCTTTGTAGGCTAAGTGCTATGCTTTGGAACTGGTCACGCTAAAAACATTTCCCCTCTGCGTGCAGTATCTACAGACTCGGCCTGAGAGATCAAGGAACCGGGCCTGTACGAGAACAAAAAATCTATGTTTACGTTGTCGTGGAACAACTCAGGCAGCCAGCTATGAAAACTAGCTGAAGCTTCGAGCACCACCTTGTGTGTAATATACTCAACGAGTAGTAGTATACAGTTCCAAAGCCTAGCCATAGCTCCTAATCAAAGTCGAGATCTCCACACATTTCACATTTGTACGAAAAAGTTCGAGTCGGGAAAACCATGCAGTGTTGATGGGTTATCCGTGTTTACACCCGTTCCTGCGTGTATTGTGATTACTATGACCATCATCATACCATGAGAATATTTACCTTTCTAGCTTAACTAGAGGCTTCGGACGCGTATGGACAAAATGCTCTAATTTAACCTCCCTTTGGAGCTTTGAAAATAGGAGATCCGACGGTGTATCGATGCTAAGCAACACTAAGCCGCAAGCACTACACTTGCTACATTCGTTGAGTTTAATGGCCTCCTCTATTCAATAATAGTTCACGATCGGGTTCAAATCCAGAAAATGGATTGGGATGTTATAGGTCTCTTGGTTCGAGTGATCAGATGGCAATTTAATGGTTGTGGCCAGTAGGGCAATGAGGGGCCGGTTTGTCCTCTTTTATTCTGGGCGTTGGGGGGCATTGTTGGAATCTGATCAGGAGTTTGGGGAAGAGAGGCAGGGGAAGATATCAAATGATGTCTTTATATTGTGTGAGGGCAGCTTGAGATGGAGAGTCAATCTTAGTTGGGATAGAGATTTAAGAAGTTCTGTTCAGCCAGAGCCATGTCTCACCACCATCCACAAATCAAGGTAGCCCAAATACTGGGTTCAATATTCACGAGTCACAAGAACATACCAATGCTCGAAAATATCAAGAGGAGTTAGGCAAGAAAATCAGGTGCCTGGTGCTAGGAAAGTCTTCATATTGCCACACTATCTGTGAAATACCTGAAAATTCAACGCACTATTTCCCACATGCGACGCTGAGGATACTTCTCGGGCCAACAGCTAGTCACCGCACATCTTGGATAGAATCATAACAATCTTCTATTCCCCATATATTAATTCTACAACAAAGGATTCGACATAGGAGTAATAATGCCTTGTTTGACCATGACTCTCGGCTTGGTCGAGTCCTGGAAGGTCTCCTTGGTAGCCCATTCCGGACCAACGGGCAATCGTAATGAGCGCTCATACTGCTGGCGGTTCTCGAAAGGATGAGGTAGCTGTGATGCGTAGTATTTCCCATTCTAAAGTTTCAATTAGCAAATGTAAGGATGATTGATATCTGTGGGGTACGTACTTTCTTGACACGTTTCTCATTAATGATGACGCGGTCAAGCTTTGTATCTTTTCTATTTTGCTCCTTGATACCCTCAGACTTGGTAAGGAATCTTCCCTTGTTCTTTGCCTTCTCTCTTTTGCTCACGCCATCTCCTACCCAGCTTCCCCAGCCAGGGATGGTGTTATCGATGACTTTCTCATCCTCATCTTCAATCGTCTGTCTTTTCTCGGTTTCAAAATCGCCGACGACATCGGCTCCAGCAAAGGCACGCTTGATTAGCTCTTGATCTTTGATGGCGAAGGGGAGGTGAATAGTCCCATCATCCTCACTATCTTCATCAGAAGCCTCAAGTATCTGAGTAGTTCTAGACTTGGTCTTGTTGGATTTGGGTTGCTTGGCCATTACAGCGGCTTGTGACAAATCAAGCTCTTCGACATCGATAACATTATTACTCTTGTGTCTGCGTTTATTTGCCTCCTTGTTGCTGACCATGCCGGATTTGAGAGGTACTTTTGACCAAGCCCCACCTTCAGTAGCTACCTCTGGTTCTGTGACAGATGACCTTCCAAAACTCTTGCTCGCGCCATTAGTAATCTTTGGTTTTGGTACGCTCGCCGTTGTTTTTGGCCCATTATCGACCCCTGTGAATTCCACTTCCATGTTGTCCTCATCATCCTGAGAGTCTGCAGCTTCTTCAAATTCGTTAAGCTTTTGTGGTTTCGTCGGGGCATCCTTGGCTTTGGATCCAGGTCCAAATATCCTACGTCCAATATCGCCATCTTCTTCCTCTTCACTGGAGCTTTCCTCTCCTACGAGCTCCTTCCGCATTTCTTCCACCATATCATCATTAGCCTTCTTGCGTGATGCTTCCGCAGTCCGCATGAACTTCATATTTGCCAGTTTTGCACCTGGTGCAGAGTCATCGACAACATGGTCTTGTCCGGCCTTTTCCAGGCGTCGAAGAAGTCGCCTTTGCTCCGTTTCTTCGTCATCGTCGCTCATATCGTCATCGGAATCATCCATTGATTCGTCCGAGTCATCTTCAAACTCTTTCCTCACTGCTCTTCCTTCTACCCTCTTTCGCAACTCCTCCTCTCTTCGTGCCATTTCGGTGATACCATCTCTAGCATCTTCATCCCATGCTGCTCGACCCGTGGCTTTTGTGGCTTTTGCCCATTTGCTGTTTCGGTGCTTTGCCCCCATTCTCTCGGTCGCACGTCGTCTGTCTTGGGCCTCTAACTCGTCCTCAGAAGGAACGAACCCTCCCTCTTCAAGAGCTGCTTGGTTTTTCGCCTCTTCCCTTTCACGCTGCTTTCGATGAACTTTGCGATAAGACTTACTCTTAATTTTCTTCACTCGCTTCGCCTTGAGCTCTTCTCTGTACATGAGCTCTCGAGCCATTCGTAACTGATCCCTACGAGCTTTCACTTCCTCCATAGACAGTTTGTTCATTTCCAATTCCTCAAATTCTCGGATTTTGTCCTCGTCATCTCTACCACCGGCAGTTGCGAGTCCACTCTCCTCGAGAATACTCTGAATTGTGGCTTCTAGCTCATTGAATGGTTTAGATTGTGTTGTTGACTGAAGTCGAGTATTTGCGCGTGCAGAATCTGCATCTGGATCAGCCAGAGGAAAAGTCAAATGATCTGCTCGTCGATTATGCTTCACGGTGTCCGTCCATCTGTCTAAGGTTTCTTTGCTTTTGTCGTAGGCTACGCTGCGATCGAGGCGGTCCTGTTGACGTCTTGCGAGGGGCACTTCTAGCTTGCCAGCAACCTTTTTCTTGCTATCGCCAATCTCCAAAAACTTTAAAGATTTTTTGATTTGAGGATCACTGATCTTAGGTAACCCAAGGTCTTCCAGTGTAAGTTTGTTCTTTGATGTGAGACCAAAGTCCGAAGGGGTAGCATATTCGCTCGCTCCATCACTCCGTTGTTTGGCAATGGCATTGCCTTCGTTCTGCGGAAGATTCGCAATCAAGTTTTGTAGTGCCGCGAGCTTTGATGGATCTGTGGAATCGTCATCGTCTTCGTCGTCGGCAGAGGATGCAGAAGACTCGTCGTCGCTATTTTCATCCTCGTCGTCGAAACCGGATTCGTTCGAGCCTTCAGCCTCAGCTTCGTCGTCATCATCCGATGAGGCATCCAACATATCTGCAAGATCAATAGCACCCTCTCCCAAGTCGCCTTCCTCCAATTCTGACCCCGAATCTTCCCCATCATCATCCTCATCCAGATTTAAATCTTTATTTTGCGGAGTACGTTTCTTAGAACTCTTATTATTACTTGAGCTCCCCGAAAATGCATATCCTTCGAATTTTTCCTCATCGCTCTCTCCAAAAGCTTCGTCGCTGTCGATATCGTTATCGTCATCACTGTCTACCACCCCATATTTCCATGTGTTTCCTTCACTGTCGCTTCCCTCGTCAATGTCTAACTCATCAAATCGACCTTTTGCTGGGCCCTTTTTCTGTTTCTTCGCACTAGACTCATCTTCCTCATCTTCATCTTCGTCGTCCTCATCTCTGTTTCGTTTTCCAGACCCGTTCCCACCTTCAGCATGGCCCAATCGATTTTGTCTAACTCTATGGCGTTCCCCAATTTGTTGCTGCGCGACAGAAAATGCATCGACAGTCTTCTTCGTTGACTTTGTTCTAACCTTAGGCTGCTTCAACAGCGATCTGCCATGCGATTGTCTTCCTGGCATAATTGCGATTTTTGAAATTTGTGTCGCAATTTCGTGCTGGAATTTACGATTATCTTTTATCAATTTTATCGGGAAACTTTTTTTCTACTATGGCCGGATAATTGCGGCCGCCGGACTAACCACAGCTCCGAAGACAATTTTGGAGAAGCCATCCTAAATCTGCAAAATCCAAGATAATCGCCCACAAACATCTATCGCAATCATGCAGCCCACACAATGTCTGATGAAACGGATAACCCGACTTGCCCTAACTACGAAGAAAGCAAATAAGGGATACTACAAGGGTACAGGAAGTGGCTCGACGGGTCGACATACACAACACGGAGGGTACATAATCGAGTGGGATAAAGTCAGGACATATGTTGTGCCCCCAAACCTCAAGGAGTGCAAAGTAAGATCTCACAGATTTAATATTTCTCACAAAGTGCTAACGGAGATTTAGCTCTCACCGTTTGTCACGAAAAAAATAACGCCGCCAAGAGGAAGGTTCGAAAATGATCCTAAAGGTGCTTTCAGCGGAGAAGCATATCTGCGGAAGTGGAAGGAAACCTCTGATGGAATGACATGAAGGGTTGATATGGAGTGGTATGTGGGATTGTGTTCTTTGACGAAGTGTTTTACTGAATATACTCAGGCTTGCATGGGAAAACGGCGTTGGCAATTGTATCAAAAAAATGTATCAAAACGATAACGATGAATATCATACCCCTCGAATCGAATTGAAAAGCTGGAGTTTGGAACAAAGGTGTTGATGTTTCCAGTATTGTAAAAATGGGTGCACACAGTGAATCGCATAAACTCAACATTACCAGCGAAAGAAATGAAAACGCGGAAGCAAAGTTGTTTAATGACCTACCTATTGGAATAAGAATGTCGAGTCTCCAGGGGTTGCGATAGACATCCAGACACATTTTTTATCTGTTTACACATAATTCCCTCATCGAGTTTGGCTCTACGAAAAATCGAATTAGCAAAATCTTGATTTCGAGCCGAAGCTGATTAGGTTTTGCTCCACCTACCTATTCCATCATGACACTAGCAAACCGAAGATTTGCTCAAGTACTTGGAGCTCCAATTCATACTTGCATTGGTCTATCGTTCTGGCTTGGCTCAAGTGTGATCATGCCGCTGACTCTATACCTCATACCGTACTTGCACTATCGGATCTATATCTCTATTCATGTTTCTCCTCCTGCCCAAGCCCCATTCGGTGCGTGATGTGGCGCATCCGCGAATTAACATATTCCTTTCAATGTGTTTTTTGATGTTGGATGAGAATTTTACCATTGTTGTAATGCATTATGAGTGATAAAATCATCCCCTCATCACCATCTAAGTAAGTTACTTACACATTGGCCAATTGGGTGACGGCACAGTCTCTACATCAGCGAAAAGATGGCCGGAATTGACATCTGCAAATCTACATCAATGTTTCAAAGCAATTCGATCAACGAAACATCAATGTTTCAACTCAATTTGCATAACACAGTATTAATATATAAATATTTTTTGAGTAATTTGGTGCTAATATATGTTATCATGTACTTGAACACGAACACCATAGCCTATGATTTACCATTTTCGGCCACCTTTTTCGCTGGTGTAGAGACGGTGTCAGTATGAAACCGAGGTTGAGCAGATGCTGTCATAAAAATATTTCATTGTAATTCATATGCACTAATATCTAATCTATTGGCCACCAGCTTTAAAGCACTTTTTGGATACTCATCTAGACCGGTTCAAACTTTTGCAGCATGGTGATTTGTCATCATCCTTCAGCTTCTCTTGGCCGGATGTTTCTTTCCATGACTCAAGGTACTCGATGAGTAACGTGTAATCTCGAAGTTCCCCTCACCGAATTATGGCCAGGGGAAGATCTAACCATGGCATTTGGCAAGCTTCACAGGCTCTGGTAAGGGCGTGGCTGTCCCAAGATTAGGGTTATTACCCTTGTTTCTTGTCCGTGTATGTCTTATGACCTTCTGTCCTTTCACCTAGCTGCACGATTCGTTTCTTCAATCGTGCACCCGCAAACTTTACCCCTCTAGGTCTCTTGCGCGCTTCGCCTCTGCCTTTTTGTTCACTTTTTCGGCTCTCTCCATCTTCCATCTTCCTCCATGATACCACTCTACCATCAACAGGGGACTGAACGCTAAGGTTATTCCAGCGAACATTATAAATGTTACTCCGGAGCCCAACACATCAATTATCAGCTGCACAACGGCCACACCCGCTGCTCCCAATAAGCATCTAATTAGATTGTTCACCGCTGTAGCGCTTGCCGATTTGCCTGGATATAGATCAATGATCAAGGCGCTGTTGAGAGAGAAAACTGCGGTAGCTGTGTATGCGATAAAGAATTGTAAGACCAGTGGGAGAGCCATGATTTCGAGGTTCAATGAGTACCCGTAAAGAGCCGTGGTGATGACGAAAATGAGGACGATCCACCAGATGTTCCTCATTCTTGCGACTTCAATTGGGAAATCTAAAAGTTCACCCGCCTTAATAGGAACGTCTGCAGGAATATTGTGTTGTTGGCGATAACGGGATTCAACGACATTGTAGTCGTAGTCCATAAGATAGCCTGTGAGGTAGGAACCGCTAATACAGCCGAAGCCGTTTGGTAGGAAGATCAGGCCGAGTTCCAGGTTGGAGAGTTTAAAGTGCTCTGAGAATAGGGCGGTGGTACTGGAAGTTACCATGGACCAGACGGTGTAGATAATGGCACCGAAAGAAAGGGTGACGAAAACGTCCTTTTCGAGGAGAAATTTGAGAGGAGCGATGACCGAGGAAACTGTGATACCTTTGTTTGGAGGAAGTTCTTGTTCGGATTGTTCTGTAGATGGTGAACTGTAGAATAGAGGTCGATGAACACCTTTGAGAGGTATGGAACCGTTTCCTGCCAGACTTCGAAGGGTTTCTGGAAGAAACGCGACTATTAAGAGAAGAGCTAGCGAACCCAAGCCAAGAAGAACCCAGAAAATTGCGCGGAAACCAAGGTATTGAGTTATAATACCACCAAATACTGGACCGATAGATTGCCCCAACATCCGGACTGTTTTTTTACAGGTTAGTGACAACATTGGCTTGCTCGGAAAATAAGAGTACTTACTACCACCGAATATACCGATAAGACCACCTCGTTCTTTAGGAGTTGTGATATCTCCAATTACTCCAGCCCCTAACCAAATGATTAGTTAAATATATCACCAAACCAATAGAGTTACTAACCAACTGCGATTGTTGCAGCACTCCCAGCAGCTTGTATTGCACGGCAGATCATGAGGGTCGCGAAGTTTTTACTCAAGGCAAGACCGATATTCGAAGCAAGATATACAATGAATGTACCTAAGAAACATTAGAAATATTCCAGTCGAACTCATCTTTGAACTCACCCATAAAAGTAATTCTTCTTCCTGTTGTGAAAGTATGTTAGCGTGATATTGGATGGAGTTTTTCGCCAGTGTGTGGAGAAGGAGCTCGAATGGTGCTATTGACAATAACAAGCGAGAACTAACCTTTTGCGTCACTTATTGGTCCCCAGAATGATGGAGCAAGCCCCTGAACAATCATATAGACTGTCACAGTAAGACTGACTAGTGAAAGAGAAACATTGAGATCCTAGAAGCCATTAGACAAATTTATTATAACGGATTGGATAATGTACATACCGTAGAAATTTCTTTTAGGGCTGGAAAATAAATGTTACTTGACAGCGGCGAGAACAAGCCTGCAAGGGATACTAAATATACAAGCTGTCTTTTCTTTGTCATAGAGAAGACATGATAAGGAGGCTCTTCTGACTCTCTCTTGGCGACGTATATACTATTGGCAGCAGTTGTCACGGTACTATCTTGGCCCTCCTTGTCGTCAAAGAACTCGGTAGATCTTTCCACGTCGTCTCCAGAGGACTTTATGATAAAATTGCCATTGAATCGATTGGCGAGAGCCGGGTCTGTGGATTGGGCTTCCGGGTGAACTAACGCATTCAGGATGTGACCTTGAGAGCTCAATGACTGTGACTGCTCTAAGATTTCAGGTGATTGATCAAAAGAGGAGATGGATTTGCCATTGGCAACTGTGGTAGGGCCGACTGGTTCCATTATCGAGATCTAGATCGTAATTTGTGCAATAAAGTGGCACTTGATACAGATGCTAATGTTTAGATCGAACGGTTTGAAGGAGACACGATGAGTTGAACAGATCTGGGGGATTAGGATCTTTCTCCATGTTTATAGTCATTTTTAGGGGAGATGTGGATCACCTAAAGGACTGGAGGTGATTGTGCACAGTCATCTATCACTTCAAGCATGCAAAATACATACCTGTAGCCCACTTGAAGGATTATAAATTGAGGATCCGAATGTCACAATGGAGCACCAGTGGATGCAAATAAGAAGACAAAAAGACGAGAATAAACCGGAACTTGGTACTAACTGTAGATCCATCTCCTGTTATGATTGTTTTGTGATTTTTTTGATAGGTGGCATGGAACAATAGAGTATCTAATAATCTAAAGATAAGATATATGTTTAATATGGTGTGCCCAGAAGTCGAAGAGTGGTTCGTCAAACACGCTAAAGGGGGTTCAAAAGGTTCGAGAAGTGCACATAGAAAGAAATCCCCCCTGCAAGACATATTTAAACCTTCCGCATGTGGCAAGTATGGACATGCAACAGCGGGCTGAGCCGCTTGGCAGAATACCATGGCTGCTGCGCACAAACACCGATTTTGAAATAATTAAATTAGTCTCGAAGGACGAAAATATCATATATGATGGCCTTCAATCTCTCGCCTCTTTTCCTCCCAGGACGTAATAAGTAATGAAAAAAGGACAGAGAAACGGAAGATAGATAGGCTGAAGAACTACTTCTTGCTTCGCAAAAATCAATTCAGATATAACCCAGGACCGTAAAAGGCGAGCTCGATAGCTCGCACCTCAAGTACAGTATGACACACAAACAGCGAAAGACACAGCGAGCATAACTGAAGCAATGAATAATACGCGGCTACACTTGGCACTGAACATGATTCGTCAGTGAAACATCTCCCTAGAAGAGCCTCTAACGTATAGGAGTGATCGGCAGTGAGCAACAAGGTGTTCAATATTACCTCCGAGATCCGAATAGCCTCAAGCAAGCCAGAGAGAGTCGGGGGTTGGTTCAATGGCTTGCCAAGTAGAAGCATGGACGCGGAAACAGATCCGGTAATTAACTTACAAGAGCTAGAGTAAGTACCGGTGGATCGTGAAAGACTCAAAAAAGATGTAGCCAAGCTGACGCCCAGAGTTGCCCAGACACTGGCACTGTGGCAGACAGAAGGTCTAAATATTAACAGTCGCAAATATGCAGCTGGTGCAGATTAGAGGAGATTTTTGCTCCGATATATGAAAAATAGTGGTTCTTACCTGAGCGCTTGAGTCGAGCACGGCTAGCCATGAACGGTTAGTATATGTTCCAGAGTATCCACATCTCACTTCATATGAAGATTGGGATCTTTGAAGATTTTCATTGCGATTGAAAAACGCCTTACCTTATCAGCATGTGCAAGGTACAGCTTCGTCATCCTCGCCTTATTCATGTGAATACTGCATACATCTATGTAGCTAAGCTCTCTAGTGAGAGAATATGTATCTTCGTTGGCCCGAGTCCGCCCGGCGACATCTATTGTTACTGTAACATCATGCAGTCTCTAAGAGCCAAGAAACTCAACTTTATGAAGGAGCGAAGTTGGGCCGATATTTCTCTGTTTTTTTCGTGATGAGAATGAGTCTTCGGTGTAATATTTTTATCTGTTAAGGTCAGTTCTGTGGGTCATCCGAAAGCTGCAGATGGAAACGGGTGATCGAATCTTCCCGAGACCTGCTTTTTAGCTTTTTTTCGGAAGGAGGTGTCTCAACCCAGCTTTATTTCTAGATGAGTTGATTATGAATCTCGAAGACGAGGTGGATTTTGTGTGGTATCCCTGTCATCAGTGTGAAGGGCGACGACCTCTATCTGTTTTCCACCACAATCAAACCTGCATAATTCGGCAGCATGCATTCGAGATAAAGCTCCCTACTTCTAGCCCTTATGTAACTTTTTGGGGGCCATTGCTTCCTCCAAGTTCAGGCTCATCCGTGCAAGCATGGCAACGACTCCGAATTACTGTAGGTTCCAGGCTGTTTGATCGACGAGACCTTGAAGTGAGTGACGTGACGCCATTCGTTCGACATTCGCAAGTTATTCCAAATTAAAAATCGAGTAGGAAAATTTTTAAGTTGCGCGACAATGACCCGCTCAGTAGAGGACGCACAAATGCTTGCGATGTGATCAAAATCTCTATGAGCATATGCACCCAATGTCTTGTGGGTATTTAATATCAACATGACAACAAGACCTTGCGCCTCTTTCCGGTCTGCGTTCAATCCTACTGTCTTGTATAAAGTCTATTTGATTCCCCGTGCTGGTTGACGTAAAAGTGTATGTGGAGTGGAGAAGCGCTTCCCTACCGCTTACTACCTAGTTGTTAGCTGGCGTGAGACAAAAAATATATATAAAAAATAAGTACTGGCGTTTCAGAATCCGCATTCACAATAGGCCACCACTCTCTAAAATGACCAGCACAATACTTTCCATGTCCCCAGATCCCCACTGACGACGCACAAGCTAAACGCCGACTTTACGCTACTGAGCCCTCCTGGGAGAGAGAAGGGATTGGACCTCCCCTCCAGGACAACCTAACGACGTTCGGCTCATTAAGAGTTTGTGATAACCGAGACGTATTTGTTTAAATCTATATACCTTTTCTTGTCTTTTTGGCGCGCCCACTTATTAGGCGACATCATTGTGATATTCACTATGAAGGTCTCCACTTTTTGGATATCCAAACTGCAGTATTCAGTTGAAAATTTGAAATGTACAAAGAAACAGAAATCCCGTTGAAGCTGCCCTCGCTGTGGCTTGGAAAGTGCATGAAGACAGAAAGTTAAAGATCTAGAGAGAGTTCAGAGCGAACCATAATTCGGTCCTCTTCAGTCAAACGTCTTACACCCTTCGATCATCTAGCGACTGTCTTTATCTATGGAATGGTATGATGATTTGCAAAGGTAAAGTATTTGACAGAGATATTTTCGGCGAGAATTCTTCATTATCAATTATCATATAAAGGTAGATGTATATCGGCGAGCGAAAGGGGCATTTTTGATCTTACGGAAGTCATGGACGGCCCAAATACCATTGTCATTGATCCTTAACATCCAACGAAAGGTCTTTATTCGACATGGTGTAGGCATGGGGTAAATATTAGGGTTAAAATCTATGCATATCGCTCTTCGCGTCATAACATACCGAGGATCTAGGTGGACTATACAAGAGCGGGTTGAACTTTAAGTACGTTTGGGGTCAACTACTGAATGAGAACTCCAGCGCAAGACATTCATGTGGTTGTCGCCAGAGGTCTTCAAGATAATTTTCATATTCAGCTACATGTGAGCATCGGGATGTTGATTGAGGCCTCAGTGCACGGAGAAAGACCAAGGATAGTATGGGCCATAGAGTAGGAGAAGCTATACTTTAGACCTACGGTCTAATTTCAGGGTTGTTGGTTCTATCGATAGATTTTAGATATTCGATAGGAGCGACGAGCGCAATATTGGATCTGACCCATCTGCACAGTGGGTTAGTAAGATGATGTTGTGAGGGCAAAAAGTCAATTGTACGGTAATATATATACGATGGCACCCGAATTCATAGTGCCAATGTGATGGACAAACGGTCCGGAAGCCATGCTTTGTACGGTAAATGATGCATATAAGACATAACAGATCCGTAGAGTCTGGCTGGATATAACGAAAGGCATGTGTGCAGAGTCTCCTTGCAAGAACGAGTATTGGTAAGATACCTAAGGAGCACGATACCATCTCTAAATATAAATGGCCTTGTGGTTTTTCGGGGAAAAGAGACAAACCTGAGGGCAGAATATGGGGAAGAATATGGGGAAGAATATGGAAGCTGCTATATGGAAGTGCTATGGAAAATGAGGATACTGGAGTCGTCATTTATACACTGGCAATGGCTTCAATATCACGAGAGAACTTCTGGAAAGAAAATAAATTTGTAGTAAGCAAATCATTCGATTCCTATGATATATTTTTTGACTGGTCAACATACCAAACTCTCAATGAACATGAGTAAAGTTAATTTTATTGCTTGCTTGATTTGAGTAGGTATGTAGAATGGTGGAAGTAAAGTTTCTAGAGGAATCTTTTCTCGAGCTATTGAGTTGAGGTCAGTACTAGCAGAACGTTTTGGAGGAAAGCTGTATATAAAGCCGTAGAAAGACATACTCTCCATGGGTTGTTCAACTCGAATCCTAGCGGGGCACTTGGATTATCGGTTTGCCCTCGAAGAAATCCAGTCAACCTCCTATCACGATCCATCACTGTATCGCAGTCAATACCAAACAGAGCAGTCTAAGAATTTGAGGATAGAGGTTACTTTGCTGTATGGATGATTAGCTTGCCTTCATTAAAGTAAGGCCAAGGCGTAGGAATACTTACTCTGTCCCAGGCATCTATGGAATGTCTGGCTCTCTTTCCACCATTCTGCAAAGCTCTAACTCCAGACAATCCGGCGCCAGTAATGCCAAACATCTGCAGAGTACTCAGTATTGTAGTTCCTGTAGCGGAGGGTTTGAATGGTATGGTGGAGGTACGAACGGTAAGCATGATTCCATACGGCATGAGAGCTTCAAAAGGGATACCCATCGTGGTGATTCGCAATTCTCTATAGATTTTTGATTAGTACTTGAACATTGACATAGTTTCGCAGATTATATCACACCTTGTATCTGTTGTTGGCTTTTCAATTGAATTGATTGAGCTTTTTAAAAGCCTCGGAATTGATTGACGACGTTGGTATGCGCCAAACTGGACTGAAATGATGACTAAGACTCGACAGGCGCTCTTGAACGACGACTTTGGGGTACTAATTGAACGATGAAGCAGTAATACCACATCACGAATGGTTATCAATTCAAATCAAGCTTGATTTACGCGTCGGAAGGTCACATACATACACATTCGAGGTTCTCATAATTGTTTTTCGATAGGATTGGTTTAAAACACCGCGTTCACTTCTTTGGATTGCAGTGCCAAATACCTACGTAGCAACAACTCATCCAACAATCATTTGCGCAAGCTGCGCATGACTTGCGTCAATCTTATTGATATTTTATGTACTTCGGCCTCTAATATATCGAACCGGCCGCAGAAATCGAATCTAGTTTCATTTTCTACCTGACCATCCGGCGGGGCGCAGAAGCAACGATTTCCAAAAGCTACGCAACCGCCTTAGGCTTATCTTTCTATATCACCATCGTCGATAAACTCATATTTGGCTTCAATATATCTACATTGCGCATGAAAAGCAATACATAAAAGATGGCGGCAGCGGCAGCAGCAGCGGTGCTTATGGATGAGGACCCTCCGCACAGCTTGGCTACTTCCGAAGACGACGCCGAGTTCGAAGAGGATAATGATATGATTCCCGACATAGTTAATGAGGACGCGAATGCATATGCTGCCAATATTCAATTACAAAATGGGTTGATGGGAGATCACAGTGATATAGAGGATGATAGGGAGGGACCGGAAGACGAGGAAGATATGGCGACAGATGAAGATGCGGACGGAGAGGAGGATGATGAAATGCTTGACGAACCAGAACAGATGGAAGAAAATGAGGTCGATGAAAATGTAGAGCCGAGTGGAGAAGGAGACGAGGATGATGATGATGCCGAGGGGGTCGGTGCTGTCAAAATACAGCCTGGCTTAGAGGATGATGATGAAGACGCAGAGATTGGCTCTGACAGCGACAGCTCTGCAGAAATTGAAGACGACGACGACGAATCTAAGGGCTCTAGTGATGTCGAGGAAGAAACACGATGGCAATCCAATGGGGAAGAAGGAGAAGAGGAAGAGGAAGAACACATAAATCCGAATCGCTGCATGTACGTTTTCCTTCTTTTTTTTACCGCTTATACCTTACTAATATTTTTATAGTTTCTGCGAGCAAGATGAAGATAACGACCCGGGTGAAGAATTCGAACTTTATTTAGCATGTGAGATGTGTGGAGATAATGGTAAGTTGACCCAATATTTATAATTGGTAAGGCTGACGAGGCTGTAGCGCATCGGCAATGCGCCCGGAATTCGGATGCACTCAAATCTGACGAAGGTATGTGCTGTCCCGCATGATAGATTTGATTAATGCAGCTAAGAATCTTGCAGAGGCGGAGAAATGGTATTGTCCGGGATGTCACGAAAATCGTCTCGTGCCCGGAAGTCCAAGTGCAGACGTCGATATGGTTGAAGGCCCAGAAGGAGAGGACGAAGAGGATGATGGAGGAGGAGAAGTTGATGATGAAAATGTACACGTTAAGGCGACCGAAAGGAGAATTTCGAGGGACAGGGTTCCAGTAGATTTGTTACCGCCAAGACGTGGTACGATCAAATCAGATTCACATTCGGTCTTCGAGCAACTAATAACTCCAGAAGATCCTATGGATGGCTCGCGTCTGTTGCGCAAAAGAAAAACTTCTTCGGTGGAGGCTGACGAGGGACTGGTTTTGAGAAAAAGGACCCGGGATCGAGATACCCTTTCCGATAACTCCAAGCCATCATTTGACGAACCGCATGATGAAGCCGAAGTCGATAATGATAGCAACTTGTCATTGACGAACGGTAAAAGAAATAAAAAAAGGGTGGATGATCCTACTAGTTCGCGTATTTCAAGATCACTACGTCCAAAATCTTCTTCGTCTTCACATCCGCCAGTCAATATCACCGAGAAATCAGCTGGTACTTTGAAAGTTTGCCTTCGTATTGATCCTATGGAGTTAAGACATATTCTCTCATTACCTCCAAGACCAAAAAGGAAACGTGGAGGCCGCGGTGTCTCAAAGGTTCGGTCCGCAGCCACTTCTGCCGCTCTTATCCCTTCGAGTTACTCACAACCCTTCTACCCTTCCATCCACGACAAAGAGTTGGACGAGCTAAAATCCAAACCTTACGGGGGCATCCTTTCCGAAGCTGACGCTGACACATCTTTGACATTACCGAGAGCAGAACATCGACGTCAATTTGAAGAGGCTCGTCAAAGGGCAGAAGAGGATTGGAAAGCCAGGGCAGCGGCTGCTGCTGAGGCTGCTGCCAAAGCAGGGTTGAGAAAAGCACGTAAAGTATCTGGTCCAGCCAGCCAAATTGAATATATTGATTTTGGGGCATACCAGATCGATATCTGGTATGCTGCTCCATATCCGGAAGAATACAGCCGGAATAAGGCACTTTTCATATGTGAGTTTTGTTTGAAATACATGGAGTCCGATATTGTTGCTTGGAGACACAAAACGAAATGTCCATGGAAGCATCCTCCTGGCGACGAAATATATCGAGATGGAAAGATCATGATTTTTGAAGTGGATGGACGCAAGAATCCACTTTATTGCCAAAATCTCTGCCTTTTGGCAAAGCTCTTTCTTGGGTCGAAAACTCTGTACTACGATGTCGAACCTTTCCTTTTCTATGTCATGACGGAATATGACGAACTGGGCTGCCATTTTGTAGGTTACTTCTCGAAGGAGAAGCGACCTAGCAGTCTCAATAATGTCTCTTGTATCCTCGTGCTGCCTATTCATCAAAGGAAAGGGTATGGCCACCTGCTCATCGACTTTTCGTATCTTCTCACACGTGTCGAGAAAAAGACTGGTTCTCCTGAGAAGCCACTTTCGGACATGGGCTTGGTTTCCTATCGTAATTACTGGCGACTCGTCCTATGTTATTATTTACAAAGATATGAGCCTTCTGAACGCATCCCAAGCGTCAAGGCCATCTCCGACGAGATGGGGTTGACGCCAGATGATGTCATTTCAGGTCTTGACGCCATGGGTACTCTCGTCCGCGATCCCATGACCGGTACTTATGCTATGAAATTGAAGCCTGAGTACTACAAGGAGGTTATTCGTCAGCACGAGGCGAAAGGATATGCCAAGCTTAATCCTAAAGGGCTCGTCTGGACGCCGTTCGTCATGGGTAGAGGTAATGCTTCTACTTATGATCATGCGCCGCCACTAAATACCGTTGCACCACGCGAAGAAGATGAAGATGAAGTACCTAGCGTTGAAGGTATATCTAATGCAAGCGTCCAAGGCGCTTCTTCGAACGGTCTTACGAGTGGTGATACAGAAGAGGTGACAGCTTCACTAGGTAAGATGACCACTGAGACTGGTGAAGTTGTTAAAGTTGCAAGTTCAGAAGGCAGTGTTGGAAAGTCAGCGATGTCGCAAAAGCTCAATGGCATTAACCAAAAGTCATACTACGACCTTGCCTCTTCGATCCCTGCTGTACGATTTGTTGTGTTTCCTGCCTTACCTGGTGCTAGAAGTCGAACCATCTCACGCCCAGCTTTAGCGCGGCCCTCTCCGCGCGCAAGACCTTCGGCTTCCTCATCTGCTCGACTCAAATCTCGACGGGCGGTAGGAGTCCCCATTCGTCGTGCGTCCACTACATCTGCATCTGCATCTGCATCAAAGACACGCACTGCAGCACGTAGGAAAAGCGGGGGTACAGGACGTGGACCTGGTAGATGGCCGAAGGGAACCAAGAAGAGCGATTTTGGGAACGCGGAAAGTGGCCCAGGCTTACCACCTAGACTGTTAAAACAGCGAAGCAAGTTAGGAAATGAGGTACTGCTTGGGGACGAGGAGGAAGACAATGAAGAAGCGAAAAGTGATCAGGAAGAATCGGCCATTTACGATACTCCTGCGCCGAGATCGAGAAGAGATCGAGATTCGTCCCGCAAGGGTGTTGGGCTGGGGAAGCCTATGCTCTTAGGCAAAGGCAAAGGCAAGGGATCAGCCATAGGAAAAGGCAAAGGTCCACTTATTGATGCGGAGGGCGATCAGGAAATGGCTGATGCGCCAACTGACGGAGTAGAAGCTGTGGTGGATGATGGTAATGCGGATGTGATTGCGGACGTAGACTCTGAATTCGAAGCGAGTGCGGATCAAGACGCTAATGGAAATGTGGACGCCGAGGGCGAATATGAGTAGAGAGTGGTGTGTGTGGTAGCTACATGAAGTGAGAACTCGTGGGACTAAGATATTTGGACTGGCAAGCAAGGATACCTAGGCTATGAACTGGCGTTCGGGAAGGAATATTCATGAACTCTGGTAATTCGGTATTGGCAAAAGATATCCTTTTGACCTTAGGGCAAACATTGGCGTCACTGAGAGGGCTTCTTTAAAAACTTCTTGACGTGTAATTATTTATGTATTACTACTATTTTTGCTCTATGTATCTAAAGGAAGATAACACAAAATGAAAGGCTTTTTCTGGCACAATCTTGCTCTCATGCAGATTTAGCGTATTGGCAATACAAATTGATTAACCGCACCACTCATCGCGATGTCGCCGTCGCTATCCTCACCACCCCCTTCACCTTCGTCTACCTCCGAGTCATCTTCAGGTGGGAACTCGAACTCCTCTTCCGATTCCGACTCCGACTCCGATCTAGAATCATACTCACCTCCATCGATATTGGCATTTTCTTCGGGCTCCTCCATAATGGTGTCCAGTTCTTGATGATCGTCTAGTCTCGTGGGATAGTCCTTTTCGAGAGAGAGATCTCGAGGGGGATTGAATTGATATTCAAGGAAACTGTCATCAATGCACTAAATATCCGTTAGGATCTGACCATCTTTCCAATTTTAAGTAGTTCCAAGGAGTAAGACTTACGACAGTGTCCAAAATCTGACCCATTGTACTCGCAAGCTCACCCTTCTCAGCCCAGTATTTCTCGACTTTTCGATTTTCTTGACGAGGACGATCAAATCTCTGAATCCGAATTAGCCAATGCGACACAAAATTGAGAAATTGATGAGAAAAGCTTTACCCTGGCCACTGCTCGCTCCAAGAGAGCCTTCATAGTCTTCTCCACATCCTCAATGTCTTCCAAGACATGGTTGTAGCTCATCCTATACCCTAGAAAATCATTCATATCCTTTCGATCTAGGTTGTAAAGCCGAACCAACTGCTGAACCCATGCAGCATCCATTTCTGTCCTACCAACTAGAGCGAGATTCTTTATGGCAGCTACATCGTCGATCATCTTACAGTATTGGGGATACATGGTGTTGGATGCGAATTGTAGGAACGATTGCTTGATTTTGAGCCTAAGCTCTGGACGGATAGTGATGTCCATTAGGCGTTCCCAGGCGCGGTAGTAAGGGACCGGTGTGCCATAAATGGCTTTAAATGCAGGAGGGAAGTCGATGGTGAGGTAATCCTCAATTGGAATATCTGCTCCAGCTTCGTAGATTAGATCTTGGTTGATCGATCGGCCTGGGACTGAGGGAAAATCATCGGCAAACATTTTGGCGATGTTTTTGTTGTGTTTTATTAGGAAAGGAAGATGGAGGAACAGATCGAGAGGGGTTCTTAAATAGCTCGCGAACGAGTTTTTTTGGTACGGTTGAAGTGAATATCACGTTAGCGCCATGAGTTTGTCCTTGCGTGCGCTAAACATGATCTAATAAAAATACTAGTCATCCGAAGAGCTGTATGTGTGTGGTTTGATTTGCCCATGTGGGCTGAATATACGCTTTTCAAATAGTGCCATAATTAGACGAGTCTCATTAGATGCTGGAAGGTGGTTCAAATAAAAAGACACAATAGTCCGAACTTTCAAAGAAATAGTATCGAGTTATCTACACCTAGGCTAGATATGATCAGAGAAGTAAAAGTTATCGTCTAATATTGATTGCAGAGTGAGCTGTAATCGGATGAGTGTTAGTTAGATATAGGAAAGAGTTTGAGATAATGAGAAATAATTATCTAAATAATAGAGTAGTCAATTTCAGTTTCTATATAACTGATTAGAACATTATAGATATTATTGTCTAATATACTTTATAGTCTGGGCTATTATGGTATGAGTATTAATTGGATATAGGAAAGAGTATAAGATAATAAGAAATGATTATTTGAAGAGTAGAAAAGTTAATCTCAACTTTTATATAATCGATAGGAATATTATAGAAATTATCGTCCAATATGCTTTATTATCTGGAATATTATAGGATAAGTATCAAGTGGATATAGGAAAGAGCTTGAGTTAAAAAAATATACACCATTATACAAAGGCTAAAGGGTAGATTGATTGATCTCAACTTCTATATAATCGATTGGAATACTACTAGAGATATTATTATCTAATATACTTCAAAATCTGGGCTATTATGAGATGAGTACGGTATCTCTTGAATATCCGAAGTAAACCAGGATAATAAAATGTATTGATTTAAATAGTAGATATCGATTATTCCGGAAATATATATATATATAGTGTGGAATTTATTACTACTGAAAGTGTTGAATATTTCTATGATATTGGATGATACCACTAGAAGTCTACGGAATTACAGGAATCCTATGAAATATTCCTAGTATAGATATAGTAATAATCTAATAAATTCATAATCGATTTGATTCTATATATAGTACTCGAGTACTAAACAACTACTATTAAGCGAAGGCCTATTTAATATCCAAACTCACTACTTTCAATAAATCATATAAACTTTGATTGGTGAGGAGATCTAACAAATATTCAAGACAATCAATGTTTTTCAGATGAAATAAATAGAAAAGTGTTGGTATCACCGTGGTGGTGATGAAGTCAATAGTACTATCGTATTTCACGTATTTGTATTGCCTTAAGGAACTAAACTATGGAGATGCTAATGCTAAATGATATACGCTCCGTGGTAGTCAAAGCGTCGCTTATTGCCCTAGCCCGTAGCCCTACGGCTCACTACAGCTAAGTGAGTGATATCCAGACAAAAGGTTTCTGAATTATTTTTGTTAAATTTTAATTCTACTCGAGTATAGAATCTAGATCTGAAATTAAAAAAAAAGATTGATCCTATTTTACAAATAAACTCGATTATTTTTATAATCTTGATTTAAAAGCTTTATAACTTTTTGAATAAATTTTTGAAAATTTTCAAAATTGTATTTCTATTACTATAAAACGAAATTCTTCTCTATAAAAGAAGCAAACTCTTATACTATTATTAAACATAGTAAATTACTTTCACACTTCCAAAAGTAAATTATATTACTCTTATATTATCAAAATAATCTCTGTTTTACTCTTATAGCCTGAGTATACTATTTAGATTCTATAATAGAATTGATAACAGAATCTATAATAGATATTAGTAGAATTTATAGTAGAAGGGTGGAATCTATAGTGGTTTTAGGAGAGTAGATATAATGAGAGGGTGAAATCTATGGTGTAAGAGTAGTGTCTATAGTGAAAGGTAGAATTTATAGTGGAAGGGTGGAATCTATAGTGAAAGGGCGGAATCTATAATGAAAAAGTGGAATCCATGGTGGAAAGCAAGCTCTATAGTGAAAGGGTGGAATCTATAGTTGTCACGGGTTCACTACCCGTTCCTACACCTACCTATATGTACCTACACCTATCACATGTCCACTACCCATTCTTAGTTAGCTCGGGTAGATACCTTAGGCATCCACCCACCATACAATCGGCGTTGTTCTACACACCTCCTTTTCTCCTTATCAAATATTATACATCTTACCTAGTATCCACCAGAACCTATATCAGCTCTGTAATAATATATTTGATCTTTTAAAAGGCTTTGTTATCGATAATAACCCAGCTTTAATCATATTTATTTATATACAACAATTCTAACTTGATAATTTTGATTCCAACTTCGACTTGAACTATCACAATAACCAATATAACAAATTTATTGGCTACATTCAATAATATCAACCTTAATATACCTATTACCAATACCAATACACCTGCTTCTGAAACCAAGACATATAAAACCTTGATCATATATATTCATCAAATATTCCAAAACCAACCCTATATTACTAATATACTCATTTCCGATACCCTTCTCTATAACCCAATGTGACCAAAAGGGTATAAACAGGACTCCGATTGTGTACTTAGAATCTACAAGTGAAGAGCTATGTAGGATGCTAAAAGGAGGACTATATATACAGGTATTGGGAGCCATAAGGGCTAGGCCAAAAAGGGTGAAAGAGTCCTAGGCGTAAGATGCCTAGGTCTAGAGCTATAGAGCTAGGGCTCTAAGCTGTGAAAGGAAGGTTCAAAAGAGCCGTCATATCATACTACATATGTAGTATGAGCCAGTGGGCGGAAGAGAGCCGTCTGTTCCGTCACAATAATGATATTTTTGAAGAAAAAGGTTATTTTGGAATTAAGGAATTTATTAACATTGGATATTATATTTTGTATAAAAGATAATCTTTTTGAATAGAAAAATAAGTTTTTACTCTAAGATCAGAACCTTTAGGAAAATTTATATAATCCTAATTCTAATCCGAATAATTTTTATTCTGTTTTTTATAATATTCTTTACATTATTCCCCAGTCTTACATTGTTATAACCTTTATCCCTCCAATCAATAATCTGATAGATCTCGATATTTTCAAGATCCTTAGTAAAGAATTATAAAGAGTAAAGGAATATTATTATAATCTATATTATTTTTGTAAATAATCTAAACATTTGATTTGGAATTATTCAACAAAAAAGACTATTAATATAAGAATAATCATATTTGGAAAAGCTCCAATTCAAAGAAACTATTCTGAATATAATTATATTATTCAGGGAAGTGCTTAGACATCTACTTATAGTTATAACAATACTGTTACCACGTAGAGAC